GCGTCGCAGAGACGCGTCATGCCCGCGAGGGTGCGGTGGTTTGTGGGGTTTGGTGGTGAGCTGGGAAGTGTCTCGGACGTGTCGCACGCCTCGCACGCGTCCGCTTCAGAGACGCGGTGGTCAAACACGAGCGCCATGGCCGCCGCGTCGCCCCACTTGGAGGCCATCGTCGCGCAGGCCAGCCGAGCCTCCCAGTACCGCGCGTAAGCGGTATTGGTGCGAAAGACGAGCGCAAACGCGGTGATGTAGCAAAAGACCTGTTGCGTGTGAGTGAGCGGTTTTGTTGGAGAGTACGCGAGCGGTGGTGGGCCGGCGGAGGAGGCGCCTGGAACGGGTACGGATGTGAGATGAGTGCCTCGAGGAGCACGTCGCTCACGTACAGCTCGAAAAAGACGGCAACCGCGGAAGAGAAGATGGCTGGGATGAGCGCACGCGGCAGCGCTGAGCCGTTGCATTTCCAGAGCAGCGCGAGGCCCATGAGCGACTTGCGATAGATGATCATTGTCAGAGGAAAGACGGGTGAGCGGAGAGCAGGCGGACTCCTGGGCAACGGTGAACAGTCGGCAACTCAGCTGACAAAAGCGGCGGTGAAAAAGAATTCTCCCGCGCTCGGACTGGCGTTAGTTTTTGTGGGAGGCCGAATACGAAACTGCCAGATACTCGGGCAAGGGACAATAAAACGAAAAGAAAAGAAACACAGAATCTCACGTGCCCGGCCCGACGCCGCGTTGCGAAACGGACGCACGCCGCGAACGCAGGGCGACGACAGTCGTGCACGTGCTACCCACCACCTCGCCGCCCACGACGTCGCTTACTCCGGAAACACCACTTCTGCGGCTCCTCGGCCGCCTGCTCCTCGTCGTAGGCTGCAGCGTGCACAGCGTCAGCCTGCGCCCAGCAGCTCACACCCTCTGCTGCGCGGTCTGTCAGCGCCTATGCAAGCCCCAGAGAGGGGCCGCCATCGCCGAAGCTGTGCCAAAGCATAACTCCAAAACCCGCAGCGGCCCAGGGGGCCTTGGGGGCAGCCTGCCGGACCGCCGCTGCACGGGGCTAGGCACCAGAAGATGAGTGGAATTGATGAATTGGGCCGTTGTCCGTGCCTCCCCTCTATACGTCAGAGTGGGACCTACGCCGCGCCGGGAGAGGGGCGCGCCCGGTCCTCGACGGAGCCGCGCGCCCCAAACGACCCAGGCGGCGAGTAGTCGACCTCGAACCTTCGACATGTAGTTGCCCATAGTTAGCGCCCGCCCGCCCCCCCCCTCCGTCGCTTCGCAAAAGAAAAAACAAAATACAAACAAGCAAAAGAGAAAGCGAAGCCAAAAAACGATTGCGTAAACGGCGTCACAAAGCCCGCCGGTTTTGATCGACAATCGTGAGATTGACCGCCGTCGACCAGAGAATGGCAGAGGATGCGTCAGCTTGTGCGGCGCTTCTTTTTCCGCTTGAGCCGCGGTCGCGCGCCTTACTTGGAGTGCAAAGCGGCTGCCGCACATCCGTGTTTGGGAAGCTTGGCCTTCTCTTTATGTTGTCGCCGTGCTCGCCTGTCGAGCCCGTATTCGAGAGCTTCCTAGTTCGCCAGAGCAGCATGTCAGACACGCAGTCGCCGTGCAAACTAGTACGATTTAACTCGAGGGTCGAGCTGCTCATAGACGACAATCCTGGGCCGGGCAACTCATTGTCATCTGACGCCATCGAGCGACATGCGGAGAGTACTCCGCGATCGAGGTGCTATCCAATGGCTATTGCCGTTGTCGCTCTCACAGTGGCGAGCTGCGCCTTGCTGTTTCTGCTCTGCGAGCCGTCGGGGCCTTACTCGATGACGACGTGAGACCGCTCACGCAGACATGCCTTGCTCGCGCAGACTCCTGTAACGTATTCTTCCTTCGCACATGCTGGTGCGTGTCACTCACACACAGGCAAAAAAGTCTTCGGTGATTTCTTGCTTGTGTTTTCAACTGGCGCTCTTTTCATTGTGAGATTTGTTCATCCTTGAGCAGCGGATACACACACGCACAAAACGCGTCACTCAACCTCACCCGGCGGCGGACGGCGCTGGCTCGCACGACCAGTCACGCGCGAGAGTCCTCGAGACGGAGACGTCCCAGGACCAGAGCGCCGCCACGATGCACACGTGCCAGAGGGCGTGGCTGCCGACCAGCTCGCCCACCGCGGGCGAGATTCGCTCGGGCACAAAGGAGAGGAAGAAGGCGACGCCCAGCGCGTAGAAGCCGAACATGGCAAGCAGGCCCGGCACCAGCGCGCGAATGTCCTCGGGCGGGGCAAAGGTGCAGAAATGGGCGAGCGGGACGAGGCCGAAGCCCGTCGTGAAGCTGAGCGCCGCGATGCGGAGCCAGTCGCGCCCGTGCTTCTCGGTGGGGTAGAAGGTGAGGTGCATCGAGGCGACCAGGCCCGCAGCGGTGATGGCCCCATAGGCGGCGCCGGGGACCAGGTGGCAGCGGAATCCGTACCGGATGCCCGGGACGTAGCTGCCGCAGATTGCGACCACGATGCCGACGTGGTCCACCCGCCACAGCAGCTTTGCCGGCCCGGGCGGCAGGACGGGCGCAAAGAGGTGGGCGGTGGCGCTGGCAGCGAGGACCGCAACCGCCGACACGTCAAAGGCTCCGACAGCGGCCTTTGCGACAGGCGCAACGCCGTCCGCCGCCAGCGTCTCCGCCAGCCGCGAGAGTGCCCAGAGAAGGCCGAGCAAGTGGCTCCACACGTTCAACGTCTCGTTGTGCCAGGAGAAGAGGCCGGCCGCCGCGGCGGCTCCCAGGCGGTAAGGATGCCTCAGCGGCCGCCTGTAGCCGAGGGAGATGAATGGCTGCCGCACGTGCGGCGGCACGTCGTGCGAGGAGAGAAGCGGCGCCTTCATGCCGTCGCTGCTGTGCATCGCGGAGGCACCCGCACCGGCCGCTCTCAATGTGTGAGAGTCGAGCGCGGACCGTGAGTGATGTCGGCACGGCGGGGCCGACCGCCCAGCTCGCGCACGTGAGAGTGAAAAGAAATTCCTGGAGCGGGAAAGAATTATCGCGCGCGCCTCGACATATGATCACGGAGCGCGCCACCGTCTGTGGCCACCAGGTCGCGGTGCTGCGCCGCGATCCCGACGTTGACGATGGCGTCGACCCGTGCTTCAAGTGAAACCGAAGAGGGCGGCGGGTCGCTCGCGGGTAGACGGTGGCCGAGGACAGCATCATCAGATTCACCACCGGCAGGCCCTCGAGCGTATTTTGGTGGGCGCGCTGAGCGCAGTTGTACATCGCCAAGTTCGTCGGAGAACAGGCTGCCATTCCGGGCGGGCCCAGGACAAGTTTTGCCTCCCCCTCCCCCCCCCCGACCTGGGTTCCAACTTTTTGCGGGGTATGGTACACGAGCGCTGGTTGGTGGCCACTCGCGAGAGGTGTTAGAAAGGAAGGACGGCGATCTCGACCTAATCGCGAGCGGACGGGTGCAGAGAGCTACATCGGTGACGATAATTAAGAGCTGACGCGCCTGCTTGAAGATGTGAGCCACTGTGTCGTACTCGAGAATGGCGTTTGCGCTTGCGTCCGTCATGTTGACGTCACTGACAGCAATCGTTGTGGGTGTCGCGTTGGCATCCCGTAGCTCTATCTCCCGACCGTCATGATGGCGAACAGCGCGAGCATTCGTTTGTCGTGTGTCGGACGTGAGCGGGCCGAGACGCAGCGGCAAGGGCTCCCGCGTGAAGTGATCGACTTTCACGTTCTTTTGCATCTTTTTTGCATCGAGCCATTTTCTGCTCTTTTGCGTTTTGGGGGCTCCTCAGAGCTGAGGAGACTGGAACCGAGTAAAGAATTCATGCGCGCGGCCAGGGGCTCACGGAGCCGGCGCCGGCAAAGCGGCAGTTCCGAGATCGATGTCAGCTGGGAGCTGTGAGGTGTCGGAGAGCTCTCGAGGTCTCGACGGGCGGCGGTCGACATGATCACGGAGCGCGCCACCGTCTGTGGCCACCAGGTCGCGGTGCTGCGCCGCGATCCCGACGCTGACGATGGCGTCGACCCGTGCTTTTTTGAGGCCGACTTCACCGTCGCCGCGTCGACAGCGCGGCTCATCTGGGAGGGGTCGTGGGCGCTCGTGGAGCTGCTGCGGCGCGAGCGCGACTCGTGGCTCCGAGAGCTCGTGCGAGGCCGCCGAGTGCTCGAGCTCGGCGCCGGCACCGGCATGCTCGGCCTGGCGGCCGCCGCCGCAGGCGGGCATGTGCTCATGACGGACGTCGCTTCGATGACGGAGGAGTCGCTCGCCCCCAATGTGCGTGCGAACGTGGCCGCGGGCGGCGGCTGTCCGAGCTGGACCGGCTCGGACAGCGCGGTTAGCAGCGGCTCCGCCGCCGCCCAGGCGCTCGACTGGCTGCTTCCTCTCGAGGCGCAGCGCCATCCGGTCGACGTCTTTGCGGCGGAGATCGTGCTTGCGGCCGAGTGCGCGTGGCTGGAGGAGCTCGTCGACCCGTTCGTCGCCACGCTCGCGGCCCTCCTCGCGCCGCGCCGCGCGTCGGTCTGCATCTTTGCCTTCCGGGAGCGCGCGCGCGCCTCGTCCACCTGCTTTGTGAGCGGCGAGGAGGTGCTGCGCCGGCTTGGGAGGGCAGGGTGCGACGTGCGGCGGAGGGAGGCCGTGGCGGGGAGGCCCGGCATGGAGGAGGCTGCGGGCGGCAACACGACGCAGATCTTTGAGGTGCGCCGGCGAGGGGCGGGGGCGGACGCCTGCCGGTAGGATGTACACATCGCATCTGACACAAAGTCTCGAGCGATATTTGAGACATGGGTTCATCAATCATCATCATGGCATGATATGCAATGTCCAATGACGAATGAGATGGTTGTTTTGAGATTGAAACTCGTGTGGCTTGTGAGCGTCTCTACTCTACCCTCGAGCGTCGAGAGCGTACCCGCCGCGCGGTCTCCACCGGGAGTCCGGGGGCGGCCGCCGCCCGCCCGCCGCCGGCGCGCGGCGCCCCACATTACGACAACTGTCCCACCCACATTGTACATACACACGACATACAGCCAGCGCTAGACACGGTGATAGAGTGAGGTTGACCGACACTGTACGACCGCGGACAGAATCAAACTGTCACCGACGGGCCGACCCCGCGCTCGACTGCGTTGTGTACCTTTACACCGCACACATGGCTACACATGGACATGCCCGTGTACCATTTCACGGCTTGCGCCCTCGCCAGCAAGCACCCAACGACCCCGCGTACACGTTGAAGAGCACTATTGGAAGCACTTGAAGCATTTGAGGTGGAACGCCTACAGTCAACAGTGCCCACGCTGCGTGAGAGGCAGTGAGAGAGGGAGAGAGCCAGAGAAGGGAACACACCTCATCTGATTTGTTGTCGGGCGGCGCGATCTCGCCCTGCTCCTTGGCTAGCCTCTCGCGTTCAGCCTTGCCCTTGTAGGCGGCGGCGACCTAACAGAGTCATGGAGGCTTCGAAACGAGGTGCCGTCGCTTCACGTCGGTCCCGGAGAGGTACCTTGGTGGCGGCATCCTCCTGGGCGGCCTTCTCGTCAGCCGCTTTCTGCTCTGCGATAGCCGCTGTGTCTGCCTTCTTCTTTGGGGACGGAAAAAACGGGAAGCGGGGCATCGTTCAGCAAGGGGCAGGTAAATGCGGTGGCTCTATTCGGCGGTCGTCTAAAAAAGAACTGAAATTTGCAGGTAAATGGCGAAGCCTCCCTTGGGTTGTCTGTTTTCTTTCTTTCTTTCTTTAAATGGCGAAGCGGCGAGAGACTGCGAAAAGAGATACGAAGAGGCAGACTCCCCAGGGTGGGCGACGGCTAGCGCATCACACTCTCCTCTCCTTAAAATCCCTGTGTGGTGGCGGCGTGCCGTTCTCCCATCCCTCCCTTGGGTTGTGTGTGTTTTCTTTCTTTCTTTCTTTCTTTTTAAATGGCGGTCGCTCTCGGCGGTCGTCTAAAAAAGAACTCAGCACGCATCGCAATGCACGACGATGTGACACTGCACCCTCCCACCGACAAGTGACAGCGATCCCATCACACCCCAAAACAACAAATCTCTCTCTCTCTCTCACCCCAAACCCGCGCAACCCCAACCGCGACGCCGGGCGCGGGCAGTGAAACACCCGTGGGACCGCCGCGCGCTGGCGCTCCGGCGAAGTGCGCGTGTCGCTGTATGAAGGGGGACACGTCAGCACTGCGCACTTCCATCTACTTCAACATCGTCGTCGTTCGTCGGTCTGCATGGTCCATGGACCACAAGCAGCGCGGATGTCACGTGTCAGTCTGCATGGAGCGCGAGGTGCGCAAAGTCGCCCTCGAACTCCTCGCGGTCGCGCTGGCGCGCCGCGCCGTCCGGGCCGTACTCGAGTAAGAGCCGAGCCTGGTCTGGGCCCGCTCTAGCCAGCTGTAGAGGAGGGGGCGGCAGCGCTTGTAGGCCAGAGCCCCGTCCACCGCCTCGTACCAGCGCATCTTTGCGGGCGGGAGGCGGAGGACGGTGGTCTCAGGGTCGAAAGCCGTGTAGCCGAGGGTGGCCGTGGTTGGCACGGTGACGGGGTGACGCGGGTCAGGGAGGGGCACTCGTCGAAACACGAAAGCCCAGCGGCCGATGGAAGGGAGGCCAGCGGGGAAAGTGACGCGGGCGAGGGCGGAGCAGCCACCTCGCAGGAGTCGCTTGGGCGGCTCCCGTGGTGTACCTGTGTTAGTGCGCGAGGCAGTGTTGAAAATTCTTTTTTCCCTTTGCATAATGTGTGTGTATGTCGCTGCCTGCCACCGTCTCGCTCCGCACGGCGGTGCTCCTCCAGGTGCCCGCCATCGTCGCTCTCCTCGTGTGGCAGAGGCGGCGACTTCGTACGACGTCGGCCGGCAACGCAGCTCTGACGGCTAGCTCGGGCACGGTGAGGCACAGCGCCGCGATCGAGGCGGCCGCAAGGGTGAGCCGCGAGATACCGCTGCGATGCGCTCGGTCCACGGCCGTGGTCGTGATAGATATGCAGACCTTCTGCTGCGACCTCGAGCGCGGCGGCTGCTGGAGAGACGGCAGCAACCAGCCGTCCGACTACCTGCGGGAGACGCTCCCTGCCGTGGTCGACAACATCGCCACGCTGCTCGGCGCCGCGCGCCAGTCGTCGGTCGAGTGCATCTTCACGGTGATCGAGAGCCTGACCGCCGACGGGCGAGACCGCAGCCTCGACTACAAGGTGTCCGGCTTCAACGTGCCTCGCGGCTCGGAGGACGCGCAGGTGCTGGCCGCCCTGCAGCCCGCCGCCGACGAGATGGTGCTGCCAAAGTGCGGGCCGGCCGTGGTGGTCCCGGTCGCGCAACTCCTCTCTCTTAAGCTGACGGGCCGTCCACCTCCGCATAGGTGCTCCTCCTCCGTCTTCATCTCGACCAACCTGGCCTACAAGCTGCGCAACCTCGGCTGCGAGCAGGTGGTGCTCGTGGGCGGCCTCACCGACCAGTGCGTGGACTCCGCCGTCCGCGACGCGTGCGATCTCGGCGCGAGACGCACCCGAGATCGCCCGAGATCGCCCGAGATCGCCCGAGATCGCCCGAGATCGCCCGAGATCGCCCGAGATCGCCGCCGAGATATGACCCGAGGTATGACCCGAGGGATGACCCGAGATAGGCTTCCTCGTCACATGCGTCCCCGACTGCTGCTACACGCACTCGCGCGAGCGGCAGCTCGCGTCGCTGCGCCACAACCGCGGCTACTGCAGGCAGGTGCCGCTCACCGCCCTCCTCGCAGAGATGCGCGCCATGTCCATGACACGTCCATGACATGTCCGGGACATGCACATGTCTGTAGGTGCCGCTCACCGCCCTCCTCGCAGAGATGCGCGCCCTCGAGCTCGGAGGCGGCACGTCGCCGCCGCCAGAGGGGGCCGCGGCTGCGGCGGCGGTAGCGAATCCGGCGGCAGCGGCGGCGGCGGCGAGTGCGGCGGCGGCGGCGAGTGCGGCGGCGGCGCGCACCGCCGCGGCGCCGCGGCCGCCGCGCGAGTACGTCCGATTCGAAGTCGTCGACTTGAACGGCAAGGCGCTGTGCAAGACTGTGCCGGCGCGGCATGCGGGCGAGCGAGACGCCGGCCTTGCCCCCGCCTCGCCCAAGGGGAGTGGCGCCTGCTTCACGAGGAAGGGGGAGCTGCGTCCCCAGGCGACGCTGTCTACCTGTACCACGGCGCCATCGCCCTTGGGGCAAACTCGGAGGTGCGCACCGTGCCTGCCGAGGTCGAGGCATGTCCAAGACACGTCCATGACATGTCCGGGACATGTCTTTAGGTGCTCACCGTGCCTGCCGAGGTCGAGGCGGCGGGCTACTCGGACATGTCCAGGACACGTCCACGACATGTCCGAGACACGCCCCACAGGTCGAGGCGGCGGGCTACTCGGACATGTCCAGGACACGTCCACGACATGTCCGAGACACGCCCCACAGGTCGAGGCGGCGGGCTACGCTAACTCGCGGCTGGTGCCTCGCTGGGAGACGGAGAGGCTGCTGCCGTGGGCCTCCTCCCCCTCCTCCTCCCCCTTCCCCGCCACTTCCTCCTCCTCCGCCGCCGCCGCCGTCCCCTCCGCCTCCGCCTCCGCCACCTCCTCCTCCACCTCCCCAGAGGTGCGCGGTGGGCCAGCCGTCGCTGTGCGGCGCGTCTACTGCGAGCAGGAGCAGCCGGGCGGCGGGCTCAACGCCGCCCTCCCGCGCACGGCCTGCCGCCGCCGCTCGAGCCCTCCGCGGGCGCTGCGAGAAGGACTGCGGCTGACCGCGTGCCGTTGCGTGGTCAGGCGTGCCGCCGGCTGCTCGAGCAGCTCGAGGCGCACGGCGGCCGAGGGCTGCGGCTGCTCGCGGCGGCCGAGTACGAGTTCTGCCTCGCGACGCGGGACGGGCGCGGCGCCGTCCCTGGCCGAGGGCGACGGGGCGCGGGGACGGCACCCCCTCCCACCGAGCGCGAGCGGTGCGTGCGAGCAGGTGGGAGCCGCTCTTCAGCGGCCCCGAGATCTTCGTCACGCTGCAGGCGGCGAAGGCGACCGCCCTGCCTTCACCTCCCCGTATCTCCCTCTATCTCCCCGTATCTCCCCGTATCTGCCCCGATCTGCCCGTATCTCCCGTATCTGCCCGTATCTCGAGCGTATCTCCCCGGATCTTCCCGCATCTCGTATCTCCCGGTATCTCCCGGCCCTGCCACCGCGCTCCGCCCACCAGGAGCCCGCGGGACTGAGTGGCGGGTCGATCTTGCAAAGGTGGCCGGCTTCTGCTACGCGCTCGAGGAGCAGCTCGAGGCGGCGGGCATCGACGTGCGCACCATGAACCCAGAGTACGGCGACGGCCAGCTCGAGATCACTGTCTCGCCCTCCTGGGGCGTCAGCGCTGCGGACGACGCCTCCACCTTCAAGACGGCGGTCAAGGAGGTGGCGATGCAGTTCGGCGCGACGGCCACCTTCATGACCAAGCCGTTCAGCCTGTCCGGCCCGGGCAACGGCGGCCACTTCAACTTTAGCCTGTGGGAGCCGGAGGGCGCGGAGGCTGCGAGCGGCGCGCTTGGCCGCGAGGGGGCTGAGCGAGGCCCTTGCCACGTCGGCAAAGGCGACGAGCGAGGCGGTGGCGGCGGCTTCTGCTCCGAGGGCCTGCGCAACGCCCTCCACGACGCGGCCGCCCCCGCCGGCCTCTCCCCTCCCCCCCGAGCAGCGGCTCGCCGGCCGGTTGCCCGAGGGTTTGAGCCGAGGCGGCTGAGAGTAGGCCTCTCTCCGCTCGGACGCGCGTTCCTCGCGGGCATCCTGGCGCACGCCCCCGCCCTCGAGGCGCTGTGCTCGCCCACGGTGCCCTGTTATGCGCGGCACGGCAACTGGGCGCCGACGCACGCGACGTGCGGAGGGGGGTGGTGGGGTGGGGGGTGGGGGAAGGAGGAGAGGAGAGGAGAGGGGAGGGGAGCTGAGAAAGGAGGGGTGTAGAGAGGCGAGCGGCGGCGGCGCGGCGGCGGCTCCACACGCGGAGTACTCTGCAGGTGGGGGCTCGAGGACCGGCTGGCGGCGGTGCGGGTCAAGAAGGGCGGCTCGGGCAGGGAGTGCTACCTCGAGCTGCGCATGCCTTCCGCCTCGGCCAACGCCTACCTCGTCGTCGCTGCGCTCGTCGCCGCAGGCACGAGCGCGAGCGCCGCCGTGACATGCCGTTGCCGCCGCTCACCGCCACCTCGCAGTCACCGCCGCGCCACCTGCCCACTTGCCCCGCCGCTGCCACTTTGGTCCACGACCACGACACGTCCACGACACGTCCTCGACACGTCCACGACACGACTACCCTCTCCGCGCCCGCAGGCTTGGATGGGATGGAGCGGGGCTTGCAGCTCCCGCCGCCGCGCGACCCGTCGGGCAAGGGGAGAGGCGGCGCCTCCGCAAATGGCGGCGAGGCAGCGGCGAATGGCGGCGGCGAGGCGGCGGTGAATGGCAGCGGTGGCGAGGGCGGCGGTGGCGGCGTGGGCGGCGTGGGCGGTGGTGGCGCGGGCGGCGGCGGCGGCGTGGGCGGCGGCGGCGGCGCGGGCGGCGTGCCGCTGCCATCCTCTCTCGAGGACGCGCTCAAGGCGCTCGAGGCGGACGAGGACATGGTGCGCCGCCTCGGCCCCACGCTGGTCCGCTGGTTCGTGGGCGTCAAGAGGGGCGAGATGGCCGCTCTCGCCACCAAGGAGGCCGAGCTGCTGGAGGGCCTCCGGGAGAGCCTCCATGAGAGGGACAGGCAGCGCGGCGGCGCGGGGGGCGAGGCGGACGAGAAGGCGCTCGAGCTCGCGCGGCGAGAGGCGTGGCGGCACATGTACCTCGAATTCCTCTGAGGACCGCCGCGCCCTGAAGCTGCCGTCCACGTACTGCTTGCTCACCTCGCGCCACACACATCCTGCACCAGCACCCGCACCGAGATCGCTGTATGCGTCCCAATCTCTGGACTCGTCTGGCTGTAGTCCGCGCACATGGCCACATGCATGCATGGCATGTGTCTGAGCAAAGTTCTAGTGCGCGCCGAGTCGGCGTGTACGACACGCATTCACTGCGGTGTGCGCGCGTCTCAGTACTCAGACCTCGCTCCGTCCGCCGAGCTCCGTCTGTCTCTGCGACGTGCGAGGGCGCGGCCAAGCAGTGGCCATGCCGCTGGTGCCATGGATACTTTGTAGCTTTTGCAAAAGCGCACTGACACGACTCTTTAGTCACTCTGAACTCTCCACCCACCTCCCCTACCCCTAGTGGCGGCACTGCTACTTGCAGTTGGCCAAGTTTACCTTCTTGCCGTACTTGCGATGAAGCTTGCCGAAAAGCTGCCGCTCCTTGCCCTCGTACTTGGCGAGCGCATCGTCCACCCCTCCCAGCTTCTCGGGCGCCCAGTCGGCATAGTACTCCACCAGGCATGGCCGATACTTGTTTGGGTAGAAGACCGCCGACGGGTCGGGGACGTCGATCACGCCCATCGCCTGCAGCTTGCCGACCACGTCGAGCAGCATCGGCAGCGCGGCGGGCAGAGTCATCATGATCAGGAAGAAGATCGGCCCCCACCGGATGCCCTTGCTCGGAGGCTCATCCTCGTCCTCGTCACCCTTCCTGCGCCGTCTCGGCTTCTCGTCGCCTCCACGCTGCTGCTGCTGCACCGGCACGTCCTCCCGAGGGCTGAGCCAGTCCGGTGCGCCGCCGCGCGCGCCACCGCTCTTGCCCTGACCACGCGCCATCGTCGCGTGCTGCAGCGAGATAGCCGGCGTGCCAAAAGTGGTCTCTGAAAAGAATTTTCGTGTACCAACCAACCAACACAGGATGAGATGGGTTTCGGCGCGCCGGGTTCGAGGGAGCATTGACGTCTCACGAGAGCTGCTCAGGCTGCGGCTTCAGTGCGCCACGCAGGATCAGCTGCGAGCTTCAGTCCCAGTCCCTCGCCAGTCCTGTCATGTCCGACGCGTGTGATTGCTCCTGGACTGCGTCTTGGCCGTGCCTTCCTCCGCATGTCAACATCCGACCGAGCGGCGGCGTGGTGGAGACGGACAGACCCTGGCTCACTCTCTTTGGGCGGAGTCTATCCAGCCGCGCCGCAGCTCAAGGCTTCGCGGCCGACGACGGCAGTCCCTGCTTCTCCTTCTGCTGCCATTTTATCAACGCCGCTGCCACCACACGTTTGTTTCCACCCTTCCCGCCTAGCTCTCCGCCGCCGTCACCTGCGGCGACGCCTCCGCTGTTCCGCGACAACCCACATCCCTACTTGGTCGCCGCTGGACGGCTTTCGGTGGCCTTTGTCGGCGCGTTGCTCTGCTTCGGCTTTATCCTCGCCCTGCTCGGCAGCCAACGACCACCTCCGTCACCCAAGGCCGTGCACGGGGCGGAGCCAGTCAGGCGACGGCTTCGTTTCGAGGATCAACCGGCGCCGTTCGTGATCCAGGTCGCCTCCGCGCATGCGCCGCCGCTGCCGGAGCCACCCTCGGTGGTGAGGCCCCCCCCACCGCCCTCGCCTCCACCCGGCGCTCAGACCCGCCGTGACGCCTGGTGCCGGCTGCTACGCACGCTGTGGAGTAGCCAGCCGCCGGTGACGGTGACGCCACTTGTGTGAGATCATGCATGGCATGCTGCATGTCGGAAGTGTAAGGCAACGTAAGGTAAACTTCTCCACGCACACGAGGTCTCTTAGTTGTTAAAGTTATGTTACTTGAATGTACGTTATATAGAGAGACTCAATAGAGAGAAGGGGGTGGTGTCTCAAAGGTGCGAAAAGACACAACGATCAACGTCTACACGATATCTCTCTCGCCGGACTCCGCGCACACACGTACCACACTGTGGTCCTCCTGGCCACGCCGTCGCTGACGCTGACGCTGACGCTGACGCTGTGTGTGTGGGCGCCTGCTGGCCCTGCCGCCTGCGGCCGAAAAAGTGGAAGCGAGTCCAGCTGCGGCCCGTCCGTGCTCCCAGGGCGGCTGCGGCGCTGCGCCTCTGGCTGCGACGGGCTCCGCTGCTCTCGAGAGCCCGCGCTGCTTCGAGAAGTAGACTTGGAGCACCGCCACCAGAAGGGGAACAGCACACGAGCCCACCAGAATCCAGATCGAGTGACGAGTCCACATCTGCGACCCCATGTTTAGTTAGTTCGACGAGCTGTACAAGATGAGACTAAAAGGAAAAAGCAAAACACGGGAGACACAGGGCGGCGCGACGATCTGGCGCGCGCGCCAGGCTACAGCGTGTGCACTCTTGGAGCACTTGCGACTTTGGAGAGAGTACGACGTCGGAGGTGTTGCGTTTTCTGCACTTGCGCCCGATTTTCCCAGTACTGAAATTTAGTATGCATACTAGCTGCGTGCGAGGCCCCGACTCACAGATCCCATGAGGGCAATCAATCCGAGCCGCCCTCTCTCCCCCTAGGAAGTGTACACAGTGCCGCCGGAGCACGACTCTCGCCTCTCGGCGACGCGCCGGGCGTGCTGTGGACGGGAACTGATTTCGTTCACGCGGCTTGCACCCAGTTCCTCGGGTACCACCCAACTTCGCCCGTGCGACAGTTCCTCACCGTCAGCAGTCGCGCGCCTTCCTCAACCACCTCCACTTGCGTGCCTCGGCGTGCGGCGGGAAGCATTGCTGGCCCGTTGAGGCTGAGGCTGGTTCTCGATAGATGCCCAATCCAGAGCGCTGGCGCCTCGCGCCGCTCGGCTAACCCTCGACGCGTCAGCCGCGCCCTCTCGTGCGCCTCAGACTCGAGCGCCTCCAGCGAATGGGCGAGTGATGAGCGACGCCGAGCGTCCACCCACATATCCGCGTAGAGCACCAGCGTCGCGCATCCGCTTGCCACGGCACACCACTTGCTCACCTCGCCCTTCCTGTCAGCGCAGAGAACGCGAGCTAGCAACGAGGCCATGTTTCTCCAAGGTTCGCTTGAGCGTGTCGTTCCGCTTCGGTGCCACCGGCACTCCCTGGATGGATGGGCCAGATGATGAAGAAAACGTGGTTCCTGCGGATTGAATAAGAACCCGTCTGGCGAGGCACTGTCGGGGTTTTTAGTCTGACCGAGTCAACCCGAGCCAACAATACACCTAACACCGAGACCTTCGAGCAGCGTTCAGCTGTTCCCGCAGAGCTGGAAGTACCTCGCCAGGGAGGCGTGACGGGGGGACGACACATTGCGACGCCGGGGCTCCTCTTTTCGTGCCCCGCTGCGCCTCCTCAAGGCCCTCCCGAGCGCAGCGTGTCGCGCTCGCACTGTTGCTTTTGGAACTATGTGCAACGCGTTCCAGTCCGAGGCCCCTCGCACCAAGCGCTCGCCCGCCACTTCCTTCGTCGGCCGTTTCGAGGCGAACGCGGAGTTGCTGGGCGAGGTGTGCCGTGGCGATGGCGGCCAGAGGACCAACCGGCGTCGCAGGATCAACCGAACCTCCCCTGCCTCAGGAGCGGCTCTATAGCTGGCTGACGGCGGATGCCAGCGAGGAGGCGACCCTCTCGTACGCCGAGATGCGGGCCCGCTGCCGGGCTGTCTGTGTGGCGCTCCGGCGGCGTTGGGGCGCGAGCACAAACGACCGGCTTATGCTGGTGTATGCGCCCGGCCTCGAGCTGCTGGTGGCCTTCTTCGGGTGCCAGTATGCGGCGGTGATCGCTGTGCCCTACTACCCTCCCGTCCTCCCGCTCACGCCCCTCCCGTCGGTCGGCGCCAAGCGGCTGCTGGCCGACGGGCTCGCAAAGGTCAAGCGGATTGCCGAGTCGTGCACACCGCACGCCTTCCTGTCGACGCGGACGTACGTGCGCGCCTCGTGGCTGGCCAGCAAGCTCGTGCGCGAGGCCGAGTGCAGCTGGCCGCCCGAGTGGACCTGGCGCTGCACCGATGAGGCTCGCACCACCCAGCCCCGCAGCCTCGCGCCTCGCTCTCTCCTCCGCCCTGTCCCTTCCACCCTCTCCCACTCCACAGTCCAAACCCCTCCCCCTCCGCCCCACCCCCTCGCTCCTCCCTCTCGGCAGGTCTCCCCCCGCCTCGGCCGCGGCGACGCCGACTGGCTCAGCGAATGGCTGCCCGGCCGCTGCGAGCCGTCGCCGCGCGACGAGGTCTCCTTCCTGCAGTACACCTCAACCTAACCCTTACCCTAACCCTAACCCTACCCCTACCCCTACCCCTAGGTCTCCTTCCTGCAGTACACCTCCGGCTCCACCGGCCACCCGAAGGGCGTCGCCATCGGCACGCGCAACTTGCTCGCCAACGTGAGACACTTCCGAGACATTTCCGAGACGCTTCCCCCACCCCTCCCTGCCCCTCCTCCGTCTGCTCGCCCTGCCCGCCCCCCGCGCTGCACCCCCGCCACACCGCCGATCGATGCCCCAGCGCCCCGCCCCCTTCCCCCCCGTTCACGCCCACGCCTGCGGAGCGGCGCCGGCACGCCCACGCCCTGCGTCCGCAGGTGCTTGCCATGTCCTACTCTTCCACCACCACAAACAGCTTCCCCCCGCCGGGCTCGCGCATCGCCATGGTCTCGTGGCTGCCGCAGTACCACGACTTTGGGCTCATCGCGGGCTCCCTCTCGACGGCGATGCAGGGCTACCGCTCCGACCTCCTCTCCCCCTTCACCTTCATCAAGCACCCCATGTCTTGGCTCCTCGCCATCTCGCGCCTCCAGCACTCGCACCTCGTCATCTCGCCGTCGCCAAACTTTGGCTTCGCCCTCTGCACGCGCCGCGCAAAGCCGCACCACATCGCGAAGCTGCAGCTCTCGCACTGGAAGGCGGCCTTCAACGGCGCCGAGCCCATCCGCACGCGCACGCTCGCCGACTTCGACGCAAAGTTCGCGCCGTGCGGGTGGCACCCCTCCTCGTGGGCATGCCTCTACGGCCTCGCCGAGACGTGTGTGTACGGCTGCGGCGTCGCCGAGCCTCCCGTCGTCCTCGAGGTGCCCCGCTCACGGCTCGGCCCGGGCGACGCGCCGATGCCGCTGCAGCCGGGCGACGACAACCTGATCGAGTTCCCCGGCTGCTTCGTCGAGGAGGCGGCGCTCACCGGGCAGCGCTTCGCGATCTCGCACCCTGAGACGGGGCTGCCGCTGCCGGACGGAGTGGTTGGCGAGGTCCGGATCCGAGGCGCGAGCGTCGCCCTCGGCTACTGGCAGCAGCCGGAGCTGAGCGAGCAGACCTTCCGCACGCCCCTCGCCCTGCCCGCGCCGCCCTCCGCGCTGAGAGAGGAGAAGGGCGCGGCCGTGGGCGAGCGGGGCAGCGGCGGCGGCGGCGGCGGCGGCGGCGGCGGCGGCGGCGGCGCGGGTGGTGGCGGGGAGCTGCCTCCGTGCGGAAAGGGTGAGCCGTTCCTTTGCACGGGCGACCTCGGCTTCGTGTGGGAGTCGCGGCTGTACATCGTCGGCCGCATCAAGGACATCCTCTGCATCCGCGGCCGCACGCTGCACGCGCACGACATCGAGACGTGTGCGGAGGCAGCCCACACTGCGATGCGACCCGGCTGCTGCGCCGCGCTGCCGGTGGTTCCGCCGGACACGGGGCAGGACACGGACGGCGAGGCGCTCGTTCTCGTGGCCGAACTCAAGCCCGAGGCGGAGAAGGAGGCTGCCGCGGGCGGCGGCGCGGCGATCGCCGAGGCGGTTCGCGACGGGGTTCGCGAGGCGGAGGGCGTCAAGGCGTACGCGGTGGTGCTGCTCCGCGCGCGCACCATCCTCAAGACAACCTCGGGCAAGCTGCGCCGCCGCGAGCTCCGCCTTGCATACGCCGAGCTCGACGACGCGGTGCGCGCCGCCGCAGCCGCCGCCGCCGACGGCCGCAAGGCGGAGCCGGCGCAAAAACTGCGCGTGCCGCTCGACGCCGTGCTCCACTTTTGGCGCGACGCCGGCAAGCCGGCGCGCAAGGCTGCCGAGCCGGACGCGGAGCCCGACCCGGCCGCGGGCGGCGGGTTGGCCGTGTCCTTGCAGGAAGGTTCCGAGAAGGTTCAGCTGCCCGTGAGGAGTGTGCCGAGGAACGACTCGGAGCTGAGCGCGCTCGGCACAGCGCGCGGCTCCGAGCCGTCGCGAGAGCCGTCGCGCGGCGACGCTGCCGGCAAGGCGGAGGCGGAGCTGGACGACGCCGGCGGGGGAGGGCCGTCGGCGACGGAGCAGCTGGGCTCAGGCGCGGAGCTCGACTCTCTCGACGGTGAGAGGCGCGAGGCGGGGCGGGAGATGATGCTCGCCGCCGCCGAGGGCGCCGCCGAGGACGGCTGCTCCCCCGGCATGGGCTGGGCGCTCCGCCGCACGTACCTGCTCGCGTGGGGCCTGCACATCCCCGCGGACGGCTCTCTGCACGCCACGTCGGCGCCGGCTGGAGGCGAGCCCGGCGCCCGGCTCCCGATGCTGCGCAGCTGCCCGCCGCACGCATGTGGGGAGGGGTCCGTGTTCACAGTCGGTGTTCCCACCGCTAGGTCGCGCGTCCGGCTCCGAGCTGGGCAGTTGCGTCGAGGGCTTGGCCGAGCTGCTGCACGGCTGCAATCTCTCGGGCTCGATGGCCGCCGCCGGCGCGTGGTTCGAGGAGCAGGGCTTGGACACGGTGGCGGAGCTCAAAAAGGCGCGGATGGAGGCTGACTTTGTGGCGGCGCTTCAGCTGAAGCCTGGCAAGGAGCGAGTCCTCCTCGCGGACATCGACTCCTTCTACTAGTCAAACTAGCGGCGAGGCCCGCGCCCTGCCCGCGGCTCCGGATGTGGCACATTAAATGTGGTCGCAATGTGGTTGGCCGTGCTTGCCTAGTGCTCCGGGCTCCGGCTCTCCGCGCGAGATGCGGGCGAGAGAGTACACGCGGCGCTATACGCGCCGGCCCTCCCTCTAGTACCACCGCTCTACACACATGTCTTTGTTCATATCGCGGCATCGGGGTACACAACACAGCCGTACCGATCTTACCGCTCTGTGGTGATGCGCATGAGTCTCTCACTTCGGGCTGTGTGGTGTGTCTCTCACAGCCGAGGGATATGTGTTGTCCAAGCATGTTCATACGCTCGAGATATACGATTCTCTGTGTGTGTGTGGATACAGTATATACACGGATGTTAATCATATTGTGAAAATTGATCTTTGTCCACGATGTGTTGTGAATCTTGAGACTTGATGGATGATGGTAGATGGACTTGAGCACCGTAAAGGACGTGGTGATTTCCCCACAAATGTGCGGAGAGAGAGAGAGTTCTGAGATGTGCATGTGCATTGTGTGCTCCGAGGAGCGAGTTATTGTCGGAGACGCGGAGAGGAGCGAGAGCATACAACAAGACAGACCAACGTACTGAGGTCAGCGCACCGCTGACGCCGCGTGCACATCAGAGCCGGCCGAGCCCCTCCCTCACGAGCACGAGGCCATCGGCCGGATCGCCGCTCAAGTCGTACACCGTGGATCCGTCCGAGGGGCGCGGGCCACCGTCGAGGACAAAGTCGACCTCGGTGCACCAGCTCGCCGACTCGCTACCCTCGAGCGGGTACGAGCACGCGAGCTGGTCGCCCGCCTCGCCGGTGGGAACTGTCGAGCACAGCAGCGGCTCGTCCAGCGCCTCGAGCACGGCGAGGCAGACCGGATCGTCGGGCATGCGGACGCCAACCGTGTCTCGCTTCCACTGCCGCGCGCCGTCCTTGTAGATGCCCCGCGGCAGCGAGGCGGACGCCGGCATGATGAACGTGAACGGGCCGGGCAGCGCGCTCTTGAGCAGTTTGAAGCCCTCGCGCGTGACTCCCTTCGTGTACTCCTCGACGTCGGCGAGCGAGCGGCAGAGCAGCGAGAGCGGCTTCTTCTCGCCGCGCGCGCCCTTGAGCGCGAGGATCCGTTTCGTGCCGTCCTTGGAGGAGAGCGGCGCGACGAAGCTATACGAGACGTCGGTGGGCAGCACGCCGCACCCTCCTCTCTCCAGTGCCTCAATCGCACCAGACGCGCGCCACATGTCAGACCCGTCGGCCTGCACCTCCAAAAATTGCGTCGGCTGGCGCGATGCGCGGCGGCTACGCATGTTCATCGTGGCCGTCTCGGCGCGGCGGGAGCATCCCACCGCCACACGAGACCGGACCGGCAGCAGTCGCACGTAGGACGCTGATGCGAGAACGATGGTGAGCAGAGACATAGCAATAGCAGCGGCCTGAGACCGCCGGGGTGTGCCTTCGTGAGGGAGCTTTCGGGAGCTTTCGCGCGAGCGGCGTCTGGGCAGCCGGCCTCGAAAAGAATTTTAGCATTTTGTGCGGCGTGCCGTTCTCCCATCCCTCCCTTGGGTTGTCCGTTTTCTTTCTTTCTTTCTTACACTGGGCACGGGACTGGCGCGCGCGAAAAGAAGTCTTTTTCGGAAGTTGTCAGCACACCTGTGCAAGAACGCCGCGGAGGAGGGCAAGGACCTCTGCAGCGAGTGTAAGGAGAGCGAGCTCCTCCCGTGCCGCGACTTGGGTCCCGGGCAGCCGGCCTCGAAAAGAATTTTAGCAAGGTGTGGTGGCGGCGTGCCGTTCTCCCATCCCTCCCTTGGGTTGTCCGTTTTCTTTCTTTCTTTCTTACACTGGGCACGGGACTGGCGCGCGCGAAAAGAAGTCTTTTTCGGAAGTTGTCAGCACACCTGTGCAAGAACGCCGCGGAGGAGGGCAAGGACCTCTGCAGCGAGTGTAAGGAGAGCGAGCTCCTCCCGTGCCGCGACTTGGGTCAGCGGTGTGCAAGGGTTGGGACTTTTTGGATTTTGCGGGTATGGCAATCGATGCAAGACCATACCCCCCCGCCTGCTGGAAATATAGAAATTCACGGGGCAAGCCCATCTCACAGAGACACGAATGGCACGGAAAAGAATTTCACCGCAAAACAAAAGATGCCGCCGTTGCGTGTCGGGGATTGCGATCACATCAGCCCAGGACACAGAGCGAGAGGCTCGTTAGGCGCATGTGCAGGTGTCCCTCTGCCGAGGAGCTTGTGGCGGTGACGGTGAGCCTGGGACTTGCGGCGGAGACGGGAACCCTCTGGCTGCCAGCGACGTCGTTGCGCATGAGTGCGCCCGCTTGCACGTCATCCACCAGCACCACCATCGAATCGTCCTGATCTCTGCCCTCCGCCTCATCCGCCGCCCAGGTCATGGCGACGGCAGAGATGATGACGTCGCTCTCGTGCACCCACGTCGTAGAACGGCAGTCGCCGAGCCGTAGTACGCTTGTAATCGATGGACAGCCGGACACTAGCGCGAAGTCGTCGCCACTAAGCGACTTGCTTTCGCATCGCCACAGGCAGTCAGTGCCGCACTGACTGGCGTGTCGCCCTCCCGCGGACTCCTTCCGTTCGGGGCTTCGGCGTGGCTCACCCGTGCCCAAAAGAAAGAAAACGGACAGCATCAGGCCAAGCTAGGGCTGGGTCGAGCACAGAGACATAGTTCACATAGACACGTCCCCACCTTTCCCACCTTTTTGCAGGTCACCCGCCCCGTGCCCAGTGTTGGGCGCGCCCACGATTTTTTGTCGTGCTAATGAGCTGTACCTTCTCCTGGAAAAGTTATTTAGGGACAGAGCCCCCTATCGCCGCCCAGTACGTGCTCCGCAGCTGAGCCCACGCACCCCACAGCAGCTCAGGGACACAATAAGCTCGCATACAAGTGCTGGTACGCACAGCTCGACGCGTACTCGAATGCTGCCACTGTCATTCTAGCCGGCGAGCGGCGGCGTCACAGCGTCGACTCTCGCATCGCGATGAGACGCACCGCTTGCCCAGACGCGCGCCTTGGCGCGCTCCTGTGGTGCAGGAGGAAGGCCAGCGGTCGTGCTGCGCAGGCCCGGCCGTCTGGCTGAAGGGAGCAGCAGCTGGCGGGTCTCGTACACGCTCCTCCTCAGGACTGACAGGAGGAGGAGCTCCAGCCGCAGCGCCGGCGGTTTCAATCACGCCTGTCACTCTACAAGCGGCGCAAAGTCGCCCTCGAACTCCTCGCGGTCGCGCTGGCGCGCCGCGCCGTCCGGGCCGTAAGAGCCGAGCCTGGTCTGGGCCCGCTCTAGCCAGCCGTAGAGGAGGGGGCGGCAGCGCTTGTAGGCCAGAGCCCCGTCCACCGCCTCGTACCAGCGCATCTTTGCGGGCGGGAGGCGGAGGACCGTGGTCTCAGAATCGAAAGCCGTGTAGCCGAGGGTGGCCGTGTCTGGCACGGTGGCGCGGGTCAGAGAGGAGCAGTCGCAGAAGGCGTAGTCGTCGATGAAGGTGAGGCCGGCAGGGAGGGTGACGGAGGAGAGGGCGGAGCAGTCGGAGAAGGCGCTGCTGCCGATCGAGGTGAGGCCGGCGGGGAAGGTGACGGATGTGAGAGACAAGCAGCGGTAGAAGGCTTGCTCGCCGATGGAGGTGAGGGTGGCGGGGAGGGTGACGGTGGCGAGGGCGGAGCAGCCGAAGAAGGCGTGGCTGCCGATGGAGGTGAGGCCGGCGGGGAGGGTGACGGAGGCGAGGGCGGAGCAGCGGTAGAAGGCGCCGTTGCCGATGGAGGTGAGGCCGGCGGGGAGGGTGACGGAGGAGAGGGCGGAGCAGCGGTAGAAGGCGCCGTTGCCGATGGAGGTGAGGGTGGCAGGGAGGTCGATGGAGACGAGCGAGGAACAGCCGTGGAAGGCGCCTTCGCCGATGGAGACGAGGCTGCGCGGGAAGGCGACCGAGACGAGAGAGGCGCGGCCGAGGAACGCCCGGTCCGGCAGGTGCGTCATGCCTTCGGGCAGCACCGCGCGCCCGTCGGCGACGACGACCTGCCAGCCGCCCACGTCCAAATTCTCTGAGCCGGGCGGCGGCGCGGCGTCGCTCGGCGGCGGCGCCGAAGGCGTCAAGCCGGGGACCACCATCGTGTGGGGAAAAAAAAGACCGCGCCGGAAAAAGAACTCGCCAAGCGCTCTGTCCTCATCCTAGTCCTAGTCCACTTTTTTTCTTTATTGCGGCAAAAAACAAGAAGAAAAAACGTCGCGCCGAAAATTGTTGGCGCGAAATCGACGACGAAGCTCCCCCCGCGGAAGACCGCGCGTAGCGACGCCTTGACGATCGAGATGGGCGCGCCTGAAGCTCGCCCACCTACTGCCCCTGAGAGTTGGTTACGAGTGACACACACACACACACTCAGTAGGTAGGTAGGTAGAAAGGTGAAGAACAGCCAGGCTCGGACTGGACACCAACGCGGTATGGGTGGACGCTAGACAGATGATGACGACACGCACAAGACACTCACACACTGTGAAGAAAGAAAACAATCTCATACGTTGGCGCGAAAGCTCCAAGACACGCTGCTTCGCGCGAAACACTTTCGCAACCTCGATGTCTCTTACCTCGCACTTCCAGTCCCGCAAGCGCACTGAGCGGGAGCCGCCGCAGCTCTCCAAGTACGAGGCCAAGCGCGCGCGCAACATCGCCGAGAACCAGGCCGCCCTCCAGGCGCTTGGCCTCGCCGAGCCCGTCCTGATGCCCGCCAAGCCCTCAAAGTCGACCAAGGCCAAGGCCAGCCGGCCTGCGCCTCCAAAGCGCAACAAGCTGGACCCGCTCTCGGTCTGGGCTCGCGGCGGCTCCGGCACCACCGCCGCCGCCAAGCCGTGCGCCGAGCCTGGCTGCCGGCGGATAGACGATCATTTCATGGTCGAGTGCGACGTCGGTGCGCGACTCCCCATCGCCCCTCACCTCCCCGCCCCCGACTCGCCAGTCCTCCCCATCCCCCCACTCTGCCTCGCCCGCCGCCTGTCCCCGCCGAGACCTCCACCCTGCTCCACGCCCTCTCCGCTGACAGCCTCGCCCCGCCCGCCCGTGCAGCCTGCGAGGTGTGCCGCGGTCTGGACGACGAGGTCAACAACGAGATCCTGCTCTGCGAGGGGGAGGGCTGCGGCGTGGGCTACCACATGCGCTGCCTCGACCCGCCCCTCTCCCGCGTCCCCCGCAAGCAGTGGCTGTGCCCCGGCTGCGCGCCCGCGCCCGCCCTGTCCGCCTCCTCGCGGCTTTGCTCCCCACAGAGCGGCGGCGGCGGCAGGGCCTCGACCTCGCGCGGGCCAATGTCGCCCGTGCGGACGATCGGCTCCCCCCTCCGCACCACCCGCTCCCCCGCCCGCCTCGCCGCCCGATCGCCGGGTCGCTCGCCCCGCAGCGGCGGCGGCGGCGGCGGCGGCGGAGGCGGAGGCGGCGGCGGAGGAGGGAGCCCCGAGGGAAGCGGCCACGCGCGGCGGCGGTTCCTGCTGCGGCGCTCCGAGTGCGAGGGCACCCTCCGCAGCCTCCAGGGTGAGCTCACCCTCTCCGCCATCCCCGAGCGGCTCCTCTGCCGCTCGGCGCAGCTCGAGGCGCGAGATTAGCCGAGATGCGTCCGAGATGCATCAGAGATGGAGAGGCGGCCGAGAGGCAGCCGAGAAGCAGCCGAGAGGCGGATGAGATCGAGCCGAGAGGCGGACGAGAAGGTGCCTCCCCCTGCGGTCTAGCCAGAGGCGCGAGCGCGCCGCCGCCCTCAACGCTCGCTGCCATAACCCACCGCCGACCTTGCGCCCCTCACACGCCCTCGCCGCCGCCACCGCTGCCACCGCTGCCACAGCTGCCACCGCCGCCGCCTCCCCAACCCCACCCCCGGCCCCCCAACCCCACCCCCGGCCCCGTCCTCAGGCGCTGCTCCAGTTTGGCGGCGAGCGACTCAAGGCGGGCAGCGGCGGCGGCATGTACGTCGCCGGCTCGCCTGGCCTCGGCAAGTCGATGACGGTTCGCGAGGCGTTCCGCCTCCTGTCTGCGGGCGAGGCGTGTGCCGGCAAGGCGGCCGACGCACCGCCGCCGTGCAAGTCGTGCTTCGTCAACGGCTTCCAGCTGCAGACGCCGGCCGCCGTCTACGCCGCCCTCCTCGCCGAGCTCGGCGTCGACGACGCCGCCGTCGAGGCCGCGACCGGGCCTCGGCAGGCGCTCGAGCGCTTCTTCGTGACGGCGGCGGCGGAGGAGGCGGAGGGGCGGCCGGCGGGCGCGCGCCGCCGCACGCGCGTCTCAGGCGCGTCGGAGGCGGGCGGCAGCGCCGAGGCCGACGCCGGCGCGCTCGTCGTGGCTGATCCGGTCGGCGGGGCCGGCGGGGCCGGTGGGAGCATGTGCCTCGTTGTGATTGACGAGCTCGACCAGCTGCTCAGCAAGGAGAATGAGGCGCTCCACTCGCTCTTCGGATGGGCGGCGGCGCCCTCCTCCCGCCTCGTGCTCGTCGGCATCGCAAACTCGCTCGACTTGGCGCGCGGACGCTTCCCCACCCGACACACCCCATCCCACCCCATCCCCCTCTCACCGCCGCCGCCGCCGCCGCCGCGCTCTCCACCCTACTCGCCCGTCCCCAAGCCACCACCTTCACACACCCCCTCCCCGACCTCAGATGGAGCGCTGCCTGCCGCGGCTGCGCTCGCGCGGCGCCGCGCCCAGGCCGCTCACCTTCCCGCCCTACTCCGCCGACGAGCTCGCCGCCATCCTCACGCAGAGAGTCGACCAGGCCCGGGTGGCGGCTGGAGAGCTGGCGGCCGGCGCGCAGCCGCCAGAGCAGCCTGCTGCGGCGACCCCTGCGGCGAGGCGGGCGGCCCGCGCCACGACGCCGCCGCCCGGCTCCCCCGCCGCTCCCGCCTCGCCCGCCGCCGCGCCCGCGCCCGCGGCCGCGCGGGCGTTGGATTTGCCGCGCACGGCGGTGGTGGAGCCGTCGGCGATCGTCTTTTGCGCGCGCAAGGTGGCGGCCGCGTCGGGGGACGCGCGGCGCGCGCTGCAGGTGTGCGCCGCCGCGGCGGAGGCGGCGGCGGAGGAGCTTCGCGTCTCGCCCGCCTCCCCCGTTCGAGGGGGCGGGGGCGCCGCCGCCGCACGGCCAGCCTGGCGCGCCAGACGGCGTGAGGCTTCCCTGGGGTGAGGGGCTGACTGGCCTCACGCGTTGCCGCTTCGCTCTCCGTAGGCTCGACAAGCCGGCGCTCCGCTTCCAGCACATGTCGGCCGCCCTCGCCGCCACCTTCAAGTCTCGCGCCGTCGCGCTGCTCGAATCGCTGCCGCAGCACCAGCAGCTCCTGCTGTGCGCCATGGTGCTGCGCGGCCGGAAGAGCAGCGGCGGCGGCGGCTGCACTTTGGCTGACTTGCACGCGTCGTACAAGCGGCTCTGCTCGTCGCAGAAATTGCCCGCCCTCCCCGTCGGCGAGATCCTCCCGCTCTGCAACAACATTGCCGCGTGCGGTATCTTTGGCGTCGGCGCCATCGGCGCGTCCTCGCTGCTGCGCTCGAGCGCGCGCCGGGCCGCCGACCTCTCGACGCCGGTCTGGCTCTGCATCGCCGAGAACGAGCTGCGCCAGGCCACGCGCGAGCTCCGCTTCTTCCGCAACATTCTCGGCGACCAGCAGGGCGGCAGCAGCGCGTAAAGGGCCGGGACGCGGACGGGCTCGAGGCGCGGAGTCGTCACTTGCTCCCGATTGCGTATCCCGCCCCTCGCCCTATAAAGTGCGTGCGCCTGTCGGAGCTGGAAGTTGGCGCTCAAGATTTTGCAAGCGAGTAAGAAACAAAACAACAGGAAATGGACTCGTCGTCTGACGTCTCCCACGCACGGCTTCACACGGCTAGAGCTAGACCGTTCACCGAGTTAAAGTAGCAGTTACCCCCCCAGACCGCCCTTTCCCGCTACAACTCGACGCGCCCCGCTCGGGGCCGCTACATTTGCTTCTTGAGGAAGCTCTCCGTGGCGGTGTGCAGCACAGCCTCGATGATGCCGATCACCTATGGCGCCGTCGAGGGACGCGTCGCCGACGCGTCTCGGGTGTGCGGTGCCTCGACGGGGGAGCGGTCGCCGTGAAGACGCCGCCGATGATGGCGCACGTCGAAGTGACGAACCTGCTCGCAGCAGAGCGAGCCGTCTGCACACGCCCTCTCACAGGCCCGGTGGAGGGCGGCCGGCCTGCCGGCCCCGGGGGGGGTGGGGGGGGGGGGGGGGGCCCCCGTAAAGGGGCATCCCCTGCTGCTGCACGACAATTGAAATCGGGGAGAGGTCCTACCTAAAAAAAAAAAACGGGGGGTTTTTTGCGGCCGTTTTCCTGTTTTGCGGAACAAATGCAGGCGGGAGGGGTTGCTTGAAGTCCAAGGACGGTTCCTGCCCCTCGGGGGAGGAGTACTTGTTGGAGGGCACCTGCCGCCGCGCCCGCGGGAAATCAAAAGGGGGGAGGGGGGAGGGGAAAGGGCTGGGGGCAGGGAAACCGGAGGGGGGGGGGGGGGGACGGCGGAGGGGCGGGGCAGGGGGGGCGGGGGAGGGGCGGAGGAGGGGCGGCGGGGGGCGGTGCGGGGCGGTGCGGCGTGGCAGTCGCGCCAAAGTTGACGGCGTGCGACGAGTTGATCTCCCCACATCTCCCCATCTCTCCCCATCGCTCACCAAAACTCGTTGACGGCGTGCGACGAGTTGATGAGCGCGTGCTCATGGTCGTGCTCCGGTGAGTGGAGGACGAGCTTGAGCACTCCCGGCACCTTGCGCACGCGGAGGTGGCCGGCGACCATGCAGCCTGCGGCGGAGAGATGGGTGAGAGATGGGGAGATGTGGGGAGATGTGGGGAGATGTGGGGAGATGTCCCTCTGGCCCGTGGTGCAGCGATCCCGACGAGGAGACAGGCGCAGTCGCGTTGTTGATTTTGAGGTAGGAGGTCCACTGCTTGTCTGCGTTGACCTATTCTCAGTCCTACGGCTGGTGTGGTGGCTCTTGAGTCTGGGGTAGGAGGTCCTCTGCTTGTTCTGCGTTGACCTGCGCCTCGCCCGCCCTGCCGCTCTTGAAGTAGATGAGGGGGTTCTCGCCTGGTGCGTCGGCGCGGCGCGTGACGTCCCCCGCTCTCTCTCTCCCTCTCTTCTCTCTCTCCCTATTGCGGTGCGCGGCTGCGCGCCCGGCATGAACGGGTCCGGCTCGAGGTATGGGGAGGTATGGGGGAGGTATGGGGGAGGTATGGGGGAGGTATGGGGAGATATGGGGAGATATGCGCGCCCGGCATGAACGGGTCCGGCTTGGCGTCCTTGGCAGGCATCTCCTCCGCGGCGTACGTGAAGCCGATGCACTCCTCGTTGTTGCCGCAGAAGGTGTTCGCAGCCACGATGGGCATCTTGGCGCGGTAGAGGTCGCGGCCCGCTGACAGGGCGCCGCGCCGCACCTATGGAGCCGAGAGGTCGCCGAGAGGTCGCCGAGAGATCGCCGAGAGGTCGCCGAGAGATCGCCGAGATGCTGCAGGCAAGGCGCCGCGCCGCACCTCGAAGCGCGCGGCATGCTGCTTCCGCAGCACGGCGTGCGAGGTGCGGTAGGAGTCCTGTTCACAGCGCGAGGTGTGACGAGACGCTGTTCACAGCAGCACGGCGTGCGAGGAGCGGCAGGAGAAGGCCATCTGCTTGCGCACAAAGCCGAGGATGGCGCCCACCGACCGCTCGTCGGTGAAGAGCTCAAACTCCTGTTCACAGCTGCAGGTGTGAAGGAGGCGCCGCTCACCGCCGCCCGCCGCCCGCCCGTCCCCAGAGCTCGAGAGGCCTTGTCGTTGCCGTCTTTGTACATGCGAAGCGTCGGGTAGGCGCGAATCATATGCTTGACGCAAAACTCCTGGAAGGCGACGCAGTCGACCTGACACAGAGACGAGCGGCGTCCAAAGACAGCTGTGAAGCGGCGGCACTCCTTGGGCGCGGCGGCGCGCGCGCGTCACCTGCGCCAACCGCGTGTGCCCGTGGAACTCGAGGCTCGGCACCTTTGCGGCCGCCTCGAGGTAGACAGGCTCGAGCCGCTGGCACCAGATGCACCAGGGCGCGTAAAAGTTGACCTGTTCACAGCTGCAGGTGTGAAGAGACGCTGCTCACAGCACCAGGGCGCGTAGAAGCTGACCAGGCTGAGCTCGTGCTGCTGCAGGAAGGGGACGAACGTGTCCGGCGACAGCGGCTGCGAGAGGTCCGTGTCGGGCGGCTCCTCCTCATCCTCGTCGCCGTACGACGGCGAGACCGGCTCCTTGGACATGGCAGCGTCCGCCGCCCGCTTCGCATCCCTCGTCTCCACCGCGCTCACCGCCGCCGCGTCCCGCACGACTCGCTGGTTCGAGTCGAGCCGCCACTTGAGGATGTCCTGTTCACAGCGGAAGGTGTGAAGAGACGCTGTTCACAGCATCGAGTCGAGCCGCCACTCGGGGCTGTCCTTGCGGATGTCGTGTGTCGCGGCGCCCGTCATGTCGGAGACGTCCACCGAGAGGAACTCGCACGGCACCTGGTGCAGCGTGACGTTGAAGTTGACTCGCAGCGTCTCGTCGACAAGCTCGTCGACGACAAGGTCGGTGGTCGAGGTGACTGTGAGATACGCCGAGAGCTCAAAGAGGAAGAGGGTGATCAGCACAACCTGCGGGCCGGCAGGCGCGCGCAGGCGCGTGGAGCCCAGAGCGGGACCGCGGCGGCGGCTGCCCCGACGTGCGGCGCAAGCAACAGCGGGACTCCCTCATATCTCCGGCCGGTTCGGCAGTCCGGCGGCTCCTCTGCTTTGAGAGGAGCAGGCTCGGCGCCGGCGGCATGGCGGCGCGGCGCACCGTGCCGAGAGCGGAGATGATGAGGCCGGGCGTGGAGGTGACGACGAGGTCGTCAGGGACGTGTTTGAAGTAGTTCAACACAGGTCCGTAGCTCTTGCGTCCCATGGCCCCGAGGTGGCGGTCCTGTGGGTGGCGCGGCGAGCGCGATCGGGCGAGAGGGAGGGCCGGTGGTGCGGATGTGTGGCGCGACTCACAGCGCTGATTCCGCGTGTGGCCGGCGCCTGTGCCAAGTAAAACGCGGACTTGCACGGGCGAGGGTACGCGGTGAGCGTTGAGCCTTGCGCGCAAGGCGGTTGATCTTTGCAACTGCTGGCGGCGAGAAGCCGCCGCCGAATGTCTCGTGGAGAAGCAGGTTGAACTTGTTTCGTTTGGTGAAGATCCCATCATGGTAGTGGCCACGCTGTGACTTGACGTAGCCTTGGCCGGTGGTGTGGTCGAACGCCCGTTGACCACGGAACCCGCGTTGCTTGCTCCTTGCAGCCCATGTTTGCAAGGCGGGCGCGCTCTTCGGTGTTGCCGAAGGCGAACTTGTCTCCAACGGAGCCGGGGTTGCCTCCGGTGTCGGCGCGGCCGACCCCAACGGGCAAGCCACCCCGGAGGGGGGTCCAAAGTTTGACCTCGCTGATCTCGTCTTTGCCCCCGGGGGGGCCTCGCCCGGCTCAGCCAGGTCGGTTTTGTAGCCCTCGTTGAACTGTTTGGTGAGTTCTGTTTTTTCGGCATCTCCCATAACGGGCCGGGAGACGGAGACGGCGTGGACACAATCGTACCAGGCGCGAAGTACGCCGTCGTGAGGGCGCCGCCGGGCGCGCTTCCGCCAAAGGAAAAAATCTCGGTCCGAACCGGGCTCCGGGGACCACGCAGGGAGCAGCATCTGCAAAAGAAATTCCTAAATAGGGAAGAAGAAAGAAGAAATATGCTCGCCCGGACGCCTTCGCGGCCTCGCCGTGCTTTGCCTTCGCCGTCGCGGCCGAGAGCCTTGCTCTCTTCGTTCTCGCGGCCGAGCTTTCCGAAGGCCTCGATCATGACCTCCTCGCCTTCAACTGCGGGGGCCGCTCCCTATCCCTGAGCGGGCTCAATTTTGCTCTAGGCACTTAGGGCGTTCACACCTGAGCAGGCTCAATTTTGCTCTAGGTGCCTCCATTGCAATACGATTCGATCCCGCGTTCAGAGACAGAGTCGCCTTGGTGCGTTGTTCGGTTTCGTCACGGGAGCCATGCACATACCAACCCTCGCTTGCCCCCCCCTCTCAGGGTTTCACCGCTCTGACAAACAAACCTTCTTTGGCGACCCGGAAGCCTGCAAGAAGGAGCTCACCGCGCACCTCAGGAAGAAGCTCGCGCCGCTCGACGTCATCGACACGATCGTCGACACTGACTGCGGCACGAACACCTCGCAGCTCCGCCTCAACCTCGTCCAACGGATTGCCTGCGCAAAGACCAAGTACATTGCCGGCATCACGCCGCCCAATGTCGCGTGCGACGCTCTCGAGTTTGCGCACAACCGCATCCGCAAGTCCTTTGAGAGCATTGCTCGCGCCGACGCCTCGCCCCAGGCGCTCCGCGACCTCGCGTGGCTCCAGGCGCAGCTGCCGACCGAGATGGGCGGGTGCAACATCGACACCGCCTTCTCGCGCGCCGACAGCGACTTCTCCATGTCGCTCCTCAAGAACTGGCGCACCCTCGTCGCCCACAACCCCGACTTCGCCCACGACGAGGGAGGTGCGTCCAAGTACCCCGCCATCGCCGCAGCTATCGCCACCTACGAGTCCGCCCTCTCGGACTGGAAGGAGGTGTGCGAGAAGCGCGCCGCCCGCGACAAAAACAAGTACTACACCGTCCGCGGCGGCTACCTGACTGAGTTCTACCCCAAGAGCGTCCCGCTCCCCGAGCCCGAGTCCCTTCCAGCTACCGACGCGATTCTCAATGGCACTTGCAAATCCACGTACCCGCGGCCGCGGGCGCTCGCTGCCATCAAGAATCACAAGGACTGGTACGCGCACCAGGAGCTCGTCAAGGCGCGGGATGTGCACGTCAAGAACAACCCGTCCCTCGGAGACAGCGCCGTCAACAACCGCGAAGCCGCGCGCTTCGTCTCCGCCTCAACGCCTTTCGCCGGCAAGGCCTTCGATGTCCGTGTCGACGGTACGTACGCCACCGCCCTCTCCTCCGACACCCTCCAAGACGAGCTCCAGCGAAAGCTCGGCCTTTGGCTCTCCGCGGCGCTTCCCACCCTTCGGGTCGCGCTCGAGCGGGGCATGCCAGTCGATTTCTTCGGCGACTACCTTTACAACAAGGCCCACCACCGGCGGCCCCACGACGGCGTCCTCGCCGCCTGGGCGGACGCGATGCGCGCCCCGGCCAACGCGCCGGTCGTGCACGGCGACAAGGAGAAACCAGAGCTCACCCGGCAGTACAACGAGGGGTACAAGGTCGACCTCGCGGAACCCCATGCGGGACCGGGGGGGTGCGATGAAGTGAATGAAATCAAGCTCTGGACGCCCCTCGCCCCCTCCTCAAGACCTCCTCGCCGGGCGTTGGCAACGCCTCGAGTGGCGGCACGCCCGCCTCCGTTGGCCACTCCTACGCCTTCGGCAACACCGAAGAAAAGGCCCGCCGCCTGAACATGGGCTGCAAGGCGCGCGGGCAGCCCAGCCAACCCTTCTCCCACAAGACCGGCCACGGCTACGTCAAGGCGCATCGCGGTTTCTACCACGACGCGATCTTTGTCAAGCGCAACAACTTCAACCTGCTGCTCCACGAGACGTTCGGCGGCGGCTTCTCGCCCACCGCCGTTCTCAAGCTGCGCCGCCTCGCGCGCAAAGTCGCGCGCGGCAGCGTTGACCGCACGGCCTACTCGCCCAAGTACTCGCTCTCTTTTATGTCCCACCATGCAGAGCGCATCTCTCTCTCTGTTGTGCGAGGCGTGAACCGCGCCATTCGCTCTCACCTGGCAACCCTGTCTGCACGTCTCGCGCGCGCGTGAACAGGGCTCCAGGCCCCAAATTACGTGTGAGTGTTAGAGTTGTTTGGTATTGCTAAAAATCTCTCTCTCCGCTCTGAGGCCGCCCCTTTGGTTGGTCGCTCCACGGCGCACTCCTGCCCGTCAAGACTCACGCGACCCTGCAGCAAGAGCTGGGCGTCTCGGTGAGGTGGAGAGGCACGCTGCGGAGGACGACGTCGATCGGCATTGCTTCTTTCTCCTCGTAATACTACAAACGGTGGCGCGGCGAAGCGGCGTGAAAGCGGACATGAAGAGTTTGTTGTTTGAGAGAGAGATTTTTAGCAATACCAAACAACTCTAACACTCACACGTCATTTGGGGCCTGGAGCCCTGTTCACGCGCGCGCGAGACGTGCAGACAGGGTTGCCAGGTGAGAGCGAATGGCGCGGTTCACGCCTCGCACAACAGAGAGAGAGATGCGCTCTGCATGGTGGGACATAAAAGAGAGCGAGTACTTGGGCGAGTAGGCCGTGCGGTCAACGCTGCCGCGCGCGACTTTGCGCGCGAGGCGGCGCAGCTTGAGAACGGCGGTGGGCGAGAAGCCGCCGCCGAACGTCTCGTGGAGCAGCAGGTTGAAGTTGTTGCGCTTGACAAAGATCGCGTCGTGGTAGAAACCGCGATGCGCCTTGACGTAGCCGTGGCCGTTCTTGTGGTCGAAGGGTTGGCCGGGCTGCCCGCGCGCCTTGCAGCCCATGTTTGTTGTTGTTTTGTGTTGACATGAATGACAGAGAATTTTACAACGACACTCCCTGATTGACAGAGAAAAAAGAATCCCGTCGAGCCGCCACGAGGTTCTCTTTTTCGCCGTCCCAAACTGTCACTCCCCTTTCTCCCGGCCGTGGGGCGCGGGCCCGAGAGTAATAAAATTGAAGGCGCGGAAGAAAAAATAAAATTCGAGCCACACTGCCTTTGACATGGCGCTGAATCATACATGCCGCTGCAGCACCCTCGTCGTCGCTCGCTACAACGAGTCCCTCGACTGGACTACGGGCATCCAGGCGCCGGTAGCTGTGGTGCAGAAGACGGCAAATGTTGGTCGTGAGTCTCTCAGCTTCTTGCAGTGGATCGTTGAGCATTATGCGCACATCGAGCACGAGCACGTGTGCGTGTGCTTCGCCCAGGGCGGGCCGTTCATCTCCACAGGGCCATCGGGACAACCCTGCTACCTCACCGCACCTCTCGTCAACGCAGCACGCCTGAATGCCGACCAAGACGTCGCCCGCCTCGCTCCGTGCCAGGCAATCCTGCAGCACACGGCGTGTGGTCTGAACCCACGGTGGCAGCTGCCGTGCTTCGGGCCACTCCTCCGTGCTGTTCTCGGACGGCACGCCCCACCTGAGGACAGACTTTTTCGGACCTTTGCGGGGGCATTCATGATCGTGCGCTCCGCAGCGATTACGCGCCTGCCGCTCGACGTCTATTGGTACTTACTGGCGGAGCACTTTGGCGCCGGTTGTGCCCTGCGCGTGCCGTGGGCGATGGAGCGGCTTTGGCGACACCTCTTCATGTGCCGTGAATGCACACCGCACCAGAAGCTCGAGCTGCCTGTCTTGCGGGACCGGCGATGCCGCGGGGTCAATGGCTCCCGCGCGGCGCGGACCGGCCCGCCCGACTATGTGGCCTTCCCGCCGGAGCCACTTGCGGGGTTCGCCTGGGCTATCTAACCCGAACCCGAACCCGAACCCGAACCCGAGCCCGATTCCGAGCCCGATTCCGAGTCCGGAGCTGCGCTGCACGCTGGGGGACGAGTACGAGGTCTGTCGGCTACGTAGTCAAGGGGTTGCTAGGGCAAGGGCTGGGGCGAGAGTCAAATTGGATTAGGGCTAGGGCAAGGGCTGGGGGGCGAGAGTCGCGGATGGGTTCACTCAGCCACCTTCTCGGCCCGCACGCTCCATATCTCCCCATATCCCCCCACAGATGATCGCCTCGAGCGGCGGCGAGAACAGCTGCATCACCTTCGAGCAGTTCAAGGCGATGATGCTCAAGGACATGAAGGCTTTCTCCTTGACGAACCGGAATCGGGTCTCGACACGTACACAGCAGTCACTGCCAACTCAGTGCTGAGGGCGCGCTGCTGGTGGGCACCAGGCGGCTGCGCGTCGCCGCGGTGGCGTCGTCGCGGCAGCCTCAGCTGCGCCTGCGGTGCGAGGAGCTGCGCGACGCCGCTGCTGCGGACGCCGCGGCGGTCGAGTCCGCGCGCGACCCAGCGCGCGCAGGAGGATCGTCTTGAAGCCTGGGCGGCGCTGCGCGGATTGCCAGTAAAAAGAATTCGGAGGCTCGTGCGGGCCGCCCAGCGGCGCTTGGAAAGCCCCTGTGATCGCTGCCCGGCCAGCGGCGTCAGAGCCTCCTCGCGTGCACCGGTATACATGCGCGCCCCCGGAGACACGGACGACGCGTACGGATTCGGCAACGGCACTCCCTCCTACTCGTACACGCCACAGCAGCCGCAGCAGGCTGCGCCGCAGCTGCCGCAGCCGACGGGCGGCGTCGGCTTCCAGCCACAGCTGGGCGGGTACGGCGGCGGCGGGTGGGAGAGCACGTCGGGGAGCATGGACGGCGGGGGCGGCCCGCCCGAGCCGAGCGAGGGGATGCGCAAGCGGAACCTGTCGGCGAGCTGGAAGCTTTCGCAGACGCTTCTCGGCGAGGGAGAGGAGGACGAGCCGCCCATCCTGGAGGAGCTCGGGATCAACTTTTCGCACATCGTCTCCAAGACGCGCGCGGTGCTGTGGCCGCGCCGGTCCAAGCTCGACCAGGAGGCGACCGACAGCGCCGGACGCTGCGGGCGACACGTCCACACGACACGTCCCTGAGACGGCTGAGCGACACTTTTTGCAGGTGATCGACGACTCCGACGTGCGTCTCTTCACACCCTGAAGCTGTGAACGGCGTCTCTTCACACCCCGCAGGTGATCGACGACTCGGACTTTGCGGGCCCGCTCATCTTTTGCTTTGCGCTGGCGGCGGTGCTGCTGCTCAAGGGCAAGGTCCAGTTCTCGTACATATACGTCGTGTTTGTGACGGGCCTGCTCGCGCTTTGGGCGGTGCTCTCCCCGCGCGAGTAGAAGCAGCAGGCAGGGCCCCCGGCACGGAAGCGAGCACACGCCGAGACCCGCATCCGCACCGCAGGTGCTCAACCTCATGTCAATGAAGGGTATCGACATCTACCGCACCGCCTCCGTCCTCGGCTACTGCCTGCTGCCGATCGTGCTGCTCGCCGCCCTCTCGCTCCCGCTCGACCTGACCGGCGCGTGGGGGGCGCTCTTCGTGCCGCTGACGGTGTTTTGGTGCTCCAACGCCGCCGCCCTCTTCTTCGTCATCATCCTGCAGGCGGACGACCAGCGGTGGCTCCTCCTCTATCCCGTGATGCTCTTCTACACCGGCTTCGCCCTCATCACCATCTTTTGACGCCGGCGGCGACCGCCGCGCCGTTCCGGCCCCGGCCCTCCTCCTCCCCGTGCGCCTCGGTGAGAGCCTGGATCCCACCGACGCTCACGTCGCTGCGCGCAGTGTAGAGAAGTGCGCTGCGTGGCCCCTAGCCCGCAGTCCTCGGCTCATGCAGGCGAGCGGTGTCGCAGAGTCGCGTGTCGCGATGGTGTCGCAGCCGGGGCGCGGCGGTGGGTAAATTCTGTGCCTGACGATCGGTCGATGGCTGTGCACACGACGAGGGTGAGCTTGGTAGAGACGGCGCCCCAACCTGTGTGCGTTCCGCTAATAACCTCAACGAGACCTCGGCAAGGTGCAGTCATGGTAATCTCTAGTCTTTCTTAGAGATTGAGAGGAGTGAGACCTGAAGATTTCAGGGCAGATCTCAGTCTCTAGTCCCGCCCTTGAGATCTCCCAAATCTTCGTCGAGACTTCAGGTTCAGCCACGAAATCTCAGTCTTCCCGTCGCTCGGTGTGAGTTTCTAGCTGGTGAAACGCGTGAGATCTCAAATGGCGAAGATTCCTTTTCGCTTTGGGAGTTTGAGATTTCGATGAGGGGTGGGAGAGACTGAGACTGCAAGCAAGAGAGATTCCGTTTTCGATGCAGAATGCTGTTGAACTTCCTCAACCTTCCAACGCCATTATCTCGCTTCGTTCGAAAAACATCGCTTGCGCGGGACCACCGAAATCTAGGGCAGCGTGACTCGAGATTTGAGATTGAGACTGGGGGGGGGGGGGGGGAGCCCCGCATACGCCCACACCGTGTTGGCCAGCTCCTGCGGGGTGAAGCCAACCAGCCCGCTCCCCACCGCCGCCTCCGCCACCGCCGGGTACAGCGAACGCACCACCCCTACTTGCAGCTGGCACTTTGCTACGCCGTGGGCGATGTTGGACAGCTCGCGCGCTCGGCACGAAGAAACGAGGTCCAGCGTGCGCTGCACCAGCTGCTCAAGCCGCTCCTCGTGCGGCCGCTCGATGTGCGCTGCTTGCCCAGTTTGTTCCACAGGTTCGCAGCGTGGATGTGGTTCAAGCTCGTGCTGTGGGCAGCAGAGAGCGCGAGCAATGCGTCAGCGCTGCCAGCCTGGCTTATCAAAGTCGTCAGCTTCCGAGGGTCGACCTGATCAGTGTCAGCGCAGCGGCTCGAGAAGGGGCGATCATTGCACACTCGTGCGTCGCGTCCTTGTGCTCCGTGCATCGGCGGTCGCTCCCGGCGATCGCTGTGCCGAGGCTGCCCCTCGCCGCGGCGGTCGCGCCGGTCATGGTCGCGCCTGGGATCGTGGTACCGATCATCGCGCCGATCGTGCCAGTCGCGCTCGCGCTCGCCTCTGCCCCGATCGTCGTAGCCGCGCCGCTCATCATGCCGCCCGTCATGATGCGGCCGTTGCTCGCCTCGCCATGGCTCATCGTGCCATCGCCCAGCGGGCAATTGTGGCTCAGCGTGCCATCGCTGCTCGCGACCACCGCACCAAGAGTCGTTGTAGCCGCGCCGCTCGTCATGCCGCCCGTCATGGTTAATTAGTCATGGTTCGGCCATTGCTCGCCTTGCCAACGCTCATCGCGCCGTCGCAGCTCATCCCGCCGCGGCTCATCGTGACCGCCGTCGCGGTTCGCCATGCCATCGCCACTCTTCGCTTGCGTGCGAGTCCGGCGACCGCACAGCGCGCGTCAGGCGTGTGCAAGGAGTGGCGGCAGTACGTGTTGGCAAGCTTTGAGCACGAGCTCGATCTCGCCGGGATCTGCAGCGAGAAGCACCTTAGCGCACCACACACCTCTCCTTAAAATCCCTGTGTGGTGGCGGCGTGCCGTCCTTCCATCCCTCCCTTGTTGTCTGTTTTCTTTCTTTCTTTCTTTAAACCATAAAAGTAGATTTGAATTAGTCCACGTACGGCTTCGTGAGTGGTTGGGGTGGCCTCAAGCATCCCCAAGGGAGCCTCTGCGGTGCCACATAAGCAGCTTGGTTATTGTCGAGACTTTAAAGGATTCGTTTGAAGAAACGCAAACAGGCCAGACACTACTATGGTCACCAGTAAACCATAATTCGACTTTGAGGGATCATATCTCAAAAAGCCGGGAGATAGCATAGCATTATTGTTGCATATTATACCACATAAGGTCAAACTTGATAGCATACCATAATTCGACTTCGCCCTGGGCCTTACCTGGGGCTCTAGGGGGCGGGCGGGGTTTGCCCCCCAAAACTGGCATGGGCAACCTTAACCCAACGCGGCCGAAGGATATCCAACCTCGAGACCGCGAGACCTGTTACTCCACCACACTTGTTGGCACGAATGATCCTGCCTCGTGTCTTCGCCAGCTCCCTCGCGCTCGCTGCGTCCTCGCTGCGTGCGCGCCCGGCGGTGGCGTGCGCGGCGGCGAAGCACACGCTGCCGTCTTCGGTTCTCGACCAGCAGGGAGCCGCCTTGAGTGAGGCCGCCACGACCCAGCAGCTCGGCGGCAAGCGGGTGGCACTGTACTTTTCCGCGGGCTGGTGCCCCATGTGCACATCCTTCGAGCCGTCGCTGCAGCAGTTTCTCCAGGCCAGCGAGGACAGCGGCAAGCCGTGCTCTCTCATCTACGTGCCGAGCGATCGCACGGAGGCGGAGGCGCTGAGGCGCGCCAAGGGCCTGGGCCTGCTTTCGGTGCCCTTCGAGGAGGCCGATGCGCTCAAGAAGCAGTTCAAGATCTGGGCGGGCGCCGAGTCGATGAAGCTCGGCCCGTTTGGACGCCGCAGCGGCGTGCCGGCGCTGGTGGTGCTGAGCAGCGAGGGCGAGGAGCTGGCCTTCGTGCCCGCAGAGGCCCAGGGCGTGCGCGCGCTGCAGAGCTGGCCGATGGACGACCCGCGTGGGGTGTGGCAGTAGCAGACGAGGGCAGTGCACAGTGATCTGTGCAACATGAGAAAGTACCGTAAAACCGCAGAGCCACGCGTCGACTTGTGCGAGGTGTGAGCCGGACTGTGACGACTGACGTCTGACGACCCCCCTATGTAGCAATTGGTAGCAAGAAAACGTTCTGCCTCTCCCCCTCTCCGCCCTCATCGACCGCCCCGGCCGCGACTGCCGCGCCCCCTCCCGCGCTCGCTCGACTCGGCTGGCCGCCGCAGGCTCTCGGCGTCGTCCGAGCGGTCATAGACCTCCGGTCGCGCGTGCCGTCCGCGCGGACACGCGGCCGGCGTCGCAGCTGCCGCAGTTGTCGACGAAGCGCGTGTGCGTCCAGGCGGCGTCTCTGCGCCCACGGCGCGCAGCCAGAGCAGCCAACGGCGCACGAGGCCGTGCGCGAGCTCCTCCGCGTGCACCATGCACGCCTCGTCGCCGTCGAGCCACCTGGAGGGGAGCAGCGAGGAGTGCGACGACTGGCGCCGCCGCCGTGCCGAGAAGGCAAGCGCGGGCGCTGGAGCCCCCCCCCCCTTTCAAATCACACGGGCGACGCGCTCTCGTACGAGGAGCTCGGGCGGCTGCGCGATCTAGCAAGCCCTGGTCGATGGGTCTTCGGATCGGCGGCCAGCTTCCCACATATGGCAGGTTACGGGCTGGGCGGACCCGCGCCAAGGGGGAGAGAATGGAGGGGGGAGAATATGCGTGCCCGTCTTTCTTCTAAAGCAATTTTTTTAATGTCCGTTTTATTTATTCATTTATTAGCTAGAATGAGAGTCACTGCGAGAAAACCCCGTCAGCAGTCCTCCTCCGGGAATGTACGTAAGAGCTACGTACACTGAGAAAGTAGTACCCTCACACGAGTTAGGGCCCCTACCCCAATCGTTGTTGGTTCGCGTTGACGGCGAAGACGTCGCCTGGTGTGAGAGACGCTTGGCGGACTGCAGCCGCATGCCCCCTTGGGGCGGTCCGAAAGGGACGACAGCGCTCCTTTTGCGACCATCGGCCAGATTACGGACGATTGGCGGGCCGTTCCTCTCGCGTGCCGCGCCACGGCCCGCTCCCGCTCCCGGTATCAGCCATGAAGACGGATACCTCCGACCCGGCAAAGCTGCAGGCCAGAATTAAGGAGTTGGAAGCCCAAGTGAAGGAGCTCGAGAAGGGCCGCATGAGCTTCGAGCCAGGCATGCTCGCTCTCTCGCGCATGTCAACCTACGATGCACGCATGTGCGCGCTGCATGCGCACACACACACATACAATGCAGATCGCAGCGCGCGCTCAATGGACCCGCTTGCCCATCACCTGTTCCCTCGTTCGCCTCCAGTCGGCTCCTCCCGCAGCACCAGCACCGAGACTGCATCACCGCCAAATTGCCTGGTCCGCAGGTCACAGCGGAAGAGCGCTGTCGATGGCGTCCCACATGTGGGCACTACGTCCACCAACGCCGCCTGTATGTCCCTGATCACCACGATGGTCGGCTCGGGCGTGCTCGGCTTCCCGGCCCTCTTTGCCAAGGGGGGCTGGTGTATCACGGGCCCGCTGCTGTTCATTAACGGACTCGCTGGCCACCTCTCGCTGCTCGATATGTCGTGGGTGCTCACCGTCTGCGACCAGCGCGCGCTGAAGGAGCTCGCCTCCCTCAAATCTCCCTCCAGTCGCTGCTCGTCCATAAGCCAGACGGCCTTCCTTGGGCCCTCAACCCAACTCCGACCCACTCCAACCCCACCTCCAACCCGACAGGATCCGCACAAGTATTCGTTCGGTCGCTACGTGGTCAAGTACGAGGACATGGCGGAAGTTCCCTTTGGCAAACCCGGCATCTACTTCGCCTCCTTCATGGTCAACTCGTTCCTCCTCTTCCTCTCTGGCGCCTACCTCATCCTCATTGGCTCGAGCCTGGAGTTTGTCACCAACGCCTGGCTGCCATACCGCCATTGGGTGAGTCGTCGACGTAGAGGAGACACGATCAGGACCACCGAGGGGCTCAGAAGCCTCGACCCAACAGCGGGACGGAACCCAGCCTACTTGCACACCATTCCGAGGCGGCCTGCTGCTAGGTGCTCGTCCTCTCGGTCCTATTCTTGCCACTGGTGCTGCTTGACGATATGACGGCGATCGCGCGCCTCGCGGGCGTCGGCGTCGCCGCCTCGATCATGTACGTACTCACGATTTCGCAGGCCGGCATCATGAACGGGATTGCGGGCATGGGGGAGGGGGCGACCAACCCACCCGAGTACAAGCTTTTTCCCGAAGAGAACCTCATGTTCCAGGCGCGAGGAATAGCCGAGAAGGCAACCCCCCCCACGAAGGACCTCACTGTGTTCGGGCCAATCGCTCCGCCCACGCGCATGAGGCTTTCAACGCGAGTCACTCCTCCTGCTTCAGGTGGGCATGATCATCTCGGTGCTGCTGCTCGGCTTCTCGTGCCAGATGGTGGTGCCGGCGGTGCGCTCGGAGATGGAGTTCAAGGAGGAGCTGCCAAAGGCGACCACCGGCGCGATGGTGGTAGTGATGACTGTCTATGGGCTTGCGGGCATCACTGGCTACTTTGGATTCGGCAACGCCGTCGAGGGTAACGTGCAGGTGAGCATGCTCGACCCAGAGACTGGCACCATGCTCCTCGCGGGGGCGCTGCTGGCGTGCTCGGTGGTCGCCAACCTAACCGTCACCTACCCAATCGTGATGCACTGCGTCAACCGCGCGTGTGAGGCGGCCATGAAGACGGGCTACTCGCTGCCTGTCCGGCTGTGCCTCTTTGCCTTCACCGTCTTCGGCGCGCTCGTCTGCCCTTACTTTCTGGAGATGTTGGGCATTCTCGGCTCCTTCAACGGCGTATTCGCCGGCATCGGCATCCCGCTCGCGTGCAAGTGGAAGCTGTATAGCGAAGACGGCATCCCAAAGGAGATCAACCGGTGCTACCTCTTCATCCGTGACGGCATGATCACCGCGCTCTCGCTGATTGCCCTCTTCCTCGGCTCGTACCAGGCCGTCAGCGACATGTCCGCGGCTTTCGCCAGCGGTGGGGGCAACCCGTTCGCCACGTTCAATGACCCGATGTCGCCGCCGAGGGAGCCGAACCCTCTGTCCGAGAGAGCACTCATCTTCTGATCGCGCTCAAGTCATGCGGAGGAGAGGGTTGGAAGATGGCAGCAGAGGCTCGGAGCGACAAGGAACAGCTGAAGAGAGAAGGAGCTCAGCGGGAGGCTGTGGTGGCAGGGAGAGGGGATGTGGCCACACATCGCATGAGCGAGACGGGACGGTGAGAGAGGTCCCGCTCGGGTGGATGGTGGGGAGGTGGACCGTGACACGTGTCCTATGGAAGGAGCTGTCTAAGGGTGGACTGTCGGCACTGCCGTGCGCAGTGCCAATGCGCAATGGCAGAGAGAGTGAGTAGGCCGGGTGGCGGCAGGCCTGCCCGGCCTGGCCCTCGCCCAAGCCATTGCCGTTGGGATTGGCCAACACTCTGCACACTGGCTCTTCCTATTACATCCTATCTGCGACATGCCAAAACTGCGGACGCTGGAGCGTGTGGAGAGCGTACGGCTTTAGCGTTTAGGTACTGGGCTGGGTTTAGGCATTGTGGGGTTGGCACTCCCATCGACCCTCATGACCTCCTGCGGTCTCTGAGATGGACACCAGTGGGTGTGGGACCACAGCCAGGATACACTCGAAGGCTGGGTAAGCAGTAGAGGTCGATACTCGACGCGTCCCACATGGTCTGTGTCGCTGTCTGCACGCTGTCGACACAGGACGTCGAGCGACACCGGTGGCAGTGCCACCCAGGAGTGGTCGGGCGGTCTCCCGTCATGAGAGGGCCACCATGTGATCCGTATGATGATTCCTGACAACCGCCTCAGTCAACTTTCGTCACAGTTCCCGCTCTGAGAGGAGCTGCGGGTCAGTTCGACAGCTGGAGCTGTGTCGCCGGCGTGCGGCGGCCTGCCTCCGGAGGTGCCTCTGAGGTGGACATTTTTTGGTCACCGTGAGAGAACGCGTTCGTATTTTCACTCCGGAACTTCAACTCTGCACGCGCACCGGCCAGGGCTACAATAGTGCCAGTGAGGCGGAGGCGCGTCCGAGTCGGAAGGCCGCGCCCGCCGACCGTGATTTGGTCCCTCCATTTCCTACAATCGCTGTGAACCCAGCCACGTATACGTAAGAGTGTGGCGTCACGCACGGACGCGCACAAAAAAAGACGCTCTACGCGCTAAATCCTAAAACCGCACAAACCCACGTGTCGTGTCGCGACCCGACTGCGACACCGCTTCGGCGGGGCTGGTCTGACTCGGTCCCTCAGAGGCCGAGCTTGGCGAGCACACCGTGCAACCCCTTCTCCTTGTACTCCTCGCGGCTCATCCAAAACTCCTCCTTGTCCTTCATGATGTCGGCCAGCACCGAGCCGCCCAGGAAGACCATGTGCTTGCGCCGCGGTGGGTCCTGTGGGGTAGCAGCTCCGCGTGGGGGGGCAGGAGGAGGTCCCGAGAGGGGAGCGCCGCCCTAACTGCCGCCGGGCCCACTCTGGCCAGAAACGCCACTCTCTCCAGCTGGGCCGTATCTCGGCGTCATCTCGGCGACGTCTCTGCTGGACGCGGCCTCTATCCGCAGCTTGAGCCGCTCGAGCTGCGCCGTGTCCCCCTTTGCAACCTCCCGGAGGTAGAGCTCGCGGATCTCCTTCTCCAGCCGCGACGGCAGCCCCGGGTACATGGTCGAGCCGCCTGCTCACGGCAGGAGGTGTGAAGAGAGACGCGGCCCGCAGCTCGACGGGGTGCATGGACTGAGCTTCCAGAGAGGACGATGTGCTTGTCAAACTCGGGCCAGGTTAGGGTTAGGGCTGGGGTTAGGGCTGGGGTTAGGGTTGGGGTTAGGGTCAGAGTTAGGGTCAGGGTTAGGGTCAGGGTTAGAGGGGCACGCCAGAGAGGACGATGTGCTTGTAAAACTCTGGCCTCAGGTCCATGTCGGCCGTGTTGATGACCTGGCGGGAGATATGGGGAGGTGTGGGGAGACATGGGGAGACATGGACATGGACATGGGGAGGTATGGGGAGGGATGGGGAGGGATGGGGAGGTATGGGGAGAGGTTGGGAGAGATGGGGAGAGGTTGGGAGAGATGCCTGGAAGAGCAGCTCGCCGAGCCCCTTCCCGTCCACGTCCACGAGCCGCGGCTGGAAGAGCGCCTCGGGCGCCTCGAACCGCTCCGCACCCACCTAGGGACTCGAACCCACCTGCTCTCACCTCCGCCCACCCCGGCCCACCCCGCGCAGCCGCGGGTGCGCGGCGCCGCAAATCACCCGCCAGCCTCTAAGACACGACGCCTTGCCGACGCGCCCGCCGAAGGGCGTCTCGGAGGTGTCTCGGAGGTGTCTCGGAGGTGTCTCGGAGGTGTCTCGGAGGTGTCTCGGAGGTGTCTCGGAGGTGTCTCGGAGGTGTCTCGGAGGTGTGTGCCGCGCCTTGATGACTCGCCCGTCGGGGAGAGTGTACGCCTCCATCACGGTGGTCGTCTCGAGGGCAAGCTTCTTCTCCAGCTCGAGGTCGTACCCCACGTAGCACACCTGCCCCTCGTGAAGAGGAACTCGGGGGCACGGGACGCGGCACACACGGGGCACAAGACGCCAAGCTGCAGACACGGGGGAGGCACGGAGTGCCGCACCTGCTCCTTCATCTCGCGCACCGTCTCGTAGTCTGCGGATCGGTTGAAGGTGTACCCGCGCAGCAGCAGCAGCTTGATCAGGTACCTGCGGGACACAGAACTCGCGTAAACAAAGAAATCATCACGCCAGCAGCAGCAGCAGCTTGTGGCGGGAGAGATGGGGAGAGATGGGGAGAGATGGGGAGATCTGGGGAGATCTCACTCGGTCATGTGGCGTCCCGCGACGTCGAGGCGGCGGATGTTGGCGGGCAGCGCGTAGCCCTCGTAGACCGGGACGATGTGCGTCACTCCGTCGCCTGATTAATGAACTCATTCAGAGTAATCAAGAGTTAATCAATGAGGACGACGTGCGTCACTCCGTCGCCAGAGTCGACCACGACGCCGGTGAGCAAGCCCTGCGCGTACAGCGTCAGCACCGCCTGGATGGCGCAGTGCACGCCCGCAAAGTTGTACTTTTCGAACATCGTCTCGACGAGGGCCTCGCGGTTCTTCTTCGGATTCATCGCCGCCTGCAAGGAGGGGGGCGGAGGGGCTCTGCTCGCCTGCTTCGACCACCCACCCCCCTCCCCACCCCCCTCCCCACCCCCCTCTTCTCCCGAAGCGGCGGTGGCAACGGCGGCGCCGCCGCCGCGGCAACGGCGGCGGCGGCGCGGCGGCGGCGGCGGCGCGGGCAGCGGCGGCGCGGGCGGCGTGGGCGGCGGGGGCCTCGGGCGGCGGCGGCATGCAAAACAAGCGCGATGGTGTGGGGATGGCGCGGCGGTGGCGGCGGTGGTGTGAGCTGTGGTCGGAGGCGGCGGGGGTGTGCGAGCTGACGGTGCGTGGACGCAGTGGCAGCCGAGGGGCGAGTGTGTGTGTGTGTGTGTGTGTGTGTGTGTGTGTGTGTGTGTGTGTGTGTGTGTGTGTGTGTGTGTGTGTGTGTGTGTGTGTGTGTGTGTGTGTGTGTGTGTGTGTGTGTGTGTGTGTGTGTGTGTGTGTGTGTGTGTGTGTGTGTGTGTGTGTGTCCGTGTGTGTCTGTGTGTGTGTGTGTTGCGTGTGTGTGCGTGCGTGCGTGCGTGCGTGCGCGCCTCGGTCAGCATGATCTTGTGCTCCGTGGGGTCGATCTTGAGCTTCTCGCGAAAGGTGTAGTCGTAGAGGTGGCACATGTCCTCCCACCGCTGCACGACCCCGTTCGTGATTGGGTACGACGTCTCCAGCCTACCGGAGATTTAGGGAGATGTGGGGAGATGTGGGGGAGATGTGGGGAAGATGTGGGGAGATTGGGGAGGCCGCGTGCGAGGTGTGAGGGCGGGGGCAGCACAGCCAGACTGCAGGCACAGACGGATCGCACGGGAGGAGACATCTAGGCTGCCCGAGCATGTCCCGTGCCGCAGTGCACTCGTCGCCAACCATGATGTCCTGCGGCAGGGACGGGTGGCAGACACGCGGTGTGGCGGGGAAGGGCACGCGCGCTCACGTCGCGCCCACCGCGCCCGCCGCGCCACTCTGTGCGCCCGCCGCCGCTCCGTCCACCCTCCATCCCGCTCTCTGTGTGGAATCCCCGACGGCAGCACGGGCGTGGAGAGGCGATGCCAACGCCCGCACTCACACGGGCCACGCACCTTGAGCTGGACCTGCCCCACCTTCTCCTCGGCGCGGAGGATGGGCCGGCCGACGATCGACGGGAAGATGTGCGCAGGGAAGTTGTCGCCCGCGAAGCCGCACTTGACAAACTGCGGTGGCGGCGGCGGAGCGTGAGAGACGGAGCGGCACGCACACAAATGCGAGCCGCTGCGGGCGATCCGCACCCCGGTGCCATTGTCGCAGACGACAGGCGGCTTGCTCATGTGACTGACTGAGACCAGGGCCGCCAGTCAGATCAGGCACACGCGAAGAGAGAGCGGCGAGGCGGGAGCGAACAAGGGCAAGGCAGCAGAGTCGGCAGTCGGCGGCGTGAAAAAAAATTAACAAAACCTCCGTCGCTCCGTTCGGCTGATGCGCGGTTACAACCGCACGGGCGAGTGGCCAGAGCCCATTCTCACCAGCCCTGCCCCGCAGCGGCGTGAAGAAAATTCTGAAAAGAAGGCGATGCCAGCCGCGCCACTGGCACGTCGGTCGCCACTGTCACCACGTCTCTCGCCGCGGTGGAGCTCTGCGACGAGGACGTGGCAATGCGCTGCTCTGCTCAAAACGATGCTGGCTCTGCTGCCGACCCTGAGTGGGAGGCAGTGCTGGCGCAGCTGCTAGCAGAGGAAGCAGAGGAAGAGGAGCTCTGCTGCCGCTTCGAGCGCCGTGGCGACGACTCCGACGACGGGTGGGACAACTACAGTGAGGAGGAGGAGGAGGATGCTGTGCAGGGTGTGGCTGGGAAGGTGGACGAGTCGCTCGAGCGTCGGGACGAGCGGGCTTGCGCCACTGGTGGAGGATTCAGTATGCCGCAGGCGGCTCCCACACCTCGATGGGTTATCACTCCTGCGACTGCATCGAAGAGGGCTCGAACCACGCCTGCACCTTGGTCTTGACCGCGCCGACGCCGCCGTCCTTCTGCAGGCTGGCCCAGCCGTACAGCGTACTGCTCCGAGCCGCCGAGGTGCAGCGCGCCGAGCTGCTCCGCAAAGTAGTCGTTGTGCGTCTTCTCGCAGCCGAGCTCGAGCAGCAGCGCGTGTGCCTCGCCGCCCGGAGTCGCTTAGGCCGTGGTGTCCTCTGATACGGCCTGTCCGCATGGCGGGAGCGCACTTGCCGCCGCGAATTCTTTTTTCGAAGCCCAGCGCGGGAGGGCGGCCCCCCCCCCGAAAGAGAGAGGAGTCAGCACCCGCAACCCGCCCGTTTGCATGCCCGGCCGGACGAAGGCTGGCTCGGCCGCGTCCCGGCGCGGGCACGCGTCAACGGCGGCTACTGCTGCGCCGCTCGCGCTGCCGAAAAGGATCGAGGCGGCGGCGGAGAACGGCAAGGTCGACGTGGTGCAGACGTGGCTCGCCGGGGCTGGACGCGTTGACGCGACGTGCGTGCATCGCGGTGTGAGCGGCTGTACGCTCCTGCTGATCGCCGCCGAACACGGTCACAAAGAGATTGTCGAACTGCTGCTGAAGCGCGGCGCGGAGGCGGACGCGCGAGACAGCGACGACAGTACGGCGCTGATGGCCGCCGCCGCCAAAGGCCACGAGCAGTTGGCCGAGATGCTGCTGCGGCACGGCGCAGGGATCAACCTGCAGAACAGCCTCGGCGGTACCGCGCTGATGCTGGCCTCCCTCTTCGGCCACGAGCAGGTGGCCGAGATGCTGCTGCGGCACGGCGCACGGATCAACCTGCAGGACAGCGCAGGCATCACCGCGCTGATGGCCGCCGCCGACAACGGCCACGAGCAGGTGGCCGAGATGCTGCTGCGGCACGGCGCAGAGATCAACCTGCAGTGCAATCTCGGCGTCACTGCGCTGATGCTCGCCGCCCTCGGCAACCATCCCGCCGTTGTGCTTCGCTTGCTGCGGGCGGGCGCTGACATGACGCTGCGCTCGAGCGGCATGACGGCGCTGCAGATTGCCAAGGAGAAGGGCCACGCCGAGTGCGTCGAGGCCGTCAGGACGTATCTCGGCGAGGTGACGGCAGCTCGGAGCAAGGCGCCGTCGGCCGAGGCGGGTGGCGCAGGGGCGGGCGGCGCACCCGCAGGCGAGGCGGTGGAAGGCAGCAGTGCTGTGGCCTCTGCCTCGAGCGGCGAGGGCGGTGCGGAGGCCGCACCGGGCAGCGAGGCGGTGCCAGAGGAGGTCGTGCTTGCGGCTCGGCGAGGCGAAGAGGCGGTGGTGCTGGCGTGGCTCGACGGCGGTGGGCGGGTCGATGAGAGGTTCGAGTACACCTTTGGTGACGGCTCGTGGGCGAGCGGCATGACGCTGCTGATGGTCGCAATGTCGCGTGGCCGCGCGGGGCTGGCCGAGGCGCTTCTGCGGCGCGGCGCAGATGTCTCGCTGCGGAGCGGCAACGGCAGCAACGCGCTGTGTCTCGCAGCCGCGAACGGCCACGAGAAGCTGGTCGAGCTGGCAGTGCGGCACGGCGCGGAGGTCGACCAGAGAAACAAGGTTGGCAGCACTGCGCTGATGGAGGCCGCCGCCATCGGCCACGAGGGGTTGGTCGACACGCTGATCCGGCACGGCGCAGAGATCAACCTGCAGACCAGCCACGGCGACACCGCACTGATGTTCGCCGCTGCCAACGGCCATCCCGACTTGGTGCTCCGCTTGCTGCGGGCGGGCGCTGACATGACGCTGCGCTCTAAGAAGGGCGAGAACGCGCTGCGGTGGGCCAAGGAGAATGGCCACGCCGAGTGCGTGCGCGCCCTCAAGGAGCATGCGGCGGCCAAGGCGGCGGCCGAGAAGGCGGCGAAGGAGGCGGCGTGGGCTGCGGGGGCGGCGGAGAGGGCGGCAGCAAGGGCGGCGGCGGAGAAGGAGGCGGCGCGGCACGCCGAGGAGCTGCTGGCGGAGGTCGAGGCGGAGAAGCGCGCCAAGGGCAAGAAGGGCAAGAAGAAGAAGAAGGGCGGCGGGAGCGGCGGGGCTGGGCCGTCGCAGGAGTCCGAGGCGCCGGCGGAGGCAGCCGCAGCCAAGCCCGCGCCGTTGGACAGGGAGGGGCTGCTCAAGCTTCTCGCGGAGCTCCACGAGGACAGGATTCGGTTCGGCATCACGCCGGAGACGTCGGTCGAGGGGCTGGCGGAGGCGCTGGGAGAGGCGGCGGGCGAGGCGAGCGAGGAGGAGGGCGAGGAGGAGACGGCGGAGGCGGCCGAGGAGGAGGGCGAGGAGGAGGGCGAGGAGGCGGCAGCGGAGGCGCGCCGGCAGGCTGAGGCGGAGGCTGCGGCTGTGGGAGCGGCAGAGGAGGAGGAGGCTGCCGCAGCGGAGGAGGAGGCGGCCGAGGCGGCAGTAGCGGCGGCCGAGGCGGCAGCGGCGGCGGCAGAGGCGGCGCTCGCCGCAGCCAAGGCGAGGCGCGCATCAGTTGCCGCTGCGAGGGCCAGGGCGCGGGAGGCGGCCTAGCCCGCGCGCAAGGACAGCTGGCGCAGTGGTAGCCATGGGGAAGGGTCTCTCGTACTGTGGGGCGCGTTCTCTTGTGAACGATCGTGGCTGTGGGTTGGGCCCCGCGTCGCGCGGACGCGCGTGCGGTCCCTCGAGGTCTTGCCGGGAGCTGCTCACACAGCCGTACGTAGGGGTGGGCGGTGGCGTGAGAAAGTGGCATAGCCAGTGCCATTGGTGCGTCTGAGAGCAGAGTGCGAGCATCTCTGAGTCTGATCTCTCTCAGACACCAGAGTCCGCAGAGTGTGGGAGCTGTGACATAGACCAGCGCAAAGCGCCATAGGACGTATTTTCTTGTCAATAACAAGGTCTGTGAAATGAAATCCAGAAGGTGGCGACGCGACAGAGGAAAACCGAGGACCCCCCGCGCAGAGAGAAAAGAAGCGAAAGAGCCAGACGGCGCGCCCGAAAAAGAAAACGCAGGCCGCGGTGCCCAGCGCCAAGGGGACGCGAAGCGTTCTCTGGTAGGACGGGAACGAGATGATAGTAGGGAGTAGAAGAAAGCAAAGAGGAGCCCTGCGCACGCACGACTCCGCAGGAGAAACCCCTCCCGCCCGTGCTTGCGCAGCGCAGCCTCCTCCGAAGCGTGGACGGGGCAGAGGTCGCCGCCCTCCCGATCCGCGCAAAAAAGAGAAGGGTGTGGGCGTGGAAGCGACACCGACGGAATGCGCGGCGGAAGGAGCGAGGGAAGCTAGACCCTGACCTAGCCTTCTACGGGGTACCCGCAGTCGAAGCTCGAACCCATCTAGCATCTTGAGCCCGCTCGAGAGGGCGGACACGCGGGCGCAACGTCTGGGGATGAGGCCCCTTATCGATGAGGACCTAGCACACCTGGGGATACCCGCGGCCTACACCACATGTATGGCACATACCCATCACCGGGTGGAACGCGCTCATGAAAGCACTGCACGGAAACGGATATATACAGTAAAGAAATGAGCAAAAAAGGGCAAACACGAAACAGAAAAGGGCAACCGGGAAGAAGGCGCACGAACAAGCCCATTTCGCCACCCTCAACGTATGCGGCGGGGGCCTCGAGAGCATAGAGGGGGCGATGGAGGAGATCCGGGAACTAAGGGAGGGGGGAGCTGCACCGATTCGCAACACGGGAAGGGAGGCAACAAAGAAGCTGGTGGAAATCATCAGATACATAAGGCGCGTCACTGACAATAGAAGAGAAGAACTCTCTCTGACGATCCATCTTGCGCCGATCCTGTCCAGAACGTGCCTCGAGGCGCGCGCATCACGGCGGGTCGGCAAAGTCGCCGTCGTCCTGCTCGCCGTCGTCTCCCGGCGCCAGCATTGCGTCATCGAACTGCGCGCCAAAGAGCTCGCTCGCCCTCTCTCGCAGCAGGGGCTCGTAGAGGGAGATCCTCTCCGCGACCCGCAGCTTGACGAGCGCCGACGCTGGGTCGGGCACGTGCGAGATCACGAAGCTCCAGAAGACGCGTGCCGCAAGCCCACACATCTCATCGGTGCTTCCGGCGCCGTTCCTCGCACGCTCCACCAGCATCGCCACTGCGTCCGGGTCGCAGAGCGATGGCGGCAGCTCTGCGTCGGGCTCGCCCGTGAAGAGGGCGACGACACGGAACGCGACACGCCGTGTCTCGCGGTCGCGGTCCCGCGCCTGAGGGTAAGGCAGCTTCTCCATTATCAATGAGAGGATTACGCTATGGGCCCATCCCTCTCGCATCATCTCTCCCGCGCCTTGACGAGCGCCACCTTGAGCACCTCCTCGGGAGGGAGGTGGGGAGCGACGGCGAGCAGCAGCCGCGTCGCGGCGAGGCGAACCTTGCCGACTGCGTCGTACATGCAGGCGCCCACCGCGGCGTTCATCACCGACCCTTCGAGCGCGGCGAGGGCCTTCCTCCAGCCACCCTGCTGCTGCGCGTCTTGCTCGCCCTCGGGAGCCGCCGCCGCCGCGAACTCCTCCCAGAGCGCGTGCAGCAGCCGGATGGAGCCGAGCCGGGAAGAGCTGTCGGACTCCTCCTCGAGCCGCTGCCTCGCGGCCGCGCAGACTGGCTGCGAGACCTCCTGAAGGCGCCGCCACGCCATCTCGACGCGGCTGCTTTCAGAGGCGCCGGAGGGAATTGTGGCCAGGCGCACCATTTTGGGGACCAGCCGGGCCTCGCCGCCGCTCGCCGAGCCTCGCCGCGTCAGCTCGGCCGCACACGAGAGGAGCGTCGCGCGGAGGCTCGCCCCGCCATGCGCGTCCGGGCCGGCGTGCGCGGGAGGAGAAAGGGCAGCGCCCAAGAGCCTCTCGATGCCGGCACGCTGCAGACGCTGCTCGACGGAGAGCGACTCCTCAAGGCAGAGGGCCGCGAAGCCAGCGAGGAAGGAGCCGAGCGCCGAGCGAAGGCCAGAGTTGAAGCCTGCGCCGCCGTCAGTATTGCAGGCGAGTCGCGCGAGGGCACTGACCGCTACGCCGAGGGTCGCCTCGTCCGCCCGCTCGTACGCGCGCTGCCAGCCCTCGAGGACGGCCTTTGCGGCGATGAAGTCGGGCGGAGGGTGGGAATCGGGGAGGAGAGGCAACGACATTCCTTTTCGCTTCCCAGGAGCGCGCGCTGTTCACACAAAAACACAAAAAAATGTAATCAAAAACACAACCACGCACCCAAGACGCACAAGCTCAGACAGTCGAGAAAGGGATAGACCGCAACGACAGTCAGAAGTCAGCGCTGGGTCCCAGGGCGAATGCGATGACGGCCTCTAGTGTGAGCTCTAGCTTGAGCACTTGAGCACCGGATAGGGTCGATTCCGCATGGTACGGGACCCCTCGATCGTCTCGCCCACCCTCACTGGAGTGTTCAGAGCTAGTTAGTGAGCTCATCGCCACTATATGCAGCGAGTTAGGAGCCGACCGACCGACCCTCGCGTCCGGTGCTCACCGACGGCCGGGCGGGCCACCCGCCCACGCGCCGCCTACGCGCAGCGCGTGCGCTGCAAACTCGACGGTCCGCCTCCTCCAGCGAGATGTACTCCACCGGATTCGCGTCATGCAGCCGCACCGCCCGCCACCCGTTCGCAGTCCACCGGACGCCCTCGCCGACGGGGGCATCCTGCTTGTAGAAGCCCGAGTCCACGTCGCCGCTGGCCCACCGGTAGACGCCGCGCCCCTCCCTCTTACCCGCCTTCCACTCGCCGTCGTAGACGTCGCCGTCGGGGTACCGGTAGACGCCGCGCCCCTCCCTCTTACCCGCCTTCCACTCGCCGTCGTAGACGTCGCTGTCGGCGTACCGGTAGACGCCGCGCCCCTCCATCTTATCCGCCTTGAACTCGCCCTCGTAGACGTAGCCGTTGGCGTACCGCATGACGCCGCGCCCCTCGTACAGTCCCAGCCAGTTGTACTCGCCTTCGTAGACGTCGCCGGCCGCGTACTGCATGGCGACGCGCCCCTCGGCCTCTCCCGCCTCGTTGCGCTCGCCCTCGTAGACGTTGCCGTCGGCGGGCAGCGGGGAGGGGATGGGGAGCCCGAGCCGCTCGGCGGTCCGCCGCGCCTCCTCCAGCGAGATATCCTCCTCCACCTTCCCGTCACGCAGCCGCACAGCCCGCTGCCCGTCCGCCATCCACCGGACGCCCTCGCCGACGTCAGCATCATGCTTGTAGAAGCCCGACACCACGTCGCCGTCGGCGTGCCGGTAGACGCCGTGCCCCTCGAACAAGCCCGCCTTCCACTCACCTTCGTAGACGTCGCCGCTGGCGTACCGTATGACGCCGCGCCCCTCTATCTTACCCGCCTTGAACTCGCCGTCATAGACGGCGCCGTCGGCCCACCGGTAGACGCCGCGTCCCTCCCTCTTACCCGCCTTCCACTCGCCGTTGTAGCCGTTGCCGTTGGCGTACCGCTCGACGCCGCGCCCCTCCCGCTCACCCGCCTTCCACTCGCCGTCGTAGACGGCGCCGTCGACGCGCCGGTAGACGCCGCGCCCCTCGGGCTTACACGCCTTAAACGAGGGCGTAGACGTGTACTCGCCCTCGTAGACTCCCTCGTAGACCATGCCGTTGGCGTGCATGGAGTAGCGCATGGTGCCGCGACAGCGCACCTCAGTAGGCGCGGGCGCGGCCGCCTCAGGCAAGTCGGCGCGCCACTCCACGCTCCACTGCCTCGCCGCCGAGCCGCGCGCGACCGTGCTGCGCGCGTGCGTGCACGACGGCGAGACCGTCGTGGCGTACGAGGCGGTCGTGCTGGGCGCGCTCCGGCCCGGCTACCGCTCGCTCTCGCTGCGCAGCCGCCTCGGCACGCAGATCCGGCTCTGCTCGCTGCTGGTGCACATCGAGCGGGGCGAGGAGCCGAACATGTGGGCGGAGGCGCGCGAGCTGCGCGAGGCGCTCGCGCAACGGGACGAGGCCATCGAGCGGCTGAACGCGGAGCTGGCCGCCGCGCGCCTTGCCGGCCCGGCCGCTGCCGCCAGCGGGGAGGAGGAGGCGGCCGCTCGGCCGGCCAGATAGTTAGGCGCGATCGAAGCACCAGCATGCGACTTGTACGAGAGGGGTTTATTGGGGGGGCCAACCTGCATGCGGTTAAGTGTGCGGAGTACTGATCTCTGTGTACGTAGACACGGCTCCACCGCACGTAAGGGGTGTGACGATGTCATACTCGCACACATTCTCTTCCCCGGGGCCGGGGGATCGGCCCGTCAGCGCAACAATGAGCAAACAACTCTAACAAGCGAACACGAGCATGTGCCGCGCGTGCGACCCAGGATCTGTGGCACATCTGCGCTCACTTGTGGCCTTGAAGACTCTCTATCACAGAGAGCGCACGGCAGGAGTCCACTTTTACGGCAAGCTGGGCCTTCTCGTCGCCGTGGCCCAAAAAGGGGCGTCCCATCCCGATCCCCAGCCCCAGCTCCAGACGGCGCCGTCGGCAGTGAGGGCGAGGCTGTGGTACTCGCGGAATCGACCCTATCAAGTGCTCAAGTGCTCAAGGTACCGCAAAGAATTTTACAACAAAGCTCTCTCGCACAAGCACGATTCACACTCACAACAGGCAAAGCGAGGACGACGGCTTCTAATAGAAGCCGTCGTCCTCACAGAAGCCGTCGTCGGATTCGCAGTCAGAAGGCGGATGGTCGAATCCGCGAGCACCGTGGTGCTCGCCGAGAAGACCATCCGCAAAGAAAGTTTCTTCGCTTGTCGAAATTGCCGAATTTTCTGTATCGCTGGCACGCACTGGCACTAACACGGACCAGTGTTGCTTCCAAGATCTTGGTGTGCTTCCTGTGTCGGAATCGCCGCCTCGACGCCGATCCCCGTCAATGAGGCGAGCATGCGGTGTGCTTCCTGTGTCGGGATATCCCTGAGCTGCCGTAGGGCAGCGTTGTTGTCGGCGGTGATGACCCAGAGCTTGCCCTCGACCTTGATCTCGTACGACGCTCCGCTCACCAGTGTGAAGTTGCGTTCGATCTTCTTTGTCGTCTTGCGGAGATTCAGCACGGCGAGTTGCCTTGTCTCCGTATCAACGAATGTCTTATCTACCGTCTCCTCGGCCGACTCGTTTGAGAACCCTGCTTTGAGCGTGCCGAGCAGGTTCGCAAAGTTGGCGGCGCCCGCGACGCCCGTGACGGCAGCCGCGACAATTTCCGCGATCTTTTTTGCGGCGATGTCAACGGTTTTACCCGTCGCCGTATGGTTGATTACCCGGCCTTCCGTGTTGTCGTATATCCAGGGAACGTCGCTTCTTCCGTGCGCGCTCTTCCGCCTTGTGCCGAGACCCGTCGCTGCCACCGTCGCTGCTGCTGCCTTCCCTGCCGCCGCCGACTCCAACTGGTTCACGTCAGCCACCACACGCGTGCAGCTCCGCACACCCAGAGCGACGCAGAGCGGCGCCCGCTGTCGAACGAGCTGTTCGAGGAGGAGGCTCAGCGGCGCGGGCAAGGAGAGGACGAGTAGGACCGAGCCGCGCCCCGTCCACACCACCTCGATGTCGGCGACCTCGACGGCCTTCGGCCACCACTTTGACGTTGTCAACTCGATCACGTCTCGCTCGATCTGATCCTCAGCGGAGCTGCTGCTGCTCGCCGAGGAGCCATCCTCGGCCGAGGAGGAGTCCTCTGTGAAGCTCGCCCGCCCGTCCTCGCTGACTTCCACCCGCAGGCGGCAGCGCCGCGTGCCAATCTTCGCCGCGATCTTGTCCGACACCTTAATCTTCTGGATGCGGATGCAGTCTGGAGAGATCTCGGCGCTTAGCTCATTGGCGAGCCGTTGCCGCAGCTTGAACTCATTCACCTCATCAAATGCACTCAGATCGCCCTCGATGCAGAGTCGAACGAGCTCTCGCTCAGAATCGCCGCCGCTGCCGCTGCCGCCGCCGCCGCCGCTAGCACTGCCATCAGCACCATTGACTCGCTGCAGGACCCTGCGGAGTTTGTCGCAGCCGACAGCCCAATAGTCTCGGTCGGCGCGGTCGAGGTGAATGAAATCCCTCCCTCCCAGAAGAACCCGTAGATCGTCCGGCGCCTTGGAGAGGAGCTCGCCTAATTAGTAATCAATCATATTTATTAGTCTGCGATGCAGCTTCTAGTGGGCGAGCGCTCGCCAATCCGCTGCTTGTCGTCGGCGGCGACGACTGGCTGGATAAATACGCCGGCCTCCTGCGCCCACCGCAGCTCGGAGAGGCAGAAGGGCCGCTCAAAATACGCGTTCCCAGATGACCCATCGTCGGTTAATATGGCTATCACGACCACAGAGTTTTGCACGCCCTCCTTCATCGCCGCCTCGGACTTGTCGCTCATCTTGACGTCGAGCCACACACTGTCGAGGTCGGCATACAGCATCGACGCTAACGTTGTCGCGCGGCCGCTCCGCTGCGTGTGCGATAGAAAGTAGCTCCACCGACCCGGAGTGGCCGACAAGCCGGTCTCAGGCGACGGGCCTGCCGGCAGCTCTACCTCCCCGCCAGACGTCCCGGCCGTCGCTCTGCCCGTGTCATTCAGGTCCGATGGCAGTGCGGAGCGCGCGGCGGCGGCTGGAACAGGGGCGGGCAGGGCCGAGGGCGCCCCCTCGTCGTCGGCCTCAGGCACGGGCGCGGGCGCCGCCGCCTCGACGCCGATCCCCGTCAATGAGGCGATCATGCGGTGTGCTTCCTGTGTCGGGATATCCCGGAGCTGCTGTAGGGCAGCGTTGTTGTCGGCGGTGATGACCCAGAGCTTCCCCTCGACCTTGATCTCGTACGACGCTCCGCTCAACAGTGTGCAGATACGTTCGATCTTCTTTGTCGTCTTGCGGAGATTCAGCACGGCGAGTTGTTTGGTCTCCTGATCAAGGCATCTCGTATCGACCGTCTCCTCGGCCGACCCTTTTGAAAACCCCACCTTGAGTGAGCCGAGCAGGTTCGCAAAGTTGGCGGCGCCCGCGACGCCCGTGACGACAGCCGCGACGATTTCCGCGATCTTGTCCGCGGCGATGTCGACGTTTTTACCCGTCGCCGTACGGTTGATATCGTGTTGTTCCGCTCCGGTGAAAGCCGACCTTTCTACCGTGTGTGGGGAGAGGGAGGTCGAGCGCGAGTCCATTGTGCCATCGTGGACGGTTCTAAAGAGTTTAAACAAAGCAGCGTTTTTTCTCGTTTTCTGGTGGCTTGGAGCCTGACGGTGAAGCCTCACTGAGAAGGCGCGTGGTAGCTTATTCGGGGGTTCCGACGACCCTTCGACTGTGAAACCGCCTCTCGCGCTGTGGGCGCGTTTCTTCTCCTCTTCGGCTAGTCACTCGCGCTGGTTCACTCCCGGGAAAGGATCCCTAGCCAACAAAACAACTCTCTAATAGAGTTTAAACAAGAGAACTCTTGAGCACTTGAGCACTGGAGAGGGTCGATTCCGCATGGTACGGGACCCCTCGATCGTCTCGCCCTCCCTCAGTGTGTTCATTGGGGGGGGTCATAACAAACACGGTACAGGATCGAGGTGCACGCTGCCGAGCCTGTCGAGGACTGGGGCTCCACTCGAGGTCATGTTCATAGATTCCAAAGCATTGTTAATAGCAAAGGGGGGAAAAGGTACCCTCGACCCTCACGCCTGCAACCCTCGCGCGGCAGCACACCACTGCTCCGCACGAGACACCGTTGCAGGACCAACCCCAAAAACGCGACAGCGCACACAAAATAGGGAGGGTGGGTGGGGAAGCAAGACAGGCCGTGTGGGGTGTGGGTGTCACGAGGACAGACGTCCACGAAGACGGTGGACGGACGCAAACTCCTTATCCAATTCACACTCACGGCTGTCCTACTGGTCATATAGAAAGTCGGCCGTCCGCGAGCCCCCAGCTCGCCGACGGCGAGAGAGATGCCACGAGGGGTCGCGGTGGCGTCCATCGCCAGGCTCCCTAGCTCAACCGACGACCCTTCGGGATCGACGGCCGATCGTCATGAGCCTGTCGAGGACTGGGGCTCCACTCGAGGTCATGTTCATAGATTCCAAAGCATTGTTAATAGCAAAGGGGGGAAAAGGTACCCTCGACCCTCACGCCTGCAACCCTCGCGCGGCAGCACACCACTGCTCCGCACGAGACACCGTTGCAGGACCAACCCCCATCGCCATCCATCGTAGAACATGATCTCGAGCCCTGCCCCAGCCCCTCAGCCACTACACCATCATAGTCACTCGCGCGAGCCGCTCGATGCGCGAGGCGAGATCGAGGCCGGCGTAGTGCTGCTGCATCGACCTCTCTCGCTCCTGCTCGTTCCAGCCGAAGATGCAGTCGATGTCTGTGATGGTAGCGCCCGTGACATCGCTCGTGTCCCGCGCCACCTTGTCCGAGAACCGTCGGTTCGAATGGTGGGCAAACTTGACGATCGGGTTGCTCGCCTCGTCCTCCTCAATCGCAAGCTCGAGGTCCTCCTCGTCGCGCTCGCGGAGGAGCTCGTACGCGAGCTTGAGCGCTTTCGTAGAATGGCTATATGACGAGCCAGTCTCTAGCGGAGTATCGGTGAGGCGCCCGCCGTCTGTCGCCCGGATGAGCGGGCCTTTGACGACGGCGGCGTACTGGGTGAGCCCCAGTCCCGCCAACCACTCGCTGGCGGCGCGGAGTCTGGCAGAACCCTTGGCTCCCCCAACGAGGTTGACGTACCGATCGCCCTCCTCGATGGTCGCCGCCTTCCTCTTCAGAGTCGCGGTGCGACCAAGGTATTTGGCCGCTGGCCGGAGCGGGTGGTCACTCGGCAGCCGGCCGAGGGCCCCGACGAAGGTGTCGAAAGCGCCGTCTGGCAGGCTCGCCCCGACACGCAGCTGCACGACAGAGTAGTCCGGCCGCTCCACCTGGAAGCCGTCCACCGTGACCGTCTCGGTCGAGTGCCCCTGCACACGCCACAGATCCCGCACGGCAGACTCGAGGCTGAACTCAGAGGTGAGTGACGTGCCCACACAGTGAGCCCACCGGCCCTTCCCCTGGGCCGTGTCCTACTGGTCATATAGAAAGTCGGCCGTCCGCGAGCCCCCAGCTCGCCGACGGCGAGAGAGATGCCACGAGGGGTCGCGGTGGCGTCCATCGCCAGGCTCCCTAGCTCAACCGACGACCCTTCGGGATCGACGGCCGATCGTCATGAAGCAGTGAGTGTCGTCCCCCCTCTCCCCGACGGCGATGGCGGTGTGACCGATCGAGCTACAAGAGGGGAGCTTGTTCAGCATGATCCGGGAGGGTCGAGCAGTTCCTCACTTCCACACTGGGTGAGCTTCCAGACCTCGGGCCTCTCGCCCCTTCACCTTCGGCTTGTGTGGATTCGAACTACCGCCGGGATGGAAGCTTCCTGCTTCCATCTTACGAGATAGCGCTTCACCTTCCTACATACACACACACATACCCGCTGCAGGGCCCCGCACCCAGGGCCCACAGGGGACGACGACACGAACCCCGTAAACTTCTCCACACACACACAGGTGGTGGGGCAAGAGAAAAACGGAAAAGGAAAAAGATGCGGCGGCGCTCCGAGCACGGTGCCGCGAGCGCTCCTCCCTGGTTCCTTCCAACCAGACTGCCCTCTCCCCTTTTTTGAGTAGTTAGAGTACAAGGTCTGTGACTGTGTGCTGCAGCAACACACCGCGGTTGTTCTGTCTTCTGAGAAAAAGTAAATGCTATCTGTATATCAGTCTGAGTCTCTGAGACGAGACAGTCTGCATATTCTTTCGTTGAGTCTACAGCGAAGTCACAGCGATTTCAATCGTCACCGCTCACACGCCTGGGTCAGTCTGCATGGAGCGCGAGGTGCGCAAAGTCGCCCTCGAACTCCTCGCGGTCGCGCTGGCGCGCCGCGCCATCCGGGCCGTAAGAGCCGAGCCTGGTCTGGGCCCGCTCTAGCCAGCCGTAGAGGAGGGGGCGGCAGCGCTTGTAGGCCAGAGCCCCGTCCACCGCCTCGTACCAGCGCATCTTTGCGGGCGGGAGGCGGAGGACGGTGGTCTCAGAATCGAAAGCCGTGTAGCCGAGGGTGGCCGTGTCTGGCACGGTGGCGCGGGTCAGGGAGGAGCAGCGGTAGAAGGCGCTGCTGCCGATGGAGGTGAGGCTGGCAGGGAGGGTGACGGAGGAGAGGGCGGAGCAGCGGTAGAAGGCGCCTCTGCTGATGGAGGTAAGGCCGGCGGGGAGGGTGACGGAGGAGAGGGCGGAGCAGCCGTCGAAGGCGCTGCTGCCGATGGAGGTGAGGCTGGCAGGGAGGGTGACGGAGGAGAGGGCGGAGCAGCGGTAGAAGGCGCTGCTGCCGATGGAGGTGAGGCTGGCAGGGAGGGTGACGGAGGAGAGGGCGGAGCAGCGGTAGAAGGCGCTGCTGCCGATGGAGGTGAGGCTGGCGGGGAAGGTGATGGAGGTGAGGGCGGAGCAGCGCTCGAAGGCGTGGCTGCCGATGGAGGTGAGGCTGGCAGGGAGGGTGACGGAGGAGAGGGCGGAGCAGCGCTCGAAGGCGTGGCTGCCGATGGAGACGAGGCCGGCGGGGAGGGTGACGGAGACGAGGGAGGAGCAGTCGGAGAAGGCGCTGCTTGTGATGGTGGTGAGGCCCTCCGGCACGGTTGCGTGCCCCTGCGCGTCGATTGGAGGCCGCACCGCCCAAAAGTTGATGGCCCGCACTGCTGCCTTCGCTTCGTCGTCGAGGGGGCAGTCGAAGAAGGCACCGTCGCCAATCGAGAGGCCATCGGGCAGCGGCAGCGTGATGGTGGTCAGGGAGGAGCAGCTGGCGAAGGCTTCGTTGCCGATGGAGGTAAGGCTGGCAGGGAGGTTGATAGAGACGAGGGCGGAGCAGCCGATGAAGGCGCCTTCGCCGATGGAGGTGAGACCGCTCGGGAAGGCGACCGAGACGAGAGAGGTGCGGAGCCGATACGACCAGTCCGGCAGGTGCGTCATGCCTTCGGGCAGCACCGCGTGCCTGTCGGCGACGACGACCTGCCAGCGACCCACGTCCAAAATCTCGGAGCCGGGCGAAAGCGCCGCGCTGCTTGGCACAGAAGGCGTCGAGGTGGGCACCACCATCGTGCGGAAACAAAGTGAAAACTTGACCTCTAGTGAGGCCCGCATAGTATGTGGGAGACTCGTGCCGCCGCCCCTGCCACCCCTGTGTCAGTGTGCCTGTGGTAGGAGAGACTGCCAGCGACAAGCTGGAGGCAGGTCGCTAGACTACTGAGATGAGACCGCCAGTGGATGTGGGAGTCGCACCGCGCTGCGAGCCTGTCGTGTCCCTTGTCAGGAGCAGGAGAGCCCCACCCGTCCCCCTGATCGTTCTTCCAAAATCCTGCTCGTGCAGGTGGGGACCCTGTCCTCGTCCCCCATCCCTCGTTTGGCGTGTCTGTTTTCTTTCTTTCTTTTCAAGTGAAAAGAAACTAGGCGCCCCCGGCGCGAGAAGGTGCACCCGCCCCTGCAACACAACACGCCACCACCATGGCCACCACCATCTCGGGCAATATTTCTTTCTTTTCCCGGCGCGAGAGGGATAGCAGGTGGGTCGATTGGGGGGTCAATGGGCGCGCGGGCGGCGCTTCGTGGTCCTGGGCGAGCAGGGGAAAGGAGTCTTGGGCCCGGAGATATGAGGATTGTCGAGATGTCATGCGAGAGCGGTAGGTGGGCGAAGGTAGCGCGGCTGGAGAGTGGTGTCCGAGGGACAATGATGACAAAGAGTGGACGGACGGAAAAACACCCCCCTTTTATGCCTGACCCTGGGCATGCCTGTCTGGGGGTGAGCTGGGTCGGCCACCTCCGGGTCTGCAACTCGCACGGTGGGGCCGCATCCGGGCGAGCATCCGAGGCCCACGGTCGTCCTTTCGCCGGGCGCGACCGCCATGGAGATCCGCTGCACACAGATCAGTGGTTTTGTCGACTTTTGCTCGCTCTCTGTGCACTCGCAACGCCAGAGGCCGTGCTCGGAGAATGCGTCGCAATGCTGCTGCGCTAGTGGATTGAGCCGCCTCGCAAGCTCCATCGGTGAGCTGCGGCGGCGCGCCGGCCGCTCCATGCATAGCTCTCGGGCGAGCTGCGGCAAACGCGTTTTCCGTCCGCCCGTTTCATCGAGTTTGCCCGAGTGGTAAAATGCAATCGAATTTGCCCGAGTGGTCAAGCAACTTTTGCATTTGGTAAAAGTTGCCCGAGTGGTCTGATGGGAAAAAACCAAAGGCGAAGGGTGGCCCCGAGTCGCCGAGAGCTAAAGGTCAACATCCCCTCCGGCTACGACAATGCGAACCTGATCTGGTCCTCACGGGGTTGACCCGTCTCCTCCAGATCGAGACGGACTTCATGAACGGCCGAGCAATATTTCTTCACTACTATTAAGAATTGATGCTTTTTGCACGGCTGAGCCCTCCCCCCCCCCCCCCCCTCCCCTGCGCCCATTCCCTGCCCTCTCCCGCCTCACACTCCGTCAGAGCCCCCTCCCCTCTTGCACAACAGGAATTTTGACAATTAACCAGGCACAACTCAGAACGATGGGCTTGCCCATCCCGGAGTGGTTCGATCCCACGCAAATCCGAGACGGTGACGGGAGGCGTCGAGTGATCTCAGGCCCAGTGAGGTAGTGCATCTGACTACCCCGGATCCTGCTGAACAAGCTCCTCTTGTAGCTCGATCGGTCACACCGCCATCGCCGCCGACGTCTCCCAGGGAGATGATGGAGAGGGGGGACGACACTGCTCGATCTACCCTCTGGGGTCCCTCAGCAGCGTGCACCTCGATCCTGTACCGTGTTTGTTATGACCCCCCCGATGAACACACCAGTGAGGGAGGGCGAGACGATCGAGGGGTCCCGTACCATGCGGAACTGACCCTATCCAGTGCTCAAGTGCTCAAGTTGTCAGTTGGGGCGCGAGACGCGCGGGATTCATTTTCATCAAAGAGATATATTTCCCATTTCGTGCACAAAGAGCACAAAGGTGGCACCCTCGGCCAGCTGAAGCTCTCGACTCGTCGACCGAACTCTGGACGATGCCGACCTCAAACCACCAGCGCCAGCAACGACGCGCCGCGGCTCGCCGCGCCGCTGTTGCGACCGACGACGTGCCCGACGCCGTCCCGCGGCCGAAAGGAAGAGGCCCGCGCAACCACTTCTGGGACCCGCGGCCGCCGGGCGTGCGGCGGCACAACGAGTCGAACGAACCGAACCAGCGCAGAGCGGCGCGTCTCGCGAGCGCCCGCGGCCGCCACGCCGCCGCCGTCCGCGGCCGACGGTGGTCGCGAATCAACGCGGCGCGGTGCAACGAGGCCAAGTCCTTCCAGGCTCCCGCCAGCAGCGCCTCGTGGCGTGGGCTGCACGGCCCTTCGAGACGGCCCGGGGGGCGGTGAGAGACCTCTCCCGCCGGCATGGCGCACTATATCACCCGTAGAGGCCTCTCTATAGTCGCCTTTTGGCACCTCCTCTCTCCACGCCGCCGATTAGACCTCGCCGCATCGCATCGCCCCCTTCCCTGCCCCGTCGCCCTCCTGAGCTCTCCCTCCTTCGCTCCAGCCATGCACAGGACGGCTGGGCCATCGCTCCGCGTGCCAGGCGTCCGGGACGGCCGGGTATCGGCTCCGTACTTTGAGCCCTCTTGGGCCACCCTCGCGCGCGTCCACCGGCCGACAGAGCACCGCTTGGGCGACTCAGACGGCCCGCCCGACCAGCGCGTTCGATCGTGCCGCCCCCACAGCGTCAGTGGCGTGCGTGGGGTGGCAGGCGGCGTCCGCGCAGCCCCTCGTGGGGGTGCCCACCGCTCTCCTCTCACCGCTCCCCCCCGCCCGTGGCACCCCACGCACGCGTCCCTCCTCAGGGGCGCAAGACGGCACGGCACGTTCAACGCTTGCCTCGGCCCACCTCGCCTTCACGCCCGCCACCGCGACCAAGGAGGTGGCCTCGGCGGCCCAGATGAAGCCTGTGCGGCTCGTTTGGGAGCCGCATGCCGTCCCTCTCTCGCCGGCGCTGCTCACCACGCCCAAGCCTACGCCGAGGAACCCATCGCGCCCGTCGCTCACGAGCTGGTGGCTCGCATCGACCGAGCCGTCCAGCTTTCTCACGCCCTGCCCACGATCAAATTCGAGACGACCAACATCCGACCACAAAAAAGGCCCGCGCGTGCTGCGCGGGCCGGCGAGCGACTAGCGAGCCAACCTGCTAGTCAAAGAGATATTTCCCATTTCGTGCACAAAGAGCACAAAGGTGGCACCCTCGGCCAGCTGAAGCTCTCGACTCGTCGACCGAGCTCTGGACGATGCCGACCTCAAACCACCAGCGCCAGCAACGACGTGCCGCGGCTCGCCGCGCCGCTGTTGCGACCGACGACGTGCCCGACGCCGTCCCGCGGCTGTAAGGAAGAGGCCCGCGCAACCACTTCTGGGACCCGCGGCCGCCGGGCGTGCGGCGGCACAACGAGTCGAACGAACCGTACCAGCGCAGAGCGGCGCGTCTCGCGAGCGCCCGCGGCCGCCACGCCGCCGCCGTCCGCGGCCGACGGTGGTCGCGAATCAACGCGCCGCGGTGCACCGCTGCGCCTGTCCTTGCGCGCCGCTGGACGTCGGCCGAGAAGACCGCTTCCCTCTGGGGACCCGACTCCGCGAAGATCGCGCGCGTCGTCGTGAGTGGCGGCGCGCGCGCGATCTCTGTTCCCGGGCACGCCGGTCGCAGTGGCATGGGATCCCAGGCTCAAAAGCGCTCAACAGCGAGCTGCTCCTCCTCCTGCCGCCGTTCTCGCCGCCGCCGCCGCCGCCGCCGCCTCCGCCGCCGCCGCCGCCGCCGCCGCCGCCGCCTCGCGCCTTGCCTCCGTCACCGCCGCCCTCCATCTCGCAGCGGCGCGTCCCTCTGATGGCGCGGGCTCCTCGCTCGATGGCATTCTGTCGCGCCCTCGCCGCCGCCCCCCCTCTCGCCGCCGCTCCGCTCGTGGCCGCCCCATCCCCTGTCAATCCCGCCGCCTCCCTGCCAATCCCCCGCACCACCGCCGCCACCGCCTCGCGCGTTTAGCGGGCCTTTAAGCTTAGGAATCCTAAATAGGAGGACAGCCTATAAAGAAAAGAAACGCAATGCGTTCCAAGTGCTCCAAGTGCAATGTCGAAGGTGCCACCTTTATCAACCACAAAAAAGGCCCGCGCGTGCTGCGCGGGCCCGGCGAGCGACTAGCGAGCCAACCTGCTAGTACTATATAGGGTGCTGATTTGTGAGCGGAGCAATGCCTGCAGGGCTTGCGGCGGGGAGTGGGCGGCTTTTGGTCGAGTGGTCTGGGGTTCGAGCCCGGCCGGGCGAGTAGCGCGGAGCGCTCGCGGCGCAACGCGCGCGTGCGTGTGAGCGCGTGCAGGGAGCGAGCAGGGAGTGAGCGACGAGTGAGCGAGTGAGCGAGTGAGCGAGTGAGCGAGGGAGCGAGGGAGCGAGGGAGCGAGGAAGCGTGGGAGCGGCGCGCGAGCACCGGATTTTTTGCTGTGCGAGTCGAGTTCGTGGCCGGTGCGCGGGAAACTCGCCGAAAACCCGCGCAGCCGGCCGATTGTACGACCGAGGTCGCTGATTGTACGACCGAGGTCGCAGGGTTCCGGCTCCTACCCGGATAGGGGGTCTGTTGGCAGGACTGACTCGCGCCAAAACCCCCTACCTACCTATCCCCAGGCCGCGCAGCGAAGCGAAAAAAGATGAAAATAGGGGGTACTCTATTGCAGGGCCCTTTTGGGCCAAACAAGACCAACCTACCTACCTATCCGAACCCCGGACCCAAGACGCACAAGCTCAGACAGTCGAGTCGAGAAAGGGATAGATCACGCTCCTGCCAGCGATCCGGAGAAGTGCTGCACAAGAACAGAGTACATCGTCTCAAGGACGATGTGGCCAAGCGCTGGTAGCGTGGCTTCACCTCACACCGCCTAGTCTCACTGCTTTCCCGCCACCCGCCGTCGCCAAGCATCAAGCGAGAGTGTTGCGTTCGTGCGCACACTGATATCATACTAACTTTACACGGCGTACCACTAGCCAGCGGCCAGCACGGGTGACTGAGAGCTCTCCCCAGCACGCAGCAGGGCCAGTGAGCTGTGAAGGCGAGTTTCCAGCAGAGCGGCTGCCGTGGCGCAGAGCGTCCCTCGCATGGGCGACAGACGTCTCGCGCGGCTCGGGCACCAGCAGCACGCCACCGCACCTACACTAACGCAAGCAAGGCTATACAGGCGGCGATACATACTGGCTCCGAGGAGCGCGAAAGTGTCGCAATGCGCCGAGATCGGCGGGTTGGGGCAGGCGCATCGCCTTCACCACCCCGCCCCCTCACCACCCCCCGCGAACGCGACGCAGCGCCCGCCTGCCCTGTCGCGCCCGCCTGCCCTGCGGCGCCGACCGCTCCGTCAAGTCGGCACGGGTGTGCGGGTTCGGAGGCAGCCGTGGACGGTACCGGCGCTCAGAGCACGCGCGGCCATCGCGAGGTGGAGAAAGTAGTTCCCCCTGGACCCCTTACCGCGCGGCGAGACCACCAGCTCTAAAGACCAAGTGATAGCCTACCCATATTATGTTGGGATCTTGGAGCACTCCCCACCCACCATCTACCATGGGCAGGGTTTGGCTTGGGGCAGCCACACTCTGGCCATTATAATGAACGCACGCTTTACTAGTAGAATCGGCCGGGCACCTAGAAAAAAATGAACCCGAAATGTCTATGTGCATGAAGTGGGCATTTGCGCCTCACTCAAGGATTATGTATTGTAGACACACAAGACGACATGCACCCTACAACCAACTTTACTTAGTCCGAGACCTGAATAATTAGCAGCGTGCCCTTCGGCCCTCATGCCCAGCACTCCGATGCTAGGATGGCGACAATGTTACCGTCTCGCGCACGCCCGCCGTACAGCACAGGATAGGTGACCAAGAAGTCGCCAAAGGTGAAGTAGAAGTGGTCTGTGAGATTGTGCACAAGGAGCGCATTGACCTCCTCGATCGCCCTGAGGTCGTAGCCACAAAGTTCATCCCAGAAGGCATAGACGTCCGAGTCGGCGCCCAACTCATATAGGTCCATCAGCATTGGATCCTCCCGGGTGCGCTCGACAAGCCCCTCGACCTCGCCTGGGGAAAAGGGGAAGGCTGCACGAGAAAAGTCACACTCTTGGACCTCCACCTCGCCTGCCGCCGCAAGGCGCCCTGTCAGGTACCCCGCCAGGGACGCGCCTGTGAGGCCGAGTGCTTCGAGGCACGCGGCTACGCTCGGCAGGCCGGTGCTGCCAGCCCCCGTGATGACGACGGCGCGACCATCGCTTTCCCTGTTGCCAGCTGGGATCCCGCTGGTGACCTGGCCTCTTGACGACATTCCGACGTCCTGTAGCTTCGCATCCAGCGCCCTTGCCACCTCTCGTGGAATGGTAGGCGCATTTTCCAGCGAGGAATGCAACCTGTTCTGGTCCGGAAGAAAGGCTGCAGCCGCGGCATCCGTCGGGGCGAGGAGCCCGCCGGCACCGAACCCGTACACGTCCTTGTATGGAACTTCAAGTGGCCTGGCAGGGACACGATGGGCCTGAGTCAAAAATGTGTTGCAACGGAAAGCTGTCACCCTTGATGGCACGGACGAACCTGGCACAATGGCAAGAAAGCGAGGCCAGGAGCTCCCCGACTGTCTGCTCCTCGCCAATGTAAAGTCGGCACGCACTCATCTGCAAAACCGAGCCACAGGGAGGCCGTCGCATGACGCGCCATGTCGGGAGTCCCGTGTAGCCCGCGGTGGCGCCAAATGAGGTTCGGTAGGGCGCCGTCAGCGTGCCAAGCAGCAGCGAAGCAGCAGCGTATGAGGACGCCAACATGAACGCCAGAGCCGACGATTTCTCCTTTTCCCTTTTGTCGGCGCTTGTCCGGCCGTCCCTCCGAGCCCACCCGGCGCCCGAGCTCGACGAACGGAGATACGCACGGCTTACAATATCCGCTTTTTTATTTCTTGCTCTTCATACGCCGGCTGATATCTCGCTGTGAACAAGTCTGGAGGACGCCGCCGTCGCCTAGACTCCCCTGCGTCACTACGTGCCTCCCCGTCTTTGTAGCCTGGCGTTTGTGCCCCGTTTGTGCCGCGTCCCGTGCCCCCGAGTTCATTTTATAAACAAGTCTGAACTGGCTGTTCTGTGTGGCAGAGTCGCCAACTAAAGATGGTGAGGGACGCACTGCGCATGTGATTGCTATTGCGTATGGCGACAACATCCGCTAGCCAGCCTCGTTACCGGCATCACGTTTGGTGGATCAGTGGGACCATGAGGGGGGGAGGGCGGGGTCCTGTGGGGGTGAAATGTTGCGCGGCGAATTCGAACCTACCCCCTCGCCGCGCCGATCCTCACGCGGAGGGTAAAACCCTGTGGGAGACCCCCCCCCCCCTTCAGCGAGGCACGGCCTGTCACGCTCCGCTGCTGCCCTCTTCGCTGTTCTCCGCCCGCCAGCTCGACCGACTCGACCGCCGAGAGGCTGGGATCGGCCGGCGGCGCGACGCGTGGCCTGTGCTGCGGCCATCTCGGATGTTCAAGCGGCGCCAGCCAGCGGCTCGGCCGCGCATCCTTCACACACGCCGCCACGACCGGGATGATCGGGCCCGGTGTCGAGGTCTGGTGCGAGCTGCATGTGAGGGGCGGCTGTGGCCACAGCAGGTCCACCAGACGGACCTCAAAGCTTGCCGTCGGCGTGCTGTCGTGGCGAGAGCGCGATATCGCTGTAGAGGAGCCGAGTGCAGTGACGATCCAGAGGCTACCTGGGTCACCAAATGGTGGACCTTGCCCACTCTGAGCAGGGCTGTGCTTTGGTGCGGTTGTGCTTGAGCATGTGTGAAGTGGGAGTGCGTGCCGGCGGTGTCTGTGGGTGAAACAGGCGCGTGACTGTAAGGCCGTAAGAGCCCTGGTATGAGCCAGAGTGGGCTTCATCACCCAAGATAAGGACGGTTTTGGACATCTCAGGCTTGATACTGATGGGCCTGGGCCAGGAGAGCGACAGAGAAGGCGAGGTGGTGAGCTGGGAAGCCGCTTTGTCGACACCTGGAGGTGTTGCGATGAAGTGCCAAAAGAAGCGCCTTTTGCGGCTATTGCTCAAAACCTTGGGAGAGAAGGCCTACATATTATGACTGAATCCATGCGTCTGGTGCATGAGGGCTGTGGATCGGGACATTTCACGGTCGGTGGCGCCGATAATGACCTCCGGAAAGCCTTCACAATCGCTCGGCACGGGGCCACCGGGAGTGCTCTCGAGCCCTACACCGGAGCATCACGAGCCGGTGTGCGCTTCGAGACCCGAGATAAGTGCGGTCTGGGACAGCTCAGGCTTGCTACTGATGGGCCTGAGCCAGGAGAGCGACAGAGAAGGCGAGGTGGCGAGCTGAGAGGCTGGAGCGTCCGCGTGTGACCTTGTCGAGAAGCAAGTGCCACGAAGCGCTGTTTCCTGCTCCCAGCTCACGCCCTAACCTTCTCTGTCGCTCTCCTGGCCCAGGCCCATCAGTATCAAGCCTGAGATGTCCAAAACCGTCCTTATCTTGGGTGATGAAGCCCACTCTGGCTCATACCAGGGAGAAAAGGGAGAGAGGCAGGCGCGATTTCTAGGCCCTTGGGGGCCCTACCACTCAGCGCAGTCGGAGAAGCCGGTGAACGAATCTTCGGAGAGGATGGGGCAGTCATCACTGCCGCGCTCACTGGGTTCGAGAGATTGTGCGAGAGATTGTGGGAGAGAGCTTGCGTCGGAGTCGTTCCTCCGCTCCCACCTGTCGAGTGCAAGCTTCAGTTCCTTGGAGTCGAGGTACCAGACGCCGTCAACCTGCCCTGCGCCCTGAGCAAAGTCGAGGGCCTTTTCCCTCTCGGCCCGAGCCTGGGCGGCAGCGGCCTGGCGCGTTGCATTCTTCTTTGCGTTTGACGGCTTCTTCTTACCGCCTCCATGGGTGCCCGCTCCATTGCCGCTCAAGTGCCCACGCGGGGCAGCAAGCTAAAAGTACGTACCAGGGCTCTTACGGCCTCACACACGCCTGTTTCACCCACAGACACCGCCGGCACGCACTCCCACTTCACACATGCTCAAACACAACCCCACCAAAGCACAGCCCTGCTCAGAATGGGCAAGGTCCACCACTTGGTGACCCAGGTAGCCTCTGGATCGTCACTGCACTCGCTCGGCTCCTCTGCAGCGATCTCGCGCTCTCGCCACGACAGCACGCCGACGGCAAGCTTTGAGGTCCGTCTGGTGAACCTGCTGTGGCCACAGCCGCCCCTCACATGCATGCAGCTCGCGACAAACACGCTTCCGCGGCCACACTAAACTCACTTTGAAGAAAACCGCGAGCGAGTAGTTGCCGCGAAAGGAACGGAAGAGTCAGGGACATTTCCGTGGCCGATCCAGACACGCATCAAACCAATGTTCGCTCTCGTCGCCGCCGCTGCGCCCTCGCTCCTCGGCTCGCGCACGCCGACTCCGAAGCCAACGGTCGCCTTCTACCCGGGCGCCGGCTCTCCCAGCGAAGTGGGCGGCACCGGCCTTCCAGGCGCGAGCCGACCCGCCCTTTCCGACGACAGCCTTTCCGCTGTGGGCTAGGCTGCCTCATCCGCTGTGGGCTAGGCCGCCTCACCGCGACGCCGCTCGCACACTGACAACACACGCGCGCGCGCACAACACGGCTTGACCGTTGCAGGTGACATCGGCTTCGACCCGCTCGGCCTCGCCAACTTTGATCTCCTTCTCGACAGCGGCATCGACAAGCAGCGCTCTGCCGCCCTGGTGCTCCGCGACTACCGCGACGCCGAGCTCAAGCACGGCCGCCTCGCCATGCTGGCCGCCGTCGCGTGGCCGCTGCAGGAGAAGCTGAACCCGCTGCTCGCGGCCCGCTTCCACATGCCCAACCTCGTGGCCGAGACGGGCGGCCTCTCTCCCTCCGTCCTCAACGGCGGGCTCGAGCAGGGCATCATCCCGTCGGCGGTCGTCACCTTCGCCGTGCTCGTCTCCCTCGTCGAGGCGCAGGGCCTGCGCATCAAGAAGGCGCAGGGCGAGGCCTGGATGCCCGGAGACTACACGACGGCGCGCATCGCCGAGCGCGGCTCGCCCCAGTTCTTTTCGCTCCAGGAGGGCGAGATCTGGAACAGCCGCATCGCGATGCTCGCCGTCCTCGCGTACGTCGTGCAGGAAGTGGCTTCGGGCATCCCCACCGCCGCCACCATCCCCTTCTGGGGCTTCTAATGGTGGGGCGGCCCTCGTGCTGGTGTCCTTGTCGTGCTACATTGCCGTTCCTCTTGTGTTGTCGATGCTGCAGCTGCTTCCGCACCGCGTGGCCTGTCTGATGTGAACCCCTCCCTGCCCTCTGTGGACCGCCCTCTTTGACGCGCATGCACCCCGTTTGGCGCCGTGCCGCGCCGGAGATGCGAGGGCTTCTGACAGCCTGGGCATCTCGCCGGCAATGGTGCTCTTCGTCCCGGGGCATGCGTACCTATTTTTGCGTTTGTACTGTATATCCTCATCTACTGTGATTGTTGTGTGATGAAAAATGGTTTCCAAACTCGTATCTCTCGCCCGTCGAGACTACACGAATTGCGTCGCAATTCGCCGTTCGCGCAATTGCCCCTTGTAGGCCGCCCCCGACAAGGGCGACGAGGGTCTATGCTACACGAAATGCCTGACTTACGACGAGGCCAATGCGGCTGGCCTAGACGCATGGACTGGGTGCGTACCTTGACCACGCGTAATCGGGTGCGTACCTTGTCTCTAGCCAGCTCGTTCTCTGCTGGTGCGTGTCTGTGTGTCCGTGCTGAGCCGTGGCGCCCACACAGGCGCTGCCTCCCTGCCTCATGCGTCATGTCTCGACCCCGCGCCCGGTGTACACAAGAGTGGCTCGCTCGCCTCCCTCCCGTCCCACCTCCGGTGCACACCTCGGCCTGTCCTTTTCTTTCTATCGCAGCGCACTCGCCATCTGCGAGCTAGCGCGGCGCGAACTCGCCGTCTGAGCCTAGCGCCGCGCCTCGGACATCACCATTTTGGCTCGAACAAGCCCTCCGCGCCCCCACACCGTGAGGATAATATTTTTCTCTCTTTGTCGGCGCCTGAACCAATACGACGGCGCGACCGAGGTGCAAATAGATAGCCGAGCAGCACGCCGATGAGCCCGACCAGCAGCTTTGAGAGAGAGAGACAGAGAGAGATTTTCTTGCAGCTTTGTCGGCGCCTGAAAAGAAACCTGCATGAGGCGGGCGGCGGGCGCGCGGAGGGGCAGCGTGAGGTGACGTTACGGCTTCTGGAAGGGGGGTGCGACCAGGTGGCCCGGTTCGTCTCTCTATAGGTAGGTAGGTAGAAAGGTGAAGAGCAGCCAGGCTCGGACTGGACACCAACGCGGTATGGGTGGACGCTAGACAGATGATGACGACACGCACGAGCGACACATAGACACAAATAGGAGGCTCACACGACACACAGTCAGCGGGCCTCCACACACCCTGAGTAGGCGTACACATAACTCAAGGCCACATCCTCCCGGTCGCCCCCCCCAGCACTCCAAGGTGCCAAGAGAACAAACAAGGGCACAACAAACAAACAGACAACAGGAAGACGGCGCCTAGATAAAAAAAAGGTGGAAATCTCATTGCTAATGATGCCGGCAGGGTGGAGCTGCCCGCGGTGCGCCCGAAACAACCCCGCCCGCGTTGCCGTCTGCACGTCGCGAGGCTGTCACGTCTACTTCTGCTTCAAGTGCTCGCGAACCGGCCACCTTCAGGCGGACTGCCTCTACCGCGTGAACGGCACGGCGAAAGGCGCGTCCGGTGAGGTCCGGGCAGGCGACTGGGCGTGTGACGTGTGCGGCAACCACAACTTTGCGTCAAAGGCGACTCTAACGGCCTCTCCCCTCTCTTCTTACTCCGTGACCACCGACGCAGCCCCATGGCTAGATCGGCCTGCATGATGCTCGTCTCGCGCACCGCGCGAGAGCACACGCCTCACTCACCCGCCGCTCACCGCTCACCGCCGCCGCATCTCTCCCCCGGGTTTGGCAGGTCGGCTGCAACCTATGCGGCGCGGCCAAGCCCGACGGGGCTGAAATCGTCAAACTTGGCGCGGAGGCGGCGCTTTGGTGTGCCGAGGCACCTTGGCCGTGTCACACCGGCCTTCTCCTCTCCGCATCTCGGCTGTATTCTCGGCAAATATTGCGAGATGTAGGAGAACCCCCGCTACAAGACGGCCCTGTGCCGCCACTTTGCGGAGGGCGGCGCCTGCTCCTACGGCAACCGCTGCGCGTACGCGCACGGCACCGGGGAGCTGCGGAGGCCAAAGTGGCGCTGGCGGCGGAGGAGGCGGCGGGCCGTGGCGGCGGCGGCCCGTGGCGTACTCGCTTGGAGGCGGCCAAAGTGATCATGTCGCTGGCGGCGGAGGGGGCGGGCGAGTGGCACTGTGGGGTGCGGCGGAGCCCCGGCCGTGACCCGTGTGTGGGGAAGCGTGTGCGGGGGAGGGGAGGGGGGATGCGACGCGGTGCACGCTCACAGGCTGTCACACACCTCCCTGGAGCAGGTGTGCACCCTCATCAACCTCCCCGCCGCAGCTGTGTGCGACGCCTGCTGCTCGCCCCGCCCCGCCGCACCACCACCACCACCCCCGCCGCCGCCGCCGCCACCCACCCCCCCGCCGCCGCCACCCGCCCCACCTCCGGAGGCGAACGGAAAGGTCGGTCGCCCCCCCTCCCTGGCCGTGCCTACTCCGGCCGTCGCCACCACTCGCTACGAGCGGCAACTCGATGAGTACATAGCCGCCGCGCAGCTCTCCCTCGCCTCCCCCGTCGCTGCCGAGCCGCTCCCGCTCCCGTCCGAGGACGGCGCCGCTCTCCTCGACCTCCTCGCCATCGAGGCTGCCCGAGATTGCCCGAGATGGCCCGAGATTGCCCGAGACTGCCCGAGATCACACTCTCGCCCTCGAGGCTGTGCTCTCGCGGTGTAGAGGGATAACACACCACGCGTGACACACGGTCCCACGCAACACTTCACGCCCACGCGCAACGCGCTCTGCATGGCGCTCTGCCGTGCGCCTTGACCCGGCGCGGCGGGCCCACATCTTGGGACGCTTTCTCCCTCCCTCCCCCTCTCTCATTAGGCTGGCATGCGGTCGCTCCAGGGCTTGCCGACGGCGCTCGCCCAACCCACGGCGGAGGTCGCCTACCGCCACCGCCTTCCGCCCGCCGCCGTCGACCTCAAGGGGGGGGGAGGGGGGGCCAAGCCGTCCGCACTGACACCGCGCACGCGCCCTCCCACGCCTTCACCTCCGGAAGTGGAGAAGCCCCCGCTGGAGGAGGCCCCACCGCCGGCGCCCCGCCCGCAGCAGAGCCGCCCCCTCCCCGCGCCCGGCCCGCCCCGGAAGCGTCGCCTCGCGGCGGCGACGACGCTGGTGAGCAAGGTGGAGCTGATTCGGGAGGAGCTGCAGCTGCTGCCGCGCGAGCCCGAGGCGTCCATCTCGGCTCTGCTGCGCGAGGCGCACCTCGTGCTGTGCATGCAGCCCGTCGGAGGGCTCGTGACGCAAGCGGGCGCGGTCCTGGCCTACCTCTTCGGGGAGGGAGACGGAGAGTGAGGAGGGAGCAAGGCGTGGGCGGCGGGGAGAGCGAGGCGACGGACGAGGCCGAGGCCGTGCGGCGAGAGGTCGGGGCGCTAGTCGGGGCGCTGTGACAGCTCATCGTTTCCACCGTAACGAATGAAGGCCTGAAAGTCTTAGTTCCGTCCTCTTGAAATTATTCTATATTCATCTTTCTTACCACTTACGCGATACGCCACCGCCCGCATGCCGCAATCATCCGCATGGATTCTCGTTTCTCGATCTCTCGGTCTCGCGCCCCAACATGCAACAACGCCGGAAGATCCTTACCACCGTCCACAAGTGACTTTTCACTTTAGTACCGCCCAAAAGCGGGGCAGGACAATCGCTCCGACGCTCCTCTCGGCCACCAGAGTGACGGGCTCCGGCGGCGGTTGGCTTGATCCTTGATCACGGTCAAGCCAAGCCCCATTGGGGTAAAAACGCGACTCAGTTGCGCAGCTGCCGTTGTGAAGAGCCGAGACCAAAACTCGCACGGGTATGTTCGTAAGACGTAAGAGCTACATACACTGAGAGAGAGAGGCCCTTAGGGGCCTAGAGAACACAACCCCCTCTCTCTTTTCAGTTTTCTCCCAGTAAGCTAAAAGTACGTACGTACACTGAGAGAGAGAGAGACACACATACACTGAGAGAAAGTCTCCCTTTTCTCCCAGTAAGCTAAAAGTACGTACGACCCTCCCGTAAGTGGTATTAGTACCGACCCAAAAAGGGGCAGGATGACCGATTCGTCGCTGACACCCACTGGCTGGAGTGACGGGCTAGCCAAACCATTGAAGACGCCGTGTCGATGAGCTTCTAACTCGATCGCGCTCTCGAGATACAGCTTGAGATGTGCGAGTTGGAGTGGCCTCACGGAGTCGGCGCCGCCGCTCGGTGCTGTTCTGCTGGTTTGGCGATCCAGCGCTGCTCGCATGATCGGCGTGCGCGAGCCTTGTCGCCACTCAGACACGCCCCCCCCCCCCCCCCTTCCCTCCCTCCTGAGAGTGCGGTGGTGCCACCCTCTCGCCACTCCCATCTCTCGCACTCGCACACCCCATCGACTGCATGCAGTGGTGGCGCGAATCTCACTCATTGCTCATTACACACACCCCAGCTCATCTCTTTTTTGACTTCATCACTCTACTTGTAGGTCGGGCTTCCGGATGAAAAGGATGATGGATGCTACCTTCAATGCTTTACGCGAAAAAGAGATTACAAGGGTGACCCGTGGGACTACGCCCCCGCCGGCGGAGACCGGTTCGAGCTGTTCCAAATTCCATGAGTATCGGGCTAGTGGCACGGCACGACGACGTAACGGCATTTGGTCACGGCTACACAACTCACAAGTGAATGTCCTTGCAGTGGTTGGCTACCAACCAGATCGAGCCCGACTTGGCTGATGCCGCGAGGAGAACCGTTTTCTTTTGGCATTTGGGGGGCGGCGAAAGGGGAGGAAGGGAGGGAGGGAGAGAGCGTTAGTAAACTCCCGGGGTACCAGTTTCGTGCCAGACATAAAACAAACACGGCAGCGGGGCGATGCAGGGGATGGGCTGGCTCGAGTGGGCTGGTTGACACGACGTGCGTGCGCGGCAGCTTGAGTGGCTGCTGGCTGGACGCTACTGCTGATCGCCGCCGGCCACGGTCACAAGCCCCAGCGTGGACGTGCGCCAAGCCCCTGCTACACAGTTGACCGAGCGACACTGGTGCGTGCCTGCTGTAGCCGCTGCCTGTGGAGAAGGATTGCGACCTTATCTTCTCCAGCAGGCATGCTTTTCTGAACCCCAAATTCTTTTTGGTGTACCTGTGTTAGTGCCAGTGCGCTGCGCGCCAGTCCCGTGCCTAATGTCGTGCGACACTTTGTAGAATTTTTGTGAAATTCTTTTTGTCGTAACGTACTGTGATAAAATTCTTTTGGGGAGCCAGCTTCTGCCGGATGCTCCTCCTCTGCGTATCCGCCATCCCGAGCCTGCACGCCAGCACCGGGTGTATCAACGAGCGCAAGATGCAGCCGAGATGCAGCTCCTCCTCAACGGGTGTATCAAGTCTTGATTATGGAGCACCGGCCACGCACATTCTCGCCGAGGCGGAGGCCGCGCACGCTGCAGAGGTCGCCTCGGGCACCGCCGCAGCCTTCCTCAGCCACCGCACTGCGTCATCGCGCCGAGAGGTGGCCTTCAGCAGCCACCACGTCGGTGCTCGCTTCGTCGGTCCCGATTCCGCCGCTCTCGGCGACGGCGCCTCCAGCGTGCATATCAGCGACGAGGCGGTCCTCGCTCCCGCCGAATGCGCCGCCCTCCGGCTCGAGGCGCGGCTTGCGATGGCAAAGGGCCTCTCGTCGCAGTTCACGTACACGGACGTGGCGCCAATCCGAGAGGCGACCGGTGGCCTCTCTCTCTCTCTCTCTCTCTCTCTCTCTCTCTCTCTCTCTCTCTCTCTCTCTCTCTCTCCACATCCCAGGCCGAAGCCCTCAACGGCCGGCAAGGGACGCCCCCTTCCCCCCAGGTGCACGTCGCCGACCTGCCGCTCGCGCGGCGGATGCTCCGCCGCAAGCTGGCTCGCCTTCTCGGACCTTTCCTGGACCTTTGCTAGAACCTTCCTGTAGGCGGATGCTGCGCCGGAAGCTGGCTCGCATTCTCGGACCTTTCCTTGACCTTTCCTGGAACCTTCCTGTAGGCGGATGCTCCGCCGCAAGCTGGCTCGCCTGCTCCTCCCGCTGGTGGCTGGCCGCTTCGCCCTGCCTCCCGGCTCGCTGCGGGTGCGGGACGCCGCCGCGCGCTCGTGCATCTCGGGTCGTCCGGGGCCATCTCGGGTGATCTCGGGTCATCTCGGGCGACAGGTGCGGGACGCTGTCGTGCTGCGGTACGACGCTGCTGAGCGGGCGACGAGGCGCGCCGGCACACGGCGGCCGGGAGCCTTCCAGGAGACGTCCTTTTCTCCGGAGGCCTTCTCGGACCCCTTCCCGCAGGCAGCCCTTCCACCGCGACGAAGGGCTCGTCTCGTTCAACGTCCCTCTCTCCCGAGGTTTCGAGGGCGGAGGCGCCCTGCTGTGCTGACCTGCGTGCCGCGCTCGGAACCTTCTCGGAACTTTCTCGCCTTGTCCGCCGGTAGGGACCTGCTTTGAGGGGTCTGGCGCCGTGCTGCGCCCCCCGCAAGGGCGGCTGCTCTGCCACGCGTCGGGGATGCGACACGCGGGCCACGCCATCTCCCGCGGCGTGCGGTGGGTCCTCGTCGTCTTTCTGGTGTCGACGCGCGCGCCGCAGCTCGTGCGGCGCTGCTCCAACCTCGCCGCCGCAGAGGCGAGGCTGGCGGCGGCGGCCGAGGCGGCGAGGGCAGGCCGCGAGAGAGGCGCTTTGAGCGAGGTGGGACGGAGCCCGCTCGCCCGACTAGGCGGGCGGCGATGCGCGAGGCGCGGCGGAGGGGAGGAGGAGGGCGGGCGCGGCGCTGCGCGCGGCGATCGAGGCTGCGCCGGGCGACTTCCAGCTGCGGCATGACTACGGTCTGCTCCTGTGGGCGTCTGGCGACGCAGCGAGGGCGCGCCGCGCCTCTCTCGCGCCGCCCCTCTCTCCGCGCGGCTACACAGAGAAGCGTGTCGCGCGCTGAGGGTTCTCCTCCTCGCACAAGGCTCGGCGCTCCTTTCTCCGCGCGGCACGCCTCTACCCGTGCTGCCCTCGACCGCCCGCGGCTCTGGCCGCACTGCTCGCCGAGGCGGTCGAGATCGCACGAGATCACACGAGATCGCACGAGATCACACGAGATCACACGAGGTCACACGAGATCACACGAGGTGTGTAGGCGGGCCGTCACCGGGCGGCGCTGCGGCGCTACGACGCGGCGCGCGTGGCGCTGGCGCGGCAGGGCGACGGCCAGGCCCGACACACACGCCAGATGCAGCAGACCGGAGCACGGCTTTTTTGGTCCTTGCGCTTCGCAGCCAGCACTCGAGGTTACACGCCGCCAGTTCCCCATTCGGCAGCCGTCGCAGGCACGCGGGTCTGCGAGTGCAGTGCACGGCACCCGCACCCTCCACGGTACCCGCACTCTCCAACACCCCGCGCAGGACCGCAATCTCGCGCTGCTCGTCGCGGTCGGCGCGGGGCGCGGCTTGCTCGCGCTGCGCGACGGCGGCGGCGGTGTGGAGGGGCGGCGAGGCGAGGGCTCGCGCCCGCAGGTGCTGGGAGAGCGGGCCGCGGCCGCGCGGGCGGGGTTCGTGGCGGAGCGAGCCGAGGGGGTGGAGAGATGGCTTGGCGCCGCGCTGGCCGCGATGGGCGGCGCAGAGAGCGAGGCGACGGACGAGGCGGAGGCTGTGCGGCGAGAGGTCGGGGCGCTAGCCGGGGCGCTGTGACAGGGGCGCTGTGACACTGACAGCTCATCGTATAAGAAAGAAAGAAAACAGACAACCCAAACGAGGGATGGGAGGAGCAGGTGAGTGAGCCCTGTGAGGAGACAGGGCCTCCCCACCTGCACGAGCAGGATCTTGTAAGGACGATCAGGGGCACAATAAATAAATAAATAAATAAAACGGACACCTCTACTAGGAGATGGGTAAAAAGGAACAGGCCCCCCCGCCCGTGCGATCTTTGTGCAGGGTTCTTTCGTTTCATTGTGGGTGTGGTCGGCAGCAGCATGCCGCGTGCGGTGCAGCTGATGCTGCGGTCGACTGGTACTGGCCTTGCTGCGGGGTGAGAAGTGAGGTGTGGCCTTGTGACAGATATCAGCTTGTGACAGATATATCAGAGGGGAATTGCGACTCAAAATTAGCGCATGCGCATGGCAGAGTACTCAGTAGTACACGTGTACACAACAAAGTATCGCGTGATGGTTGCATGGATGGTTGATGCACCGCCACCGGCGCGGCAAGAAGAAAGAGGCGAAAGTCAGTATAAACGGAGGTGGGAAGCAATTTTGGAGAGGAAAGCGCGCCGCTCACGCCTTTCCTGCACGGCGCGCGGCGCGGACCGCCGTCATTAGCTTCTGGCCCTTGGCAAAGAGCCGCTGCGCTTCGTCGGCGGGGTCGGAGCTCGAGCCGCCCGCTGCGATCGGGTTGTACATCTTGGCAGGCTTCCCCCGCGGGTCGGTGCGGTTACCGTACTTGATGGACGCGCGGACGGCCCGCTCCGTCTTCTCCTTGCCCGCAGCCGCGGCTGCGATCAGGTCGTCATACTTGTCGCCGCGGTTGAAGCCATATACCCCGACAATTTCGCGGTAGAGGAAATTGTCGGGGTGGTCGGCGCCGCCGTTGGAGTTGGCGATGATGTGGAAGACGTCCTGGCCGTCGATCGCATCCTTGCCGAGCAGCGAGCGCAGGTGGCGCGCGTACGTCGCTCGCGACATGCATTCCGACTCCGCGATCTCCTTGCGCGCCGCCTTCCGCCGCTCCATCGCCTCCTTCTCCGCCTTGGAGCCGGGGCCCTTGGGCGGCTCGCCCTCAACCTCGCGAAGTTTGGTCTCGAGCCTGGAGGTCCCGACCAGGATCGCGTCGTATCAGTCCTCGACTGCCTTGCTGCTGGCCCAGTCGGTCTCGCCCGCACCGGACGACGACGCCCCGCTTCGAAGAGGCCCCTTCCCCTTTTCAGGTCTTAACGGTAGCTTGCCACCGCGGCCGCCGCTGCCGTCGCCGCCTCCCTGCTCGGTCTTCCAAGGTCTTAACGGTAGCTTGCCACCGCGGCCGCCGCTGCCGTCGCCGCCTCCCTGCTCGGTCTTCCAAGGTCTTAACGGTAGCTTGCCACCGCGGCCGCCGCTGCCGTCGCCGCCTCCTTGCTCGGTCTTCCAAGGTCTTAACGGTAGCTTGCCACCGCGGCCGCCGCTGCCGTCGCCGCCTCCCTGCTCGGTCTTCCAAGCGAGCAGCTCGTGCACACACGTTGTGCGTTCTGCGAGCTCAGCCACGCCGAGTCCGCGCTCCATGCACATCTCACGGAGCTTTGATGTCTCGAGGCACGACAGCCGATGCTCGCCCCAGTTCGAGAGGTCCCACGGCACTTGAAGGTCATAGGAGCCGTCGGAATCGGAGTTGGCCGTTGCTGGCGCCTCGCCGCCGCACTGCTCTGCGATGAAACGGCGCGCGGCGACAGTGGCAAGTAGCGCTGGCGTGCGGCCGTCGGCATCCGCAGCTGTCAGCGCCTCTCGCCCGCACTGCTCACAAAGGAAGCGGAGTTCGTCGACATGACCATTGATAGCGGCGACGTGCGCTGGCGTGTGGCCGTTCGCATTCGCAGCCATCAGAGCCTCTCTGCCGCACTGCCCGGCGAGGAAGCGGAGCGCGTCGACGTGACCCTCGCGAGCGGCGATTAGAGCTGGCGTGTCGCCATTCGCATTCGCAGCCGTCAGTGCCTCGCTGCCGCAATTCTCGATGAGGACGCGGAGCACGTCGACCTGGCCCTCTTGGGCGGCGAGGAGCGCTAGCGTGGGGGAGGGAACGGACGCTCGACGGCAATTCACAGCCTTGTCCTATGGCGCTGTCCGCTGGTCAGTCGTTGGTCGGACTGTGTTTCGCCTTCCCATCAATGTTCGTTTACAATTATGTGATGTGGAGTCTGGCCGCGCGGCGGGCGGCGGGACGGACGTAAGATAATGAATCGATGATGCGATCAGGCGTAACAAGCGCGATTGCACAAAGGGTGGAAGAGGGTCTGGCCACCGCGGGGCGAGGCAGGCGGTGGGCCAGATGCCGGATCCGCTGTGCGCGTTTGTCGGTCAGGGCGCGGCGCTGACCGCGGCGGCCTGGGCCGCGGCGGCGGCGAACGCCGACGGCGGCGGACCATTCCAGCGGCTCGGCGAGGGCCGGGGCGCGGCGTTGCGGGAGGCGTGGACGGTGGAGGCGGTGCGCACCGTGCCCGCGGAAAGGCGGGCGGCGGCGGGCGACGCCGACGAGCTGTTCACGTACGCCCGTCCGCCCACGAAGAGGGAGAGGCTCGAGAAGGGCGAGCGGCGCGCCGAGCAGCACCAGGGGTGGGCCGATGCGCCGAAGGAGAAGAGGCGGAGGGCGGCGGAGGAGCAGACGGCGGCGCAGGCGGCGCTGCTGGGGCCGCTCGCGGCCGCGGACACCACGGCGTCGCTGGGAGGCGCGCTGATGCGGAGGCCGAGCGCCATCGTGGCGGCGGTGCTGCATCAACCCATCGCGGCGGAGCGGGCGGCGCCGATGCTCGCGCCGCTCGGCTACCACATGAACAGGCTATGCGGCGACGTGCTGAAGCGGTGGCGCGAGTTCGAGCGGGAGATGAACCGGTCTGACGAAGACGGCGGCGATGCGGTGATGCGCTCCAGCTGGGCGAACGGGATGCGGGAGGGGTACCCGTGCCAGCAGCTCACCATCATGTTCCTGCAGTATCTGCTCACGAGCCGCATCCAACAGTCGCACGCGTCGCGGCGGAAGGGGTGTGAGCGCATTCAATCAATCGCTGGTCTGTGAGAGGTTGAGGTGCGAGCCCTGGAGGCCCTGGGGATGGGGGGAGACTACCCGCGGGCCTAGAAGGCCCGCGCGCAGGAGGGTGGGATCTTGAGACCGGTCATGAATGAGTGCGCGACACGCATGTTCAGTTACTAGTAATCACAGATAGGTTGATAAGAATTTACACGATGCCTGCCTTCACAGACCTTGTTATTGAATAAAGCGACTACTGTCCAAGCCAAAAGTCTGCCCAGGTTGTCGGGGACACGATCCCGGCGTGAACACGACTAACTGACGGATCCGCTCCTGACAGTGGCACGCACCGCGCTGCGGCGTGTGCCACTGTCTTTGTTTGAAGTCAAAAGTCGAATCAGAGCGCCGTCGGCGTTGTCCCCCGATTTTGTCCCACGACCGCCCGTCCGGCACCGCTCCGGGACGCACGCCGGCGAAACACCGTCAAGCTGCTGTACGGCCCCGGCATCGCCTCCCCTGGCTTAGCTAGACTGAGAGATATTGTGAATATGGTTAGTCTCTACAATATATACACTGACACTGAACCTCCCAGAGCTCGTCCCGGTCCGCCACGGCCATCCTTGGCCTCCGGAGAGCCCCCGGCCGCGGCGCGGTGCGGCGGAGTCGCAAATCCGACCACAGAGCACCGGGACGCGGTCGGGCGATCTGAGGCCCGACTAGGCGTATGTATTGCCCATCCAGGGCGATCACCTGGACCTATCAACAGGCGCCTGCGGCGCCGTGCTCAGGAGCTGCTGCTCCAACCTGTTCACACTTTCATAGTACGGCTTTAGAGCTGGGGTCGTCCTCACGATGGGGGACTAGCACTAGCCGGCTTCCACATGGTCCCTCGGGGGACGGGGGCACAGGGGGGGTTGTGGAGGTTGAATTCTCCTGCTCCTGACAAGGGAGACACGACAGCGGACAGGCTCGCAGCCCGCAGTGCTCGGTGGACTCCCAACTCCCCACACTGACTGGCGCGTGGGGCGGTCTCATCTCAGTCTATCGTTTCCGCCGTAATAACGAATGAAGATTGAAGTGCAATTCTTAGTTCCGTGTCCTGTGTCCGATCTCCAGAGTCTGATCCTCGAGTGCCCTCGCGCCTCGGACACCCCCCCCCCTGGCCCTGCGCCCTGGATCTTGCATCTTGCATTTGGTGTGCATTTCCGTGGGGGCGAACACACGCTGCGCACGAACGGCGAATGGTTGCGACGCAATTCGTGTGATCTCGACGGGCAAGATACGTTTTCGCTCCACGAGTCTGAAAACCATTTTCCATCACACAACAATCACAGTAGATGAGGATATGTACAGTACAAACGCAAAAATAGGTACGCATGCCCCGGGACGAAGAGCACCATTGCCGGCGAGATGCCCAGGCTGTCAGAAGCCCTCGCATCTCCGGCACGGCACGGCGCCAAACGGGGTGCATGCGCGTCAAAGAGGGCGGTCCACAGAGGGCAGGGAGGGGTTCACATCACGCAGTGCGGAAGCAGCTGCAGCATCGACAACACAAGAGGAACGGCAATGTAGCACGACAAGGACACCAGCACGAGGGCCGCCCCACTATTAGAAGCCCCAGAAGGGGATGGTGGCGGCGGTGGGGATGCCCGAAGCCACTTCCTGCACGACGTACGCGAGGACGGCGAGCATCGCGATGCGGCTGTTCCAGATCTCGCCCTCCTGGAGCGAAAAGAACTGGGGCGAGCCGCGCTCGGCGATGCGCGCCGTCGTGTAGTCTCCGGGCATCCAGGCCTCGCCCTGCGCCTTCTTGATGCGCAGGCCCTGCGCCTCGACGAGAGAGACGAGCACGGCGAAGGTGACGACCGCCGACGGGATGATGCCCTGCTCGAGCCCGCCGTTGAGGACGGAGGGAGAGAGGCCGCCCGTCTCGGCCACGAGGTTGGGCATGTGGAAGCGGGCCGCGAGCAGCGGGTTCAGCTTCTCCTGCAGCGGCCACGCGACGGCGGCCAGCATGGCGAGGCGGCCGTGCTTGAGCTCGGCGTCGCGGTAGTCGCGGAGCACCAGGGCGGCAGAGCGCTGCTTGTCGATGCCGCTGTCGAGAAGGAGATCAAAGTTGGCGAGGCCGAGCGGGTCGAAGCCGATGTCACCTGCAACGGTCAAGCCGTGTTGTGCGCGCGCCGCGCGCGCGCGTGTGTTGTCAGTGTGCGAGCGGCGTCGCGGTGAGGCGGCCTAGCCCACAGCGGATGAGGCGGCCTAGCCCACAGCGGAAAGGCTGTCGTCGGAAAGGGCGGGTCGGCTCGCGCCTGGAAGGCCGGTGCCGCCCACTTCGCTGGGAGAGCCGGCGCCCGGGTAGAAGGCGACCGTTGGCTTCGGAGTCGGCGTGCGCGAGCCGAGGAGCGAGGGCGCAGCGGCGGCGACGAGAGCGAACATATGATGAGCGTGTCTGGATCGGCGACAGGAATGTCCCTGACTCTTCCGTTCCGTTTCCACCTGTCCTTTTCGCGGCAAGCTCCTTCCGGTTTCTTCAAAGTGAGCGTAGTGTGGCCGCGGAGCGTGTTTGTCGCGCAGTGGCTGCCCGCGGAAGCGCTGGGCGGATGTTGAGGTGTGGTGGTGGATGCGTGCGTCTCCCAAGAGCCAAGTCATTCTTGGTTATTTCTCGCACAGGCGCGAGGTCCGAGGAGACGATCCGTGTGTTTTTTGTTGTTGCGATGAGTTGTGGAGTTTGGAAAGATTAGACCAAAAAGCTAGTCTGGGACCCATACGTGGCGGTTCCCTTGCTCCAAGCGCTTGCGCTTCGGCGGTAGTGATCTAATCACCCGAATACCACGTTCGGATCGCTCCTCATCGCAAACCCTGTCAGCAGTTCACCTACGGGTATGTTCGTAAGAGCTACATACACTGAAAAAGAAGGACGAGGATGACGCGTGGAGGGGTGTTTGTGTTTGATGTTGTAGCACTGCTGCGGAACCGTTGACAGCAGCGTCGCCAAACTCGTCGTGGTACTTCATGTTTCGAGCAAGAGGGACGCCTGCCGCACAGGGAAGACGCGGAAGACGGGGCCTCCGCTCACGGCGTCGACGGGCACGGCGTAGCGCGACGAGACGAGCATGCGCGCGGGTGTGCCGCGCAGGATCGACATGATCGAATCGGCGATGGCGGCGACTCTGTTCCCGTGCGGCAGCACCCGGTGCGTGACGCGGAGCGTACGCTCGTACCTTGGGATTCCTTCCCCTGGTCGTACAGTCACTCTGTGGCCTGCCCAGGGGTGCGCCCCGCCGACGCGCGAGGAAGTGAAAGTGTCGAGCGTGGATCGAGAGAGCAGAGTGTCAAGCACTCTGAGCAGGGGAGAGGGACAATTGCGCCGCTGGTGGTGTTCGCTGTTCCCCTCTTCGTTCGCCCGCGCCAGACTTGTTATTCTCATCCCTCCTTCCTCGAGCTCGACCTCTCCTCTCGTTCCCAGTCCTTAGAGCTTGACGTAGTCCGCGCTGCGCGCTGAGAGCCAGTGAGAGCGCCGCTGTCTCCCGCGTGGACGAAGTGAGGTCTTAGACACGCGCCACGCACATGCCACACAATACACAGTACGAGCATAATATCCGAGCATCATGGAGCGGCATACACACAACAGTCAACGTACACCTTCCTCTCTCCTCGCGGCCAGGGGCGACACGGGGCCCGGCTGGCGCGGTATCCACTGGCACTGCGCCCTCGCGCTCTCGCCGTGGTCGCGCCCTAGCTCCTCCCTCAGCACATGCAGTGAGTCAAATATGCGAGTCGTCCTGCCGCCTTCGCTCTTGGGCCGCGCACGCCGCCGTCAATGCCAAACCGCCCACCTCGCGTCCAGCACGACCGCCTGCTCCGCCGGCGCGTCCGCAGCGACGACGGCGCGCACCTGCCGCCCGGCCGTTGGTGAGTACTTCATCGACACTATTCTCAATCAAGTAGCTCTGGCGCACCTGCCGGCCGGCTGCGTCTCGCACGATCCAGCGCTCACCGGACATCGTCGCGATGCTCCTAGAAGCGGGAGGGAGGACGCGCGTCCGGAGGCAGGAGTTGGCCGTCACTCGCGTCCGCCCCCTCCCGCCACTCGCTAGACTGGGAGGAATGAGCCGGCCGTCACTCGCGAGTCCTTCTCCGCGGCGGCGCGCGCCCCGTCTCTCCCTCCGCCAGAGGAGGTCTGCAATCTCGGGTGATCTCGCGTGATCTCGCGCCTCGTATCTCCCTCCGCCAGAGGAGGTCTGCAATCTCGGGTGATCTCGCGTGATCTCGCGCCTCGTCTCTCCCTCCGCCAGAGGAGGTCTGCAATCTCGGGTGATCTCGCGTGATCTCGCGCCTCGTCTCTCCCTCCGCCAGAGTCGCCTCGAGGTGCTCGGCCCCGAACCTGGGCTGAGGATGCAGCGGGGTGAGGGTGTGGGTACACGGCAGCGCACCGCGTGACGACGAGGGCGACGGATGCAACCGCGGCTCGAGTGCGTGGTTGGTACGTGGTTGGCACGTGCCCCGTCGAAACGCCATGGGCACGCTGTGCTGCCGCATCTACGTACCCGCTCCCGCCCTCGCCCGCCCAGCTCCAGTAGAGGGAGAGCCTGCCTCCGGCCTCGCCCCCGACGTGGAAGCGGGACGGCTGCACGCTGAAGCGGAGCACGACGGGGCTGCCGACGTCGACGTGCTGCTCCGCCTACACGGCGGTCGTGGTGCGCGGTGTCGTGGACGCGTCGCCTGTGCCACCGGAACCCCGTCCTGCGTGCTGCCGGCGCCTCGTGAGACGCCGTCTGCCGGGCGATCGTCTTGCCGCTCCCGCCCTCGACGACGCGGTAGCGCGCACCGGCCGAGGCTTGCACCGAGAGCGTGCCTCCCTGCCGGAGGGTCCCCACCGTGGTTGGAGCCCTCCCTGCCGACTCCTCGACGACCGTGGCGCTCGGCGCGAGCTTCGCCGTCGGCGAGAAGTGAAAGTCGAGGCGGACCTAGGGGGTGGGTGGGGGGTGGGGGGTGGGGGTGGGGGTGGGGGGGGGTTCGGTTTGGGGTAGAAGTTGGGGTAGGGGTTGGGGGTCAGGGTTTGGGGTAAGAGGTTTGGTGGTGGAGATGAGAAGCGAAGGGCGAGGCGCGCCGCCCCCGCCGGCGCGATGGCGACTGTCTGCGACGGCGCGAGGGTGGCGCAGTACGAGAGGAGGTGGTTCCCTGCTCGGACGCGCGGCGGGTGTGAAGAGACGCCGTGCGGCCGGCGCGCAGGAGCGGGCGCGAGGGTCGGGCTCGTCGCTGTGGGAGATTGTGGGAGATCGTGGGAGATTGCGCGAGGGGCGGGCTCGTCGTTGTGGGAGACTGTGCGAGATTGCGGGAGATTGCGCGAGGGGGCGGGCTCGTCGCTGTGGGAGATTGTGCGAGATTGCGGGAGATCGCGCGAGGGGGCGGGCTCGTCGCCTGTCGTGGCGTCGCGCGCGCGCCAGCACTGTCCTGGGTACGTCCTCTCCGTCACCTCGAGCCCGGCCGGCAGCGAGGCGTACCTGTTCACAGCTCGAGGTGTGAACGGACGCTGTTCACACCTCGACCCCGGCCGGCAGCGAGGCGTACCAGCGCTCGGTGGCGTTGTCGCTCAGCCAGAAGAGCTCGGCGGAGCCGCCCAGCAGGGGCGTGCGAGCAAAGGCAAACGTCACGTTGACGAGGCTGCGAGCGGCCGGGAAGCCGCCTCCGCCGCGGTGTGCGGGGGCGGAGGAGGCGGTCGAGGCTGAGGAGGCGGCAGGGGCGGAGGAGGCGGCAGGGGTGGAGGAGGCGGCGGAGGCGGAGGAGGCGGCGGAGGCGGAGGAGGCGGCAGGGGCGGAGGAGGCGGCAGGGGCGGAGGAGGCGGTGGAGGCGGCAGGGGCGGTCTGCGGCGGAAGAAGCCGCGCGTGGTGCGCCTACGGGAGAGGCGTCGTGGACGTGTCGTGGGCGTGTCCTCGGCGGGACAGCCCGGACAAGACCGACTGACCGGCCGGGAGAGGCCAGAGGCGGGGCTCGGCGCTGCGGCCTCTGTACGGACGGGTCTGCTTTCGGCCGTAAGGCTGGAGCTGGAGCTACTTTTGGGCCGCGATGGCGACGCGGCTGGGACCGGCGCCGCAGCCTCCGCCACCGGCGACAGCGGAGCCGGAGCTGCGGCGCGGATTGGCCGCGACGGGGCCGCGGCTGGCGCAGCCTTTGACGCCGGAGAGCCGTCTGGCCGTGACGGAGCCACGGCGGGCGCAGCAGCCGCTGGAGAACGTGGGTCCGGGATCTCCACCGCGATGCCATCTCCATAGAGCATGGCGGAAAGGCCGCCGGCCATCGGCGTCCGTCCAAAGAGGAGGCCTTCCCTCTGGAGGAGCTGCCGCGGCTTGCCTGAGGAGGTCGTCGCCACCATGAGGAGGAGCAGGACGGAGCAGGAGGCGAGCATCGCGAGGGCGAGGCGCGGGTGCGAGATGCGCAGGGCTCGAGGATTGCGAGGCGATGTGGGCGACGACGAGGGCGACATCCGTCCACCAGAGAGCCAGGCCGACGGCGGCGTGATGCAGAGCTCGGGCGGCGTGTTGGCGGTTGGAGAGAAGCCGACCCAGAGGACTTTGCGGCGCGGAGGTCGGGCCGCTGGCGTGCCGAACATCGAGGACAGGTCCGGTCCGGGACGGTCCGGGTCCGGGACGACAGCACAGGACAGTGAGGCTTGAACAACAGGGTTCCAACTTTTTGCGGGGTGTGGTATGGTGCAACGGGATTGCACGCTTTACACGGGCACGGGACTGGCGCACAGCACTACCCCAACAGCGGGGCGACCGCCCCCTGCAGGTAGGTTTGCCGCTCCTTGGCCGTCGCGAAGCCGTCCCACTCGTAGAATGGAACGCTGATCACCCTCCAGCCAGCCGCCGCGAGGAGGCGCCGCTTGAGCAGCGTCGGCCCATTGGGTCTGCGCACGCCCCGGCCGTCGGGCAGCAGGAAGTGAGAGGGGCCGTCCACCTCGACCGCGGCGCGTGACGAGGGCAGCGCCAGGTCGAGCGAGTAGCCGGTGCGCAGCTCGAGATGCTCCTCCTCGAAGCCGGAGCGGACGGCGGCGAGGGCAGCCGCGACGGAGCGTTGGAACTCAGAGATCGTCACCTGCGTGTCTTGCATAGCGTCGCAGCAGAGCTTGCGCTCAGAGGCGGGGAGAAGATGCTGCTGGCCGTCTTCGCCTCGCTCAAGAGAGAGCCAGAGCTGCCACTGGTGCAGCTGACGGCGGCCCGGCTCGCTCCACCTCGACGGATCCCGCGCGAGCGAGTCGCTGATCACGCGCGAGCAGTCGGCAAGCAACGCCTGGTGATGATGGTCTGCCGTCGCATACGCCCACACCGTCATGGCCAGCTCCTGCGGCTTGAAGCCAGCCAGCCCGCTCCGCACCGCCGCCTCCGCCACCGCCGCGTACAGCGCGTCCGCAGCCACGCCCGCCGTCGCATACGCCCACACCGTCATGGCCAGCTCCCGCGGCTTGAAGCGATCCAGCCCGCCGCGCACCGCCGCCTCCGCCACCGCCGCGTACAGCGCGTCCGCAGCCACGCCCGCCGTCGCGTACGCCCACACCGTGTTGGCCAGGTTCTGAGGGTTGAAGCCAGCCAGCCCGCCCCGCACCGCCTCCTCCGCCACCGCCGCGTACAGCGCGTCCGCAGCCACGCCCGCAGTCGCATACGCCCACACCGTGTTGGCCAGGGCCTGAGGGTTGAAGCGATCCAGCCCGCCGCGCACCGCCGCCTCCGCCACCGCCGCGTACAGCGCGTCCGCAGCGACGCCCGCCGTCGCATACGCCCACACCGTCATGGCCAGTTCCTGAGGCTTGAAGCCAGCCAGCCCGCCGCGCACCGCCGCCTCCGCCACCGCCGCGTACAGCGCGTCCGCAGCCACGCCCGCCGTCGCATACGCCCACACCGTGTTGGCCAGGTCCTGAGGCTTGAAGCCAGCCAGCCCGCCGCGCACCGCCGCGTCCGCTACCGTCGCGTACAGCGCGTCCGCAGCCACGCCCGCCGTCGCATACGCCCACACCGTGTTGGCCAGGTCCTGCGGGTTGAAGCCAGCCAGCCCGCTCCGCACCGCCGCCTCCGCCACCGCCGCGTACAGCGCGTCCGCAGCCACGCCCGCCGTCGCATACGCCCACACCGTGTTGGCCAGGTCCTGCGGGTTGAAGCGATCCAGCCCACCGCGCACCGCCGCCTCCGCCACCGCCGCGTACAGCGCGTCCGCAGCCACGCCCGCCGTCGCGTACGCCCGCACCGTCATGGCCAGGGCCTGAGGGTTGAAGCGATCCAACCCGCCGCGCACCGCCGCCTCCGCCACCGCCGCGTACAGCGCGTCCGCAGCGACGCCCGCCGTCGCGTACGCCCACGCCGTGTTGGCCAGGTTCTGAGGGTTGAAGCCAGCCAGCCTGCTGCGCACCGCCGCCTCCGCCACCGCCGCGTACAGCGCGTCCGCAGCCACGCCCGCCGTCGCATACGCCCACACCGTGTTGGCCAGCTCCTGCGGCTTGAAGCGATCCAGCCCGCTCCCCACCGCCGCCTCCGCCACCGCCGCGTACAGCGAACGCACCACCCCTACTTGCAGCTGGCACTTTGCTACGCCGTGGGCGATGTTGGCCAGCTCGCGCGCTCGGCACGAAGAAACGAGGTCCAGCGTGCGCTGCACCAGCTCCTCAAGCCGCTCCTCGTGCGGCCGCTCGATGCGCTGCTTGCCCAGTTTGTTCCACAGGTTCGCAGCGTGGATGTGGTTTAAGCTCGTGCTGTGGGCAGCAGAGAGCGCGAGCAATGCGTCAGCGCTGCCAGCCTGGCTTATCAAAGTGGTCAGCTTCCGAGGGTCGACCTGATCACTGTCAGCGCGGCGGACAGAGAAGGAGCGATCATTGCACATTCGTGCGTCGCGTCCTTGCGCTCCGTGCATCGGCGGTCTCTCCCGGCGACCGCTGTGCTGAGGCTGCCCCTCGCCGCGGCGGTCATCGCGCCGGTCATCGCGCCGATCGTGCCAGTCGCGCTCGCGCTCGCCTCTGCCCCGATCGTCGAAGCCGCGCCGCTCGTCATGCCGCCCGTCATGATGCGGCCGTTGCTCGCCTCGCCATGGCTCGTCGCGCCATCGCTCAGCGGGCCATTGTGGCTCAGCGGGCCTTCGCTGCTCGCGACCACTGCACCAAGAGTCGTTGTAGCCGCGCCGCTCGTCATGCCGCCCGTGGTGCGGCCATTGCTCGCCTTGCCAACGCTCGTCGCGCCGTCGCAGCTCATCCCGCCGCGGCTCATCGCGTGATCGCGACCGCCGTCGCTCGCCCTGCCATCGCCACTCTTCGCGTCCGCACTCGTCGCGCCGTTGCTCATCACGCCAGCGACGCTCCTCGCTCCGATGGGCCATGCCTGCACACTTGGCGTCGAGCGAGATGCGTGCGTCCGGGCCGCGTCAGCGGAACGTGGTCTCTCGGAACCGCCGAGGGAAAAGAATTTTACAACAAAACTCCCTCGCACAACACTGGGCACGGGACTGGCGCGCACTGGCACTAACACAGGGAAAAGAATTTAAACAAAGGGAAAAGCAAGGGAAAAGAATTTACAACAAAACTCCCTCGCACGACACTGGGCACGGGACTGGCGCGCACTGGCACTAAGGGAAAAGAATTTTACAACGAACCTCCCTCGCACAACACTGGGCACGGGACTGGCGCGCACTGGCACTAACACAGGGAAAAGAATTTAAACAAAAAGCAAGGGAAAAGAATTTACAACAAAACTCCCTCGCACGACACTGGGCACGGGACTGGCGCGCACTGGCACTAACACAGGTACACTGCGGGAGCCGGCCGCCTACCTAAGCGACTCCCGCGAGGGCGGCGAGCGAGGCACTTAGCTCCGTGCACTCGCTCGCCCGCCCCCGCCAAAGGCAAGCTCATTCACAATCTGCTCTGCGGGAAAAGGAACACCGAGTGCGGCCACCGGTCGAGTCGCCCTACCCGCACGCGACCGACCGTTCCTCTCGGTCGGTGGCCGTGGAGGCACCCCACTTCCGCACACACACCAGCTTAGCGAGCACGTGTAATACCCGGCACGCCTCCGACCACGGGCCAGCACTTCACCACTTCAGACTCAGATTCCCGCAGGCCATAGGCCCTCGCGGGCTGTGACGAGTGTGTCCTCGAGCAGCGTGAACAACGGATCTTGTTGAAGCACGCACGGCGGCTGGAGGGCAGACGAGCGATGCAAAAAAGCTCGCAGCAGCGATCCCTGCTCTTCGCCGCGCTCGCCGCCGCGCTCGCCATCAGCGTGAGCGAGGCCCAGCTGCCGAAAAAGGGCAACCGCGGCAACCGCTGCGCTTCGTGGTGCCGCTCGCCACGCGACCACTGCCCAAAGGAGCTCTGCGCCGGCTGCGTCGCCCTATGCGCCCAGTACCGCGAGGACATCACCCACCCGTGCCCCGCGGTGGCGAAATGGGACACGGCGTACGAGACGTGCCTCGACTGGTGCCGCCCTCTGGAGGAGTCGTCGCACTGCGGCAAGTGCTCGTGCAAGGCGTGCCCGAGTTGTCGCGGCGGCGGCGGCGGCTCCGCCCAGAAGCCCGCCGCCGCGCCCGTGGCAACGCCCACACGTAGCGCCGCGCCCGCCGCCGCGCCGGCCGCTGCATCCGGTAGCGCGGCGCCGGCCCAGGCCGTCCTCGTCCGAGGGGTTCTCGCCCGGGGGAGCGAGTGCGAGCCGAACGACAGCTCCGACGTCGCGACCGCGCAGTGTGAGCTCGACTGCTCCCTGAGCCGCTGCCAGCAGTGCCGCTGCGCGAGCTGTCCCTTCTGCGCCGCCGGACCGGCCGCCCCGTCCACCGCTCCGATCCAGTGTGCGCCGCTGGACAACGCCGACACGACCGTGCAGCAGTGCGCCGCAATGTGCCAGCCCGAGCACGCGTCAAACTACTGCAAGCGCTGCCAGTGCGGCGCGTGCGCCTTCTGCGGGGGCAGCCTCGCGCCTCCACCTCCGCCGCCGCCCGCCGCCGCCGCCCACGCGCCGCTGCTCCGCCCTCCGCCGCCGCCTCCGGAAGAGAGCCGCGTGGGCTACTCGCAGCCCGAGGCGGGAAACCTGCTGGGGCGGTCGCGGCTCGGAGACGGCGCGTCGGTGGCGTGGCGGCGCGCGTGCGAGCAGCAGGTCAACAGCGGGCGGGAGGCGGGCGAGAGAGAGCTGCCGCGAGAGGGCTGTGCTCTTCGCCGTTCAAGCACTGCACCCACCCTGCCCTCGGCTCTGGCCCCTCGGTAGGTGAACGAGAATTGCGCCAGGCTGGGGCTAGCGGGCGTCCTTTCCCCTCGGCAGCAGCTGCGGCCGGCGGGCGATGCGCGCGGCGCAGCCTCGAACTCGCTGCCGGGTGCGGCGTACGGCGCGGGGACCGCGTGCGCCGCCCGCCGAGCCAGCGCATCGACGCCTCCCGCCCTGGCAAATGGCAGGTGCTCTTGAGGCCGGTGCGGCTCCGCCTCCGCCTCCGCTGCCGGTCACCGCGTACAGCGGCGCGTATGTGGACCGGCTCCACGCCGCCGCCGCGTCGTCGCACCGGCTCGGTACGATGGGCGCGGGCGCAACGGTCGCGGCCGGCGCCATGTGCGCGCTGCGCGCCGCGCCGCGCGTTGCTCGGCACACCGCCACAGAGTTGGATGTGAACCGCGGGCGGAGTTGGACGCATCAGGTGCGCTGCGGCGATCTGCTGCGTCTCGAGGCGGCGGCGCTCGGCGAGCCGGCGGAGGGGGCGAGGCAGGTCGCGGCGGGCGGCCGAGGAGGAGTACAAGACTCCCGGCGAGGGGCTGTACGAGGTGTCTGGTTGGGCCGAGGCGGCGGAGGAGAAGGACGCAAGCGTCCTGTGGGTGGACGACGACGGTGGCGCCGGGGGGGGGGAGGGGGCACGGGCGGCGCCGTGGAGAGCCGCCGTTCACAGCTCCACCCCCGCGAGTCTAGGCCGGCGGGAGCGGGAGCGGCGGCGCAGGAAGAAGAAGAAGGACCGATACGGCGGCGGCGGCGGCGGGGAGGGGGAGGAGGGCGCGTCGTTGGTCGCGTCGGACCTTCAGAGCGCGGCGCGTTCCACTCCACATTTCACGGCTGATGACGAGCCGCTGTGAACGGCGCCTCTTCACGCGCGCGCTGGCCGTGAGCAGGCGTCATACAAGACGGCGTGCGACAGCTCGCGCGAGCAGGTCGCGCGGGCTCCTCTTGCTCCACACAGCCCCACACACCCGCTAGAGACGGGCGGTTGCAGCCACACCTCTCGACGGCCACACGGTCTTTCCTCGCCTTTCGCCTTTGCTGTTGTTGGTCGTGACGACCATGTGGGTTGGGTACCTACAGGCTTCGCCAACGCCTCGACCACACTGGCTTCCTCCGGACGTGGTGACTGTAGGTGCGGCGGTGGGGCGTCGACCAAGGGGTACCATTCCACTCGACGGCGCTGCAGATGGCGATGGAGGTGTCCCTGGACCGGAGGAGCGCGGCGGGCGGTGCGAAGCGGTTCGGGGTGACGAGACGCCATTCACACCTCTGTAGGAGGGATCGGAGGAGGACGAGCTCGACTAGAGCAGTACTACGTGTACACCGATGGGGCGGCCGGGGCGCTGCGTGCATTGATGGCGCAGCATCCTTGCGCATGCATGCGTATTGGTTGATCTGCCCCCAGACAGACTCCGCCGCCGCTTGGGATGGGATCGCATCTTCCTCATGTGGATGCGTGGTGCGTGGACTAAACTCTGGACCTGGTATACACTCTCATCACTAATTCTGTTTTCTCCCCTGTGAGCTGTGTGCGATTCGGTGTTCTTGTACTGTTAAAACTCTAAGTAAACACAAAAAACCCCGCGCAGAGAGGCCACGCATTCACACATCACACGCAGTGTCCTCCGAGGTGTGTGAACTTGAGAGGACTGGGAGTGGTGACCAGCTGCGAGTCAGGAGTTGTGACGGCACAGCTAGTGCGTGCTGTGATTGCGCTGGTGGCGAGGGGGTGGACGGCATCTCGGCTGCAGCCGCGCTCGACCGCAACATTTGAGTCCCCAGGTCCATACGCGTTTGCTGCGGCTGCCCCATAACCCGTGCTAGGACGTGTGTAGACTGACTGACTGGCCTAGTGGGGCGCATGATCAGCCGCCACCGTTGTAGCCGCCGCCGTTTGTGCTGAAGCCACCGTTGCTGCCATGAGCTGCCGCGGGCCACCCGCTGTTGCACGCAGGCTCTTCGGTGTATGAGGTGAAGCCTCCCGTGCCGCCGCCACCGGAAGCACAGCTCTGGGTGCCGGTGCCGGCGTTGCCGCTCTTGCAGATGCAGGTCTCGCTCACCCGGTCACAGATGCCCAGCTCACGATACCACTCTACGTTCACCCCTGTGCATGCCTGGCTGCCCTTGCTGTGGCCAAAGTGGCACGGGTCACAGAGCTCACGGCGGCTCTCGTCCCTTTCCAGAACGTTGGTCGCGTACGCGTTGTTGTAGTTGCCGCCGGTGGCGTATACGCAGACCCATTTCCGCGAATTGGTGCCACAGCCCAGCTTGGTGGTGGCCTTCCAAACGATTTGCGTGAAGTGCCCTGTGGCGCCTCCACCCGTGCCGGTGCTGGTCGCATAGTTCCAATGCACTTCTTCGTTCCAGTACATGTCCATAAAACCGTCCACGCTGAACTGGCCCGAGCCAAGGTTCTCGCCTACGTAGCCCAAGCTGCACTCCGAGCACCGCCCGCTCGGAGAGTGAGCAAACGAGTCGGTGAGCGCGAGGTGGTCCGCCCAGTCCTGCGCGCCTGCATGGGGTGCGCGTTCGGAGAGGCGGGGTCGGGAGATACGCGCATGGTTTGTTTGGGCGGGTCATTGGTGTTGGGCGGATGAGTGCTCACAGCGGCCGAGGCAGTCGTCCCAGACGAGGTCGGGGGTGCCCGGATGGAGGCACCGGACAGCGTTGTGGGCTGCGGTGAAGCCCTTGAGGCAGCCCGTCTCGCCGCCGAGGGCCGAAATAGGCGAGGGCGGCGGTGGCGGCCGGGGCGATGGCGGCGGCGGCGGCAAAGTCAAAGCGTCAGACACGCACGAGGCGCCCGTCGTCTGTGGCCAATTTCCGAAGCAGTTTGCGAGCTCTAGCGTCGAGCCGTCGTCCAGCGTGAGCGTGAAGCCGACAGGCACGCCCGTCAGCCCTTGGGTGGAGGCCTGGAAGGGGCCACCGTTGCGGCTCATCATCACAGGAGCGTTGCCACCGACCGTGATGGTGGCTGCGTCGACGCCACGTTCGAGCCCGGAGAAGAGGACCTTGACAAAATAGGCATTGCCACCGTCGAGGATGGTTGCCGTCGGCGGGCCGGCCCCTTGACACGCGACCTGCTCGAATTGGATGCCCATCACGCCCGTCGCGCAACCTGATATGTCCCGGAATACGGGCAGGTGGCAATCGAACTCCGCAGCTGAGCCCGAATCGACCACCATCACGACCGCCGCACCAGGCCGGTTGCAGCCAGTGGTCTCCGTCGTCTCTGCTCCGTTGAATGTGATCCTGTAGCAGCGCCCGCACGCCACTGCACCGCCGTAGAGCTCCGCGTCGACGGCGCAGTAGCGTCCGGATGCGATGTAGGGGTTCGCAGCGGCTGGCGAGCCTGTGCCGCCCTGTGCGATGTTGGCGAATTCACAGGACGAGCCGACAATTTCCTGCGGGTCGGTGCTCCACATCGTCATCTGGCCTGCCTCACCACCACCTCCATCTCCGCCACCGCCCTCACCACCACCTCCATCTCCGCCACCGCCCTCGCCACCACCACCCTCACCACCACCTCCATCTCCGCCACCGCCCTCGCCACCACCACCCTCACCACCACCTCCATCTCCGCCACCGCCCTCGCCACCACCGCCCCCCTCGCCGCCACCGCCCTCGCCACCACCGCCCTCGCCACCACCGGCCTCGCCACCACCACCCTCGCCTTCACCGCCACCGCTTCCGTCCGCAGTGCCGAGTAGGGCTGTTGGGCCACTTGATGGGCGCACGGCGATGGCGGCCGACAGAGCTGCCGCGATGCAAACGATGACGACGACGGTGAGCACCTTGAGACGGCTTGGGCTGGTGCTCTGCTGCACAGCTGTAGGTGTGGCGTTGGCCTGCTTCATGCGCTACGGCTGTTGTCACGGCTCGCTTTTGGTGCTGGCGTCTCGCACCCATTCGGAAGCCGCCGCTGCCGCGGGTTGGGATTTTTTATTTTATAAGGCATGTTGTAGCATCGCGACAAAGAACTCACACAGAACATCGAAAGCGGCGAGTCGCAATCCCCGGATTTTTTATTTTGAGCTAGACTTCGTTGTTATAGAAACAAGCGAAGGCACACACAACATGACGCCAAACTTTATTTTATTCGAGTTAGGTGTATTGTTGGCAAAACAAGACACAGAGCTCACACAGAATCACAGCGGATTTTTGTGGCAGTTGTTCAGCGGATCGCGACTCAGAGCTCACACAGAACATCGAAAGCGGCGAGTCGCAATTCCAGGGGTCGTTGTGGCGGGCCACCGGGCCACCCTGTCATCCAGAAAGGCATGGATGCCAATCTGGGGTCTTTCGACCGAGTCTGATTTCTTTCGCCTCGCTCGCCGCCTCCCGATGGTGGTAAGGCTGGAGAGCCAAACAAAGCGGTGGAGTGGCGGGTGAGGGCGGGGGATCGAGGAAAGCACGACTCGCACCGACCCTTCACGAACCGAAAGGCTGCACCCGGGAAAGGCACAGTAATTCGGTACGCGTTGGGCGCCCCATTCCGTTTGGCGGCTAGGTCGGCTCAGGGCCCCGTCCACTTCCCTCCCACTTGGCGCGTGATGGTGTGGGGATGTCGCCCAGGACAGCCGGGGCAGGGGCGGAGGGCGAGGGCGGAGGGCGGGACGGGCGCCAACGGGAGGGAGCGGACGGAGTGGAACGCACAGATGGGGGATGGCGAAGGCGGAGGGCGGGCGGGAAGGGGGGAGGGCGGCGGGAGGGCGGAGTCGGCATGGGCGGGCGGTGCCGGTGGCTGGGTGGTTCGGTAGGGCGGGGGGGAGGGCGAGGGCTGAGGGAGGGTGTAGAGGATGTAGAGTGTAGAGCGCTGTAGAGTTGTAGAGATGTAGAGCGCTCTGGAGTGCTGTAGAGCTGTAGAGCTCTACATCCGCCGCGTGACGAACTGCCTGCGTTGTAGAGCGATGTAGAGCGCGATTTTGTTGTAGAGTTTGTTGTAGAGGCTCTACAGCCAAACCGCCGGGAAGGCAGTGACTCAAAGAGGTCGAGTCGCACTAATGGGGTGTCTCTGAGCTTACTGGAGCTCTGATGGACGGCGGCCCTGACTATCCCTGACACACAGAGAGTCACTCTGACAGCACACAACACCCTATAACTGCGTCATGACCAGCCTGCCATGCGTCGCCGGTGCCGCATTCGTCGCAGTGTGCTCCTTTAGCAGGCGGTGTGCGAGGACGGTCGCATTTGCGCGAGGCGAGGCGAGCATTCAGACGCGTTGCATGCGCCATGCCTCGCGCCAGCGCGTGCGGGAGCTCCGTGGCTGAGCGTTGAGTCCAGGCGAGTTGCGCTGGCCACTATCGCTACACCTAGCCGAGCTGACGCGCCGAGGCGCCGGCCAGTCGCAGCCGTGAGGCATGCCACAGCAGCAGAGGCACCTCCCACCCATTGGGCGGGCAGACAGAAGGCCAGGGCAGCACTGGCAAGTGCAACGCGCCTCATGTCGGAGAGCGACCGTGCCTCGTTCGCCGCTTATGATGTAGAGTTTGTTGTATCGCTCTACAACGCAGGCGCTTCGTCCCGCGGCGGATGTAGAGCTCTACAGCTCTACAGCGCTCTACAGCTCTACAGCTCTACAGCGCTCTACACTCTACATCCTCTACACCCTCCCTCAGGGCGAGGGGTGGAGTAGGAGGGCGGTGGGGGCGAGGGGACTGCACGAGCAGGATCTTGTAAGCGATCAGGGACACAGGGACGGGAGCGGGGAGCGCATCGCGACACGGTGCATATTAAGTGCACACCACTCGGGCTCAAGGCTTTTTTTTACGATTTTGCGTGTGCCGCACCCCTCTTTTTTTTTGGCGCAGCTCATTTCGCGAACCTCCCCGACTCTCAGCATGCAGCCATGGATGGAGAAGGTGCTCCTGTCGCCCGATCTGATGCCACTCGTGATGGCAATGTGCCGCTGCCGCGACAAAGCGCCGATGGTGTGTACCGTTTGGCGCGATGCGTGGATCGCCTCTTCGGAGACGCGACCGTCGCTGCGGCCGGTTGCCATTGAGCCTCGCGAGGTGCGCCGTCTGCAAAAGGCGCACGACGGCTGCATTGTCACGACGATGGACCGCCAGGTTCAGATCTTGGACCAGCAGCTGCAAGTGGTCTCCGAGTTCGTCTCGGAGTTCGGCTTCGCGCACATCTATGAGATGAAAGTGCTCGCAGCTAGCAGCGACAACGTCTACGTCGAATTGATGCTAGCAGACGCGCCGACTGCGCAAACCTTGCGCCGATACGCGGTCGAGGCGGCTGAACCCCCAGCCGAACGCGCAGTCCTCGCCGAACGCCATTTGACCGGCAATCTTGGCACCGCTGCGGCCGCGCTCGCCCCAGATTTGGGCGTCATCTTTGTGGCAGGAGAGAACTGTGTCCTCGCTCTTGATGCGCTCAGCCTGGAGGAGTCGCACAGGCTGCCTTGCGCCGAGTTCTTCGAGAACTTCAACGACTATACGGTGAATCTCGCAGTGATCGGCGAAGAGCTCTTCGTCGCGGGCGTCAAGAGCGGTCCCATTGACGTGTACTCCTTGGCGGGCGACCACCTTCGCACGATCGGGAAGCCGTGGGGCACAGGACCTGGGGAAGACGGACTTGAGCTGCGCTTTGACATGTGCGGGTTCGGCAACCGATTGTGTCTGTCCGAAATGTGGACTGACAGAGCGCAGCGGGCCTTACATGTGACTAGGACGAAGCGCATTTGGATTCTCACGAACGAGGGCGATTTGCTGCAACCGCCGTACACCCTGGACTGGACCGAGCACGAATCCCTAGAGGACATGTGCCGTCACGGCAACAATCTGATTATCGTGCGAGCCCCCAGCTTCGGTATCGCACCCGGGTCGGCGCCTGTTCTCGCCGCACTCTCCGGGATCGATATGCGCGACTGAAAATGTCTCTGTCTGTTATCGAATGTAAAAACTGCGAGAAAATACACGGCTGTCGTCCCCCTCGCCCTCCGCGCCTGCACGCTATTTATATATCCCAAGTTTTGCGGTGTGCGGCGGACTTTTGCGGCGAAAAGGAGAGGGTGGCGGCACCCTCCCTCCCCTATCGCCAAACGAGATTCTTGACTTGGGGCCCTCGGGGAGGCGGGCTTTTCGAGGTCGAGGTCGCTCGGGAGAGTACTCGAGGTACGAGTAGGTACAGAGCCCGCCGGCCGTTACATACAGGCTCGCCTCGTACATCGTTGGTCCGCGAGCTTCGTCTCGTCGGTGAAGCCGGCGACGCGCGAAACTTTGGCACAAGGCGTTATGCAGCTCGAGTGACCTCCGCGTTTCGTAAAGCTTCGGCGACTTTTCTTTTGTTTTCTGTCTTGGTCAGTGAAAATCATTTTTTCCCTCGCGAGCCGGCCCCTCAGAAAATTCTTTTCCTTTTGCCAAGCCTCCGACGGGCGCCACAGACGTCGCCGTCGCCTTGTCGTCGCCTTGTCGTCGCCAAAGCCAGAGCTTCGCCGTTGCTCCAGAGGGCAGGCAGATGCCCAGCAGAGTAGACGCTGACCGCGGATCCAGCTCGAGCATCACCGGGCTCATCGGCGCCGAGATGGTCAGCAGCAGGTGCAGCCGTCGCACGAGCAGCGGATACAGCAGTGGCGCGCTCGTTTCGACCACCAATGGGAAGACCGATCACGTCCGGGTGCTCGAGGATGCTCCAGAGCCACCGCAGGCGCTGGCGACAGAGACGCCGGTCAGAAGGGGGCCCAGCTCCTCCAAGAATCCGTCGTTCGTGGAGGAGGCGGAGGGTCCGGCCGACTGGCTGCTCGTGCTGGCCAAGTGCACCGTGCCCGCCTTCTTCGTGGCGGCGTCAGGCGCTGTTGCCATCCCGGTCAACAAAGCGCTGGGCGACGGCGAGGGCGCCGAGTTCTTCCGCAAGGCGAGGAGTCACCACGTGTGGCCTCGCGCAGCTCCCTTTCACAAGTCGAAGTACTAGTCTGGACCGTCTGGACCGTCCACGCGTGACCCGAGTCTGGGCCGTTGCCATCGTGACGTCAGGCGTCGGAGGAGTTTGCGGGCGGCGCGCTCATCGTGACGTACGCGATCGAGCTGTCGCAGGGGTACATCACCAAGAAGGACGGCGCTCTGAGCAGGAAGCTGGTGGCGGCGACGCTGATCGGGACGATCTTCTCGGGCCAGCTCCAAGCCTTGGGCCAGGCGCTCTGGCCGCACGAGTTCATTATTATTATGTCATTTTTTAGTATTTATTATTGGCGCTCTGGCCGTATGATGAGTTCATTATCATAATAATTATCATTATTCAGGCGCTCTGGCCGTATGAGTTCATCGACTCGGACGGTGCACATCTCCCCAGATCTGCCCAGATCTACCCAGATCTGCCCAGATCTGCCCAGATCGACCGCGTTGTCGTACTCTCGTCAGGCGACCCTGACAATGCCGAGGCTGGCGACGCGATCCCGTTCGCACTCGGCGCGTCTCTCTCTGCCTGCGGTGCTCCGGTGGGGCAGCGCGAGGGGTGGGCGTGTGACTCTTGACGCCGGCGCGTGAGTAGGTCTGCTTCGTGGATGGCGGCTTCCCGCGCCGTGTTTCTTTTCTGCCCATCCGAATTTCTTTTTTCTAGGCTTCTTCGTGGACGGCGTCGTGCTTGCGTGCGAGCCGCCGCACCGCCCGCCGGACAAGCTTCTGTGAGGAGAGCGCGTCTCTTCACACCTGCACCTGTGAATAGGTACGAGCCGACGGTTCGGCCGCCGGACAAGCTCTGCCGTTGCCGCTCGCTCTGGCGGAGGGTGCGCCAGATCTCCCCAGATCTCCCTAGATCTCTCTATGCATCTCCCCATATCTCCCCATACCCCCCCATATCTCCCCATATCTTGGCCAGGTGCGCCCCGCCTTCACGTCCGTACTCACCTTCGTCATGTCGATCGACAACGCGGTCTACGGCTTGGCATGCACCAGAAGCTCTGTGGCTGTGAACAGCGCCTCTTCACACCGCCAGCTGTGAACAGGTCGACGGCTTCGGCATGTACCAGAAGCTCGACCGGGCGGCGATGCCGGCGTGGGGCTACCGCACCACCCACGGGACTGAACCCACACTGGGTTCGATACTCTGGAGGTGTGGTACTAGGCGTGGGGCTACTATGCCTGCTTCGTGCTCTCGATCTACCTCGGAGGCGCCCTGGGGGGGGATATGGGGGAGATATGGCGACTACGCCTGCTTTGTGCTCTCAATCTACCTCGGGGGCGCCCTAGGGACCTGGCGAGGACAGACCACGCCCCACTCTTCACAAGGGGGGGGGGGGGGGGGGGCGTCTGGAAAGAGGAGGCTGACGCCGCCAGGGCAAAGCATGTGCTGTGAATAGCAGGCGTGGTCCCGTACCCGCCACAGCCCTAGGGATGGCCGGCGCAGCGCGTCCGTGCACGGACTGACAGTCCGGCACAGGGGGAGATCTGGTGGAGATCTGGTGGAGATATGAGGGAGATCTGGGGGAGATCTGGGCACGTTAGGCGCCCTCACCATCCTCGTGCAGCGCGTGCCGAGCCAGGCGCTGCAGTCCTTCTGGCGCGCAGACCCGCCCGAGAATAGCCGAGGCCAGCCGAGAGAGGTCGACCAGAGGCGCTGCCTTCCTCCTGGCGCCACCTCGCCCCGCCTGGATCTGGGCAGGTACGCCTTTGGCGCCTTCGCGATTCTCGACGGCGGCCTCGAGCTCGCGAGTGATGGCCTGTCCACATTCGTGCTGATCGGGTTCATCTTTGTCTGGCTAATGCTCTTCGCCGGCCAGGCGGCGGAGTGAGGCGGCGGAGGGAGCCGGCGCTGAGCTTGTCTAGGCTCAGATCTCGACTCTCGAGACACTGCATGTGCACCTCCCCTGTAGACCTCCCCGTCAGACCCGGGCAGTACGCATCTTTTTGTGTTATTTTCGGGTTGTTGACGGCGCCCCTGCGCCCTGGCGCCTGTGAGATGCATATATGTACGTGGAGCGCTCTCTCTAGAGGTGTAGAGGCGGTCCCCGTATTCGCAATTCGGGGAGCGGTACGTCAGAATAGAGTAGTGAGTACGTTTTTATCTTACGTTGAGGATTGCGGTGTTTACTGGATTACCGCGATACATTCGGTTCAACGGACAATGCACAACAGTCTCAGGATCGCACTCTCTCATCCGTATTGGTCGCAACGAGAGAGATCATAGTTCACACGAGGCCCAGGGCGCGCTTTGCCTTGAGCGCCGCGAGACGCACTGGCACGCGCCGCATCATCGCGGCCTTGAGCTCCGCGACGGCGTTCGGAGGGCGGGCAAGCACAGTGAAGTCGCGGATGAGCCCCTCGTCGCACAGGCTGACCAGGTCCATTCCTTGGAGCGTCCGCCCCGAGTCCTCAATCTCGGCGGTGAACTCGAGCGCCCACTCCTTCCCATCCTCACTCAGCCACTGCCTGCCGTACTGGAAGGACGAACCAAAAACCTCCGACACGCAGCCGAGGAGCAACAGCGTCTCATCGCGGCCTTCCCACGGCGCGTAGTAGGTCGGAGGCCGAAACATGCACGCCGGGTGCACGTGAGCGCCAAAAGAGTCGCGCAGGCTCTCCGCCGTCGCTCTGCCGCTCATCACGGCACTGACGGATTCGTGCCACGCATCAAACGTGGCCCTGCAGGCCGGCGAGGAGCTCTCTCCGCCGTACACCGTCCCAGAGTAGCGCCGGCTGCTGGCTGCGCCGAGCCGCCTCGTGGCTGCGCTGAGCGTCGTGGCTGCGCCGAGCGGCCTCGTGGCGTGCCTGAGCAACAGATTCATACATACATGTACATCCTATCCAATGACATCCTATCCAAGGAGCAACGTCCCACCCACAACGGTCAACGCGACCGCTCCTCCGACGACTCCTCCTCCGACCGCGACTCATGCGGCACCGGCTCCACTAGCGAGGCGAATGACATATTCGACACCCTCGAAGACCGTCTCGGCTACGGTTCCCACTCCGGCTGGTAGTCGACAAGCTGCCGAGCGCAAATCACTCTGTGTGACACATTTCTTGTTGGCTTCTAAAAATCTCTCTCAGTCAGCGAGCACACACGACAGGTCGACAGCAAGCAGCATCGGGTCAGCAGCTCAGCACACGCGGCACGCACACAGACCCTCTCTTCTGGCGCGAAGGTGCACATGCCGCTTGAGTCTAGGGATCAGGCATCGCGGGCGTCCCGGCGACGCGATCACCTCTCCTCATCACCTACCTATAAGTATCTTCTGTCTCGCTGGCAGGCAGCGAGCGGGCGCGGAGCATCGGCGAGCATGGACATGGACCCGTCGTTACACCCGCTCGCAGACTCACCACACACTCTAGACTTGAGCCGAAGGCGTCTGCGGCACCATGATGAAAAAGTGCCCGTACCGGCTGGCGCCCTCAGGGATAACGGTGAGCATGATCCCAGCTGGGGTTGCGACCCGCATGGTGTCGCCAGCCTGCATGCCGCTTGAGAGCTCGACCCGCCTAAAGCCGACGGGGATTGTTGTTGCAAGGGCACGTTGCCCGCAGGTGCCTACTGGGTGCGGTCGCACATCTTCATCGGCGGCAATTCCTGGGGCAGCGCCGGCGGCGCAGGTGGCAGCGCAGGCGGCAGCGCAAGCGGTGCAGGCCGCGCAAGCGACGCAGGCGGCGCACGCGGCAGCGCAAGCGTCGCAGGCGGTGGCAGCAAGGTGGTAGTGCCAGGTTGAGGAGCAGCTTGAGGAGCAGCTGTCGAGGGTGAAAAAAGGCCGGAATTCGCCCTCAGAATCCGGATCGCCTCGCGGAGCCGCTCCGGCCGGCTGTGTCCCAGCGTCTCGAGCAGCCGAGTGAGGTCACTCAACAGAGCCGCCGCCTCGCTCAGCTCCCCAGCCACCTCTGGCCCTGCCATCCGGAGCAGTGTGCACAATTCCCGGACCAGCTTCAGCTGGTCGCGCCCCCCGAGGTTGAATGCGGCCACCTCTTTCCACAGGGCCCACGCCTCGTGCTCCTCCGCAGTGCGCGGCTGGGTTGAGCAAGCTGCAGGTCCGCTGTTGGTTGGCCACGACAGGCAAGCAGGAGGAGGCCCGTTGGTTTCTGTCGCGGGCGGCAGGAGGCTGTAGCGGTGGTTGGCTAGGCCGGGCACAGTGCCGGCGAGCAGGCCGCCCGACATCCACTCCTCGCTCCCCAGCAGGTCCTCAAGCATCCGATCCTCTGAGCCGTCGGAGGAGGCGCTCTCCTCCTGCTCGTCCAGGTCCGGAGTCGAGCTGGCTGGCGGCGGGGAGGAGGGGCGGGACGATGGGCCGCCCAAATTTGGGGCGGTCGCGGACCGTTGCTCCGCTCGCCTCATTGTCGAACTGTCCATGAAGTCTTTCGCATCGAGGTCAAAATGGAGGAATGTCGACCGGGACTCGATCGCAGGGGGGTTCGCCCCAGCAGTCGCTGGCTCAGTGCGAGCTGCACTCGTCTCCTCGGCGGGACGACCCGAAACCCATCGTGGGGCAGCGGCGTGCATCGGCGTAAAGCTGGACCGAGGTTGGGTGCCGAACCAACGCAAAACGGGAAACGTCGTGATGGAAGGATTGCCCCCGGGGATTGGGGGGAGCGGGAGCGTGTCCACCGCCGCGGGCGTCACGGGTTCGTAGTCATTTTGAAAAAACCTTGATTTTGTTTAGGTACGTCCTGATGCGCCCTCCCCCCTCGCTTTTGCAAAATCCTGCAAAGGTGGGGACGTGTCTGTCCTCGACCCAGCCCTAGCTTGGGATGTCCGTTGTATTTATTTATTTATGATTCCTGCACCAACAAAACCGACAAACCGCCTCACGTGCTCCAACAACAAACAACTCTAACACCAGCAACACGATGTGAAGGACGCCTCAGGGGGCAGGGGCGGCTCAGGATCACAGACACCCCTCTCAGGATCACAGCACCGGCGGGGGGGCGCCTCAGGATCAAGCACCCACGGCAGGGTCTGTGGGGATCAGCAGACCTTGAGGGGGCGCGCTGAGGATCATAGGCCTGAGAGGGGTGCTGTCAAGATCACAGGGCTGCAAGGGTGGCACTCGAGATCAGAGCGCCAAAATAGGTGCAATACAGATCAGCGGCCGGAAGTGGGCGCAATAAGGATCATGAGCGCCGGATCGGGTGCAATAAGGATCATGAGCGCCGAACGGGTGCAATAAGGATCATGAGCGCCGGATCGGGTGCAATAAGGATCATGAGCGCCGAACGGGTGCAATAAGGATCATGAGGGTTTTGTGGTCTGTGCGCGGACGGCCCGGGGAGCCTGCGGCGCTATTTTAACCTGCCCCGACAGAGTCTCTCGATACGGCGCGCGGCGGCGCCGCACCCAGCAAGCTGGGGCCGCTCCTTACGGACTCGTCGCTGCGCTCCTCAAGGCAAACACGGAGCGCGCTGCGCGCGCGGTCTACGCCGAATACTGCGGCCGCCGTCACGACTGCCATCCTCGGCGGCGCCGAGCGCGCGAGCGGCGCCGATGGCCAGCCCGGCGCCACCTCCCAGCGACAAGCGCATGAGCGACAGGACGCGCATGAGCGACCCGGTCCAGCGCACGTGATTGGGCGCGACGGTTTCATGATGTCAATTACCTAAAACAAAAAATCGTCGAGTACCCTTGAAACGTCTGTGGCGACAGTCCGCCCATCGCGCTGCGCCGTGCTCTCTGCGGCGCTCCACAGGCCACGTAGTCTTCCCAGCGGTGCATGGCAGATGCACCGAGCTCCCTGGCGACCCCCGTCGAGGCTCGGACCCGCGGCTTCGTCGCCACCATGCTACGCAACCTCGGCTCAGCGCTGGGTGGCAAACGCCGGCCAAGCCGACGGTAAGACTGTCACCAGCGGCCCTGGCAGCCGGCCAATCAATGCCGCAACACGCACACCGTTCGAGTGTGCTCGGCCGAACCACCAAAGCGACCGCGCTCGCTCGTCTCAGGTTCTCCGCCCATCAACTACGCCTCCGCGAGCGGCTGCCTCCGCGAGCGGCAGCTTTGGCACCGGCCGCACCGGTGCGAGAGTACAGTGCCCACACGCCGCGCCCATTTATCGCTGCTGCGTGTGCTGGACACGCCTAGCACGTCGACTCCGCAGGGCACGGCGAGCCATACTGACCTGTCACCGCATGCATTGCTCACTCTGGTTGCAGACAGAGCGTGAGGCGGGCTTAGTGCATCTAGCCCTGAGGCCGAGCGCTGATCCAAAGGCCACGATCTAGGTAGTCCACGAGCGACGACAGCAGGCTTCTCCTTTGAGCGGCCGGTCAGTTTGGATAGAGGGCGTGTGCCGTGTGGGTTTGTGGGTGTCTTTTTCGCTCGCCCGCTTCACCCATCTCCTTGTCACCGCTCACCCGCACGACCCTTCATGCTAGAGACGGACATGACATTTCAAGCTTTGGATGTCTCAGCCAGTAGAGCTGTGCAGCACTTCTTTTGGAGCTTTTAGCTGAGCATTTAGCATCTCCTAGGACGCTTCGACCACCGCCCGGCACCGCCCCTCGGAGGCCGGCTAGATGCTCGCCGAGGGCCCAAAACCGGCCACTCAAAGCTCCAAAACGTACCTGAGAATCTGCTCCAGATTTCTACCACATCACCACAGGACCCATCCCAGTAAAATAACTTCTTTTGGGGCAATGCCGTCCGTGGAAAAAGAAACTGTGACGTCCGCACACTATAGCACACCAGCCTACGAGGGTACCGATAGCCAAAGAGAGTCGAACCACCCACACACGACTCCAACACAGCAGCGAGCTCCTCTCCGCTCCCCTCTTACTCGCGCCAACGATCTTTGCGAATGCTTTCGCTCGCAATCCTCACATCGCACGGCTTCGCCACGCTCGCTCCTCCTCGGCCGACCGTGGCCGAAGCCACACGAATGCGCGACGGTGGCATCGCCCGGAGCGGGGCGACGATGAGCGCCCCGGATGAGTACGACCTGGCAGCACCCAAGTTCGACCTGCTGGAGATGCGCAGCTTCCGCCGCGACGCGACGCTTCAGTACGCCGTCGCTCAGCGATCGCAGCAGCTTCGAATCCTCTTCTTTGCGTCCAGCGCTGTCGTCGCCGCCGCAGCGCCTTGGGCGGCGGGCGCGCTGCTGCCCGACGTCAGCATACTCGACGCCCGCGGCCTAGCCGGCTGTGCGGCGGCCTCGCTGCTGTTTGGGTCTCTCGCGGCGCGCGAGCGCGGGCTACGCGGTAAGGTAGAGCTGTAGATGGGCTGTATGTGATCCACGGCCAACACAGCGACAAGCGGCCACGTCCGCGACAAGTCCGCGCCGCGTTGTCCGCAACACGTCCGTGACCCCGTCCCGGCGACGGCGAGGTGCTGCTGCGGATGGAGCGCGAGCTCGCCGTGGGCGACCTGCAGATCTCGCAGACGGGCAGCGCGCTCGGCGGCGGCCGGCCACGCGCCCTCTCGGCACTACGCGGGGAGCGGCGCGTGGTCGCGATCTCTGGCTCTCCCGGCTGGCTGCTTGCCGAGCTGCGCAGCGCGGAAGTGTACCGCCGCCGCCTCGAGCAGAGCGGCGTCGCCCTCGTCTGCGTCGCCTTTGGAGAGGAGGCCGCATGGGCCGACGCGTCGCGTGCGGCAGAGGCTGCCGGCTGGCTATGGCGGCCCGCCGACGCCTCCGGCTGGAGGGGCTACTTTTCCGACATTCTCACGGCGAAGGACGGCAGCGCCAAGGCGGCGGCGGAGGAGGGCGCCTTCTTCGCCCTCTCGCTGCGCGGCCGCTCCTGCGCGTCGGGCGTGGGCCGTGTGCCATGGGACGAGCTGCTCGGCACGAAGCTACCGCCCATCGAGCCCCTCTCCCCCTCCGACCCTCCGGCGCCGGCGAGCGAGGAGGAGGCGGCGGTGCTGGCGGCGCAGGCGGCGCTGTACGACGCGCTGCGCGATGTGGACGCCGCTGCAGTCCGGCGGCTGTGCTCGCCCGAGGACGACGACGAGGTGAGCGCGCTTGCTCCGCTGGGCCGGCTGGATGGGTGGGAGACGGCGCTCGAAGCACGGCGCAGGGACTCGGCCTGTGGACACGTCCATGACACGTCCCTCGGGATGTCTAGGTCCTCAAGTACGACGCCACCGCTGGCTTGCGGCTGTCGAGCCAGGACGCCACCGTCGCCGGCGAGACGGCCTTCTCGACCGGGCTTGAGTTCCCCGCCGGAGGGAAGGGCGCGTCGCTGCTGTGCACACAGCGCTGGGCGCGCGACCAGGCGGGCGGCTGGCGGCTCGCGCAGCACCGCACGATCCCCTACACGGCGCAGACCGACGCAGCCGCGTGCCTCCGCTGCGATCGCCGCGGCTGCGTGGCGCTGCAGCGGACGGGAGCGGCCGGCCCGGCGGGCATGCCTGGCGATGGGCCGGCGTGAGTTTGTGTTGGGCCGTTTTGGGGGGTCTTCTGCGTTCTGGGGTGTTCGGGTCCATGCGGCGGTCCTCGGCGCTCGGACCTCCGCCCGTCCACGCCGGCCCGGTCGCCGGGCCCTCTTAAAAAGAAACAAAACGGACAAACCAAGGGAGGGATGGGAGGACGGCACGCCGCCTGCCACCCACCACACAGGGATTTTAAGGAGAGGGGTGTGGTGCGCTAGCCGTCGCCCACCCTTGGGCGTCCGCCTCTTCCTATCTCTCTTCGCAGTCTCTCGCCGATTCTCGCTTTCAGCCGCTGTCGTTAAATTCTTTTTTAATTTTTCTGCTGTCCCCAGTCGATCACTGGTCGATCAGCAACCACCAACAAAGGACCCGCGCAAGGACATAACAAGACTTCACGACATGCGCAAACACCAGCTGCTGCCCCTCTGCCCGACGGCGCAATCCGACCCGTTCGAGTCCGAGCCTCAGCTGGACTGGAACTTCTGCACGGTCGGTGCGCTGACCAGGATCGCTGGCCTGTGCCTGTGCGGGACGGTCTTCCCGCTCTGCGTTTGCCTCGCGAAATGCTCCAGCGCCTTTCACGGGTGGGCTGCGGCGCGATTTACGCACCTTCTCATGCCGCTGGTGCACCATGTCTTTGCCGCTCCTTGGCGGGTCGTGGCTTCGGCTGGCTGCAGGGGCAGGGTGCTTGACGTCGGCTGCGGGCATTTGCCCCACCTGGAGCTGTACAAGTCGCTGGGTACGGCAGCAGTGACCGAGGTTGTCGCGTGCGAGCCGAACCCGCACTGCCACGCTGTCCTCGAGGCAAAGGCGGCGGCGACGTCAGAGCTTAAGATATCCGTGTCCGCCGAGTACCTCGCCGAGCAGGAGACGGCGAGCTTTGACTGCGTCGTCCTCTCCTTTGTGATGTGCGAGATCCCCGAGTACCAGAAGGTTCCCGAGGAAGTGCTACGCGTGCTCAAGCCGGGCGGCTGCTGCATCTTTGCGGAGCACATCGGCGCACCCGTCGGCTCTCTCACGCGCAAGTTTCAAGACCAGGTCAGCGACGCGTGGTGCTTCTGCACCGACGGCTGCAACCTCAACCGCCACCAGAAAAGCTACATCGAGAAGCAGCCGTGGGCCGCGGTCTTCACCCGTACATACGACACGGTCGTGCCTGTCTACATCGGCCTTGCCGTGAAGGAGGGGAGCAGCAGCTGCTAGTGGCGGAGGCGTGGCGAGGGGGTACATGCGTTTGTCTTGAGGTTTGCCTGTGTCAGCACCAGCCACAGCACGCGCCAGTCCGCGCACCTGTCTGCTGTGAGAGAGAGTTGAGTTTGTTAAATTCTTGAGCTGTGAGAGACAGTGTTCTTTTTGTTCAACGGTGTGTAAAAGCCTTACCTTCCTTACCTATTACGCTCCGCAGACCGCACTCCGGACGGTTCTCGCCTCTCTCCCTTCGAGATTCCCGTTTCGGCGTCGGCAGCACCGGACGTTCTGGCGTCCGTCTATCTGTATGAGCGAAGCCCTCACACCACCGCCACTGTGGGCGCGGCGCGCTCCTCGAGCCACCCCTTTAGGATCGCCAGCTGCTGCGCGCGCGCCGCCCGGAGCGTGGGCGAGTCGGCCTCGCTGACGTCGGGGTTGGGCGGCGCGCCGAGGTCGCTGTGGTGGGACCCGTCGGGGATGTTGATGGCGACGAGCGTCGACGAGACGTTCTGCGTGACCGACTGCGCCGACCACGGGTCGAGGAGGCCTAGGGAGGGGGAGAGGTGCGGGTGAAGAAGGGCTGGTGAGCAGCCCGCGCCGGCGCCACGCGGGCATGCGGGCTGCACCGTTTGTGAAGATGACGTGCGACGTCGCGTCGGCGAGGTGAGCCGCCCCCCGCGCCATGCCCATCGAGCGGGGCATCCACGCCGGCCGCGGCGCGGCGTGGAACTCGCGCCGGCAGCCCGCGCTGAGCGCGTCCACCGACCACGTCTGCGGCGGGAACATGTCGCTCACGTTGTTGGCGGCGATCGGGTGCACGATCTCCGTGCACGCGAGGTAGTCCCACGCCTAGGCAGGGAGGGGAGGGGGGGGTGGGGTGGGGCGGAGGGAGCGGCGCGGCGGAACATGGCGTGTGCATGTGCATGTGCAGCGTGTACGTGATGTGCATGTGCACGTTGTGTGTCCCCGCCACCCACACAGCTTCGCGCTGGTCAACCGAGCCGCTCCTCTCGGCTGGCGATGGACCATCTCGAGTGCCCCCGACCACTCGAGTGTCCGGCGGGGACTAGCCGCGGCCGAGCGACGCAGCGCCGCATTGAACGGGTGACAAGCTCAACGCCAGCTAGCTGGCCTGCTACGGCCCGCGCCTTGTTTGCCGTCTTCGGCCCGCCGACGCGCCCGCGAGCGGCGAGCGACCCCGGCCGCACCGCAAGGCCGGTCGCCTCGAGGCGCGAGACGTCAAGGCACGAGCCTGCGTGGGAGATATGGGGAGATATGGGGAGATATGGGGAGATATGGGGAGATCAAGGCACGAGCCTGCGTGCTGAGTACGCCAGCCTCAGGGCGGGAAGACGGTCTTGTGCCGTGTCTTCAGAGCACCGCGCGAAGACGAGGGGACACGGGTACAGTGATTACAGCCGAGTACGGGCGGAACACCGCCGAGTACGTGTCCTCTCGAGCGCTGGTTGGTATGCACCAAAAGTACGTACCACTTCGTATTCAGCTTCTAGGGGGCACGAGCCGTGCGGCACCACGAGCGGCGCAAAGGCAGAGAGGGACCCGCTGGCCGCGGCGACGGTGGCGCACGCCTCGACGACGGGTGAGCGGGCGAGCGGGTAGGCGGACTCTGCGCGCGCCTACGGGGAACGTTGGGGCGAAGGTGGAGGGGAGGGGCTCGGGGGACGCACCGGGTGGCGGGCAACGCCGCGCCGCGAGACTTCCTGTCAGCGTCGCGACGAGCCAGCCAACAACGCGCGGCAGCTGAGTGGGCCGGATGGGCGTGCAGGCGTTGTACGCCCGGCTCAGCTGGGGAGCGCCCGCGGCGAGCAGCGTCGAGAAGGCGCGCCGGACCGCCGCAGGGCAGCCCGGCGCCTGCGACTCGTACGTGTGTGTCGCCACCCGGTACCAGCCAAAGGGGCTCGTCAGGTCGGGGTAGCCCAGGATCGGGGCGGACGAGGCGAGCGCCTGATCTCGCGTGATCTCGCCTGATCTCGCGTGACCTCGCGTGGTCTCGCGTGATTTCGGGTGGTCTCGCGTGGTCTCGCGTGATCTCGCCTGATCTCGCCTGATCTCGTGTGACCTCGTGTGACCTCGCGTGATCTCGGCGACGAGGCGCGCCATGCTCACGACGTGCGGGTACTTTTGGCGCAGCATGTACGCGAGCGTGCCTACAGGCCGGGGCTGGGGTCGGGGTGATGTCGGCGGGGGGGTCGGGGCGGATCACGGCAGCAGGTGCAAGGCGGGCGTGCCGGCGAGCGAGCCTCCGAGGGCGACCACCGGGCTGCCGGGGGTGTCGTAGCGCTCCTTCATCTTGAGGATCAGACTCGCGTCGTCGGCGAGGGCCTGGTGGTGGGTGGGGTGGGTGGGTGGGGGGGGCTCCGTGGACGCTGAGGGGGATCTCGGCGGATCACGGCAGCAGGACGAGCGGACGAGCTCGACGCTGCCATGCCAAAACAAGGTGATGCCAGTGCGGGCAGCCGTCTCTCTGCCATCTCTCGGCATCTCTCGGCATCTCTCGGCATCTCTCGGCATCCCTCTGACCTGCTCGACGCTGAGCAGCCCGAGGTGGGTCGGGTCGGGCCGGAAGGACTCGTCCTCGCCAAAGGGCATGCTGCAGCGGGCGGGAGGGTCAGGGTGTGTGGGTTCTGAGTGTGGTTCTGAAGTGTGACAGCGGCCATGGTGCGAGACGTCGAATCTCGTCCCATCTCCGTCCCATCTCGCCCCCCTCGCGCGCCTGTCGCCGAAGAAGCGCATCTCGCCGAACACGACGAGAGCCTTGAGCTCCTTTGCGAGGGCGAGGACGTAGCCCGAGTGCTCAAAGATGGAGGGCACGCCCGCGCCCTCGGCGCCGCAGTAGAAGAGGATCGGCGACGACCGCCCGCCAAACCACGTGTCGTTGACCAGGTAGCGCTGCCGGAAGGTGCCCACATTCTCGCCTGCGGCATGGGCAGTAGTGACCACCTCCGATTGGGACGGCGAGTCGCAAGGCGAGGTGCGAGGGGGGAAGACCAGTCTGCAACGAAGCAGTGTGTTGGGGCAGCGAGACCAGCCTAGGGCAGCGACCGAGTCTCCGAGGCGGCGGCGGCGGAGGCAGGGCGGCGGCGGCGGAGGAGGCAAGGCGGCGGCGGCCAGAGGCGCGCCGTTGAAGTGGTCGAGCAACTGCTCCTCGTAGTGGGTCTCGTAGTACGGCGGAAACTGCGGGACCGCTGGAGACGCGGGCGGAGAGACCCCCGCCGCCTGCGCCGCCTGCGCCGCCGCCGCCGAGGGCTGTCTCAAGGCGGAAGCCGGGGCGAGGCGGGGGAGTCCGACTCGCCCTTCCTTCCGGGCGGCCAGCACGCTCGGCGGTGGGAAGAGGGCGACGGTTCCAGCGGCGACGACCACGTGGCCCCGCGGTCGTTGGACCTGTGGGACAACATGTCTCGGACATGTCATGGACGTGTCCTGGACGGCTTGTGGCCCCGCCGTCGTTGGACCAGGAGAGGAGGCGCGAATCGCCGCCCTCGCGCGCGTTCAGCACGAGGCTGCCGTTGGGAGCAGCCGCCACCTGCCGAGAGGGCGGAGCGCTGGCGGCGGCGGCAGAGGCGGCGATTTGGCGGGCGTGGTGGGCCGGGGAGAGGTGGGCCAGGGAGGTGCGGAAAGGGCTGCGCAACCTGGCCTTCGTTGCCGTTTGGCACGGGGTCGGCGCCGTGCGACCAGGAGAGCCCTCCGTCGTCTGAGGTCAGTGCGCTCGCCACGTCCGCGCCTCCCGTCTCGGCGCTCCGCCAGTTTGCCTCCACCACAATCCGGCCGCCAGGCAGAACGATCCCGCCCGGCGGACCGGTCGCTACCCACGTCGGCTTGGAGGTGCCGAGCGCCGGTAGTGTGATGTCCACCGGCGCCGAGGGCCACTCGCGCCCGTCGGCGTCGAGCGAACTCAGCACCAGGACGGCGCGATTGTCGCGGCAGAAGAGGAGCACGACCCGGCCGCCCGCGACAACCGGAGCGGGGTTGCCGATGGTGACGTGAGCCGTCTCGTTGGACTCGCCGTACACTTTGCGCAGCTGGCCCCACGTCGTTCCGTTGTCCTCGCTGACCTTGATCACGATGTCGACCCAGCCGTGATCAAGGCAGCCGAGTGTCTTGCGGCCCTCTGCGAAGAGCGCGATGGCGCCCGAAGGCAGGCGCAGCAGCGACGGGATTCGGAAGCATTTGTAGCCCTCCTCGCCGGCCTGAAAGACGGTGACTACACTCTGTGCGATTGCGGCGGAGAAGAGCAGGGTCGATAACATCGCAGGAGTGGGTTCGCCCTCCTTGGCGCTATGGCGTAGAGTGGCCGGGTGGATTCCCACACAAATTACTCTTCGTTTGTCGGCTCATAGGGTACGGTGTCGAGACCGCCCCAAGCGCAGCCTTAAGAGAAGGCGCAGGACGACAATCGCCGACCAGCAGAAGCGTGTTGACAACCGCGAGCTCAGGCGAGCTCTAGAGCCGCAAGTAACGCGCAAGCTGACATGTCTGGCGGCCACGGCCCGACGGCGGCCAAGCAGAAAAGGGTGGACGAGCACGCCGCGGCGCTGGCCTGCAGGAGGCACCGTCACAATCTTGGAGCACTTGGAGCAATCGTACCAAAGATCCAAGCAAGGATGGCTAGGAACGAACATACCCGAAAGGGACACACCACCCTGTCGTTCACTCGATTGTGCTTTGTGAGGTTTGTGGCATGTGGGATTGTGAATGATGGTGAAGCCTGTGATGTGTGAAGGTCCGCCGGGTGACTTTCCAGTTTCCTCAATGTCAATCGAGAGCTCTGAGTGTGAGTCTGACCTCTGTCATCTGGAGACTGGAGAGCCGCTCTTTTGCCTTGTATTAATTCACAGACCCTTCGCGTGGATGGTGTCGGGAAAGGGGAAGTGGAAGAGGCGGGGCAACCTACTCCGCAGACGAGTGAGACGGAGCACACCGCGGGCCACGGGGGGGCGCGGTGTATGTGTCGCCGGAGCGCGTTGCCGGCTCCACGGCTGCTGAGTCCCGAGACACTCTGGATCGGAGTCGGCCGCGGATCCCACCCTCGCCTACTTTTGGAGCGCCGCGTTGGCCGCCTCGAGGGCGGCGTTGGACGCGAGGGCCGCCTCGAGCTTCGTCTCGGCGATGGCAGAGCGCACCGCCATGGCTTGGGTGGACTCGAGGGCCTTGCTCAGCTTGGCCTCAGCGGCGGCGGCGCGCTGCCGTTCCGCCTGCAATTACCATCGTGTCGATCATAGCGGGCGTGAGTGTGGGGTGTGGAAGCGTGGTTTGTGTGTGGGCGTGCGGCGAGGTGCCAGGCGTGCTGCTGTTGGGCCTCCCCTCCCCGCCGCGCCTGGAGCTGGGCCGCCAGCAGAGCCAGCACCGAGTTCTCGAGGCCGTCGGCATGGCCGAGAGCGCCGTCGTCCGAGACGGCGACCGGCGGCGCCGACGACGGCCGCGGTGCCCAACCCGTGGCGGAGAGGGGGTCGACGCCGGCGGGCAGGTTCGCGTCGGGGTCGCGCGAAGCCGGCCGGGGGGGCGAAGAGAGAGGCTGCTCGACCGTGTCGCCCGTCTGCGCGTTGATATCATCGGTCCCGAGCATCGCCGCCACTCCCTTGTGCTCCACACCGATGTACTTTGGCGCAGACACGGGGGCCGGGCCGGTGGGCTTGTCGCGCGCCGGCCCCGGGATGACGTCGCGGGCGGCTGCGACGTCCGCGTCCGTCGGATTCTTCTTCTCGGAGAGGCGGGCCGCGAGAGACATCGTGCTTTATAGCGAGAGTGTGCAGAGTAAGGCAAAGGATGCCAGCAAAATGCTGAGCACGATTCGTGATGACAGGGCTCGTAGAAAAGAATTTAAAGATGTTCAGCAATGGCACAACTACAAAAGAAATGAGGCTGACAGAAAAGAAGTAAATACAAAGTTACCGAAGAGAGAGTGGACCTGAGCAACGATATGACTGGGCGGCAAATGATCGCAGTGGGCGTCAGAAGAGTCATCCTTGCGCGAGGAGAGCTCGATAAACTCGAGGGGCCAGGATATGCCGCGAGGAGGGCAGAGTTACGCCGAGAGGCGAGAGCAAGGGATCGGCCTGCAGCGGCGTCGTCGCAGAACGAGGCAGAGGGGAGCGAAGCGACAGAGGAAGAAGCGACAAGAGAGAGAACGACGAGAGTGGGAAGACCGCGAGGTGGCATGAAGGTTGCAGCGAGAAGCGGCGAGAGACTGCGAAGAGAGATAGGAAGAGGCGGACGCCCAAGGGTGGGCGACGGCTAGCGCACCACACCCCTCTCCTTAAAATCCCTGTGGGTGGCGGCGTGCCGTCCTCCCATCCCTCCCTTGGGTTGTTTTGGAGCACTTGGAGTGCAGTCATTAACCGCACATGTTTTCTTTCTTTCTTTTTTTTAGAGCGAACGCGTTGGACAAGCGGCCGTCGCCTTTTTCAATGAAATCGGGGCCCCGATCTTTTTGAGGCCCATGAGAAATTTAAGGTGTTGCTGCGCAAAAGGGGCGGGGCGCGGGCGCGCGCGCCGGGCGCCGAGAGCGGAGCGGCAAACGCGGGGGGGGGGGCGATGAGTCGGGCGCGAAAATCTTGTAGCGCAAGTATAGGACAGAACCAAAGTCCAAACCATTCTCCGTCCCGTGGAAAGAGGGGCCGACGGCTGGGGAGGGCGCACGCGTTCGCGTGGGAGGCGGGATTGAGAGAGTTGCGGCACGCTCCCGACCCAGGCAGCCACCCAGCCTCACCCACCCTTCCCAGAGCTCACCCCGAAGCCGAGCGGCCGGACTCCCCACCGGAATTTGTTGTCGGGCAGCACGAGCCACCGGGCCATCCGGCGCCTCCACCTCCTCTACGAAATTTTATCTCTCCCGTAATGCCAAGCCTCTCTCAACCACACGCTATTGCTATTTGAAAGAGTTGTTCTCCTGAGTGAGCGTCGTGTTCGTGTCTGGTGTTCATTAGCTCCGAGTAGAGGGGGCGCTCTCCGCCGCTAGGGGAAACCCAAAGCGCAGACCAACCCTCGGAGACCCGTGTTTACTTTATGCGAACGCGCACCCCCCAAGGGTCAGGTCTTTCTTGCCCGGGCAGCCCGTCCCCGAGCATCCGGCCCGCTGGGTGCGCTTCATAGCTCCCCAGCCCTGGATGTGAGGTTGCCGACTGCACTCCAACGAAGTGCTCCAAGTGCTCCAAGTGTTGTGGCTCACCCTGCAGCTGCACATCTCTCGACACATCTCTCCCGTCCCCCCTGTCTGCCGTGTGCCCGGCCTGTGCCCTGTGATCGTCCTTCCAAGATCTCCTGCTCGTGCAGAGGTGCAGTCTCGCCGCCTCCACCGTCGCCGCCCCCACCGAGCCCGCCTCCGCCGCTGCCCGGCCCGCTGCCGCCGTCGCCGCTGCCCTCTCATATTGTTGTCTTATTACGCAAGGGCCGGCACTTGGAGCACTTGGAGTGCAGTCGGCAACCTCACATCCAGGGCCGGGGAGCTGAGGAGCGCACCCAGCGGGCCGGATGATCGGTATCGGGTTGCGGGCTAGACCTAGAGAGCCCTAGCCCCGGGGTGCGCGTTCGCAGGGCATAGTGCGTAAAGTAAACACAGGTCTTAGGTTGGCTCTGCGCTCCGGGTTTCCCCTAGCAGCGGAACGCCCCCTCTACTCGGAGCTATTAAACACCAGACCCAGCACGACAACACACCCACATTCGCGATTTCTCACCACAGCTGTGCTCTTTCCGATCGCCATGGGCTGCTCGGCTTCTTTGCCCACCGCTCCTGCCGCATCAACGACCACGCGCAGCGGCGCTTCTCTCTCCCCTGACCGGCTCGCTGCACGCGCAGCAACCGCCACTGTTCCTCCGGCAGCACCGAACGCCCACAGCGCCGACCTCGTCTCGCAGCGGGCTGCCAAGCTCAACCTCCCCGAGAGGCTGACCCTCGGTCTGTCTGTCGACGCGATCGAGGAGTACATCGCGACTCTCCCCGCCGACGCCGTCGAGCGGTGCAACGAGGACCGGCCCACCATCAACGCGTCCGCGTCCCCGCCAACGCCGCCCTCAACGGCTACGTCAACCAGTGGCAGATCGCGAGGTTTAGCGAGGCGAGCGGCGGCAAGGCGTACTGCGAGGTGCTGCACGAGCGCGGCGACCCCGGCGTGGGCGTCGCCACCGTCTTTGTGAGCTGGTTCCTCGAGACGCCGCTCGCGACGCTGGTGGACGCCCTGCGGCAGTACCTGCAGCTCCACCCAGAGCTGCCGCCCGAAACCACGTTCTGGGTGTGCGACTTTGTGATCCGCCAGTCGACGCGGCAGCTCGACGTCACGATGAACGACGTCAAGCGGCTGGGCGACTGCGTCCGCGCCGTCGGCCACACGGTGCTGCTCATGGAGCCGTTTAACAACCCAATGCCGCTGCGGCGCGCGTACTGCATCAAGGAGGTGTTCCACACGCAGGCGTCGGGCGCTCGCTTCGAGGTGGTGATGAGCTCGGAGGAGCAGGCGGCCTTCGAGACGGCGCTGGTGAAGGACTTTGACTCGATCGCGAAGAAGCTCTCCCAGGTGGATGTGCGCAAGGCGGAGTGCCGCAACCCGAAAGACACGGAGCTGATCCTGGGCGAGCTGGAGCGGGAGATTGGCCTGACCGAGTGCAACAAGGCTGTGTTTGGGCTGCTGCGGGGGGCGCTGGCGGGGCAGGGGAGGGCGGCGCTGGAGCGGATGGAGCCGGCGGAGAGGGCGACGTCGAGGCTGATCAGCAACCTCGGTACGCTGCTGTATGGCCAGGGCGACTTGGACGGCGCGGAGGCGCTGTACCGCGAGTACCTTGAGGGCTGCCGAGAGGCGCTCGGCGACCGGCACCCGAAGACGCTCACCTCCATCAACAACCTCGGCAATCTGTTGAGGGAGAAGGGCGACCTATACGGCGCGGAGGCGCTGCTCCGCGAGGCGCTGGAGGCGATGCGCGAGACGCTCGGCGACCGGCACCCGAGCACGCTCGGCTCGATCAACAGCCTCGGCTTCCTGCTGGAGACCAAGGGCGACTTGGACGGCGCGGAGGCGCTGTATCGCGAGGCGCTGGAAGGGAGGCGAGCGACGCTCGGCGATCGGCACCCGGACACGCTCAACTCGATCAACAACCTCGGCACGCTGCTGAAGGCCAAGGGCGACCTGGACGGCACGCAGGCGCTGTATCGCGAGGCGCTTGAGGGCTGCCGAGAGACGCTCGGCGACCGGCACCCGAAGACGCTCACCTCGATCAGCAACCTCGGCGGGCTGCTGAAGGCCAAGGGCGATTTGGACGGCGCGGAGGCGCTGTACCGCGAGGCGCTGGAGGGGCAGCGCGAGACGCTCGGCGACCGGCACCCGAGCACGCTCATCTCAATCAACAGCCTCGGCTCACTGCTGAAGAAGAAGGGCGATTTGGACGGCGCGGAGGCGCTTTCTCGCGAGGCGCTGGAGGCGAGGCGGGAGACGCTCGGCGACCGGCACCCGACCACGCTCGCCTCGATCAACAACCTCGGCGGGCTGCTGTACGCCAAGGGCGACCTGGACGGCGCGGAGGCGCTGTACCGCGAGGCGCTGGAAGGGAGGCGAGAGACGCTCGGCGACCGGCACCCGCACACGCTCACCTCGATCAACAACCTCGGCGGGCTGCTGTACGCCAAGGGCGACCTGGACGGCGCGGAGGCGCTGTACCGCGAGGCGCTGGAGGTGAGGCGAGAGACTCTCGGCGAGCGGCACCCGGACACGCTCATCGCGACGGGTAACTTTGCCGACTTGCTTCGGGAGAAGGGCGATCTAGACGTGGCAAGGAGGGCGATGGGCGACGCGCCAGAGGTGGCGCGAGAGACCCTGGGAGCGGTCCACCTAGTGACGCTAGTCCTCGAGGCCAAGGCGGTGCGCATCGATATCGCCCTTGGCGACGCCAACGCGAACGCCCTGCGAGAGGTTGTCGCTCGCATGGAAGCGGCGTTGGGTGCCGAGCACCGGCAGACGCGAAAATACAGCGCGATTAGTGTAGAGCCTGCGACTCCACCAATCTCGAGCAGGCCAGCATGAGTTGGCAGTGAGAGCGCTTTAGAGCGCCTTCGACGTATTAAATACAACGCGAACACAGGCCTTGACTTCGCCTGGTTACTTCCCCCAGGATTGGTCTTCTCTGCCTGCGGGAACACCCTCGGGCGGCCGGGTGGGGCTGCGGCTGGAGCTAGCATGGCTCGATAGAGCCGAGACCCCGTGTTGAGGCGGCGCTCCTGTGGGCGGCTGTGGAATCGGGAGATTCGACCTTAGATCTCCAGTTATCTCATCCCAGTGGATGGACGTCCGGACGTCCCTTTGTGTTCCTCTCGCCGTCCGCCAGCGAGACGCTCTGTCGCTGGCGGCCGCAGTTTTCTGTGAGGTGGGAGGAGAGGGGAGGACGCAGTAAAGATGGCGCAGCAGCAGGCCCCACCAGCTGCGCAAGCGCCCATCGTCGTCGTCGTTGACGAAGTTCAGATCACCAGTGATGCAGCGCTCGTTCTCGCTCCAGGGGCTCAGCACGTAAAGGACCACACGCCTTGTCTGAGTTGGACCACGGTGTACGACAATGCAGGAGCAGTGACCAACTACACCCTGGGGCAGAGTGACGCCAAGGGCGCCTTCCTGCCGCGGTGCCGGTTCAGCGTGGACCAGCAGACAGGCACCCTCCTCGATGGGAACCACGTTCTCAATGTGCTTTTCAATGGGGCATTCTGGTCGCGGCTTCTGACCGCTCTGGACGCGGCGAACTTCTTTGCCACTTCCATGGAGAAGATCGGCGTGCTGCACCAGCGGCTCGCCGGTCTGGCAATGGCCAACCCAGGGGTCTGGGTGGTCTCGCACTCGGACATCTTTCTCGGTGAAGACTTTGACGCGCCCGCCGTCCCAGCGCCGGCCGCGGGGAGAGGCCGGGGCCGCGGTCGAGGGGGCCAAGCCGCGGCCGTGGTGCCGGTCGTGCCAGGACCACAGGACCTGCTCTTCCTTACGCAACTCCCGCTTCGCGCGCTCGAGGCGGGCGGGGAGTTGCCTCTGCTGCTGTACTCGCTGCTCTCTTTCCATTTGGGACCGATAGCTACAAGGGCGGCCCGCCTGCCCCTGGCAGCCCCCGCGAGACTCACGGCCGGCCTTCTCCAAGGAGCTATCGTGCAAAGCGTGGGGGCGGCGGCCGCCAACCCTACGATGCTCGCGCCCCAAATCCCTCGCTTGCTCAAGGGCGCTTCGCTCCCCGTCATCTTTCAGTCTACCTCCGCGGACCCACACACGAGGCTCGAGGACTTCACGGACTTGCTCCGCATGCAGGCCGGCGGGGTAGATGAGAGGCGGCGCATCGAGGAGCGGCGGATCATGCTCGCCACCTCGCTGGGCGCGCTCTACCAGCTAGTCATCCAGCCGTCGCCCTCGGTCTCGACTGCAAATACCTTGGTGAGCCGCCTGGCCGCCAAGATTCTGACCGCGCCTCAGCTTAAGCTCTCGCTGGCGGACCAGCTGGCCATCCTCGCGACGGCCGTTCATGATCGGCAGCACCTCGTCCAACCGGGGGCCTCCGCGGAGGATGCGGTGACCGCGCTGGTCGCGGAGGACCTCCTCTACGACGCGGGGCGCCCCGCGCCTAGCGTGGCAGGCGGGCCGGCGTCCTCGGGCGACCAGCCGCCGCCGCCCAAGCTTTTGGAGAAGGCTCTGATGATGCCCAACTTCCAGGCTCTGGCCGCCAGCCTCGAGGGCGCGGACGCACAGTCGGACGAAGGGCGGCGCCAGATCCTGGCGGCGGCCTTCGAGTCGGGCTGCGACCTCGTCCTGCGTGTGCTGTTGGGCCCGGGGGGTCACGAGGCTTCCCGCAATCCGGTTCTTGCCAAGATTGCGCACTGCAAGGTAGAGCTCGCCAACTACCTCACGTGGTGCCTCGTCACCGACAGCTCGGGCCAGCCAAAGGAGGCGCTCGACAAGTACCGGTTCACCGGCCACGACGGCCAGAGCGACAGTCTCTGCAAGGCCTTCCTGGCGGGCAAGTTCGTGGGCGTTGATTACATGAACGGAGCCAACGGCGTGCTGGACTGGATGGGGGCCGCTCTCCATGCCCAGCGTCTCCCGAGGATCCACGTCAAGGACCTATACATCATCCCGAGCAAGATGCGACGCTTTGGGGCCTTCCTCAACCTCCTTTTCGTGGGCATCGGCTACCCGGAGACCGTCC